AAATGAGATTGTAACCAAACTTCATAATGCAAAATTAAAATATAAAACAATAAAAAATATTTCATCGCCACCAGGCTCGAACCCAGGGACTCTACCAACACAACCACTGCACCGCTTGCGAGAAGCGTTGCAAATTTAAGTAGTAGCAATAAGTATTCAATCGCAATTTCGATTCTTCGAATAGAAAAGAATACACGCACTTGAATGTATGTGCATGTGTATATGACAAATGCGAGTGCGTGGCGCTGCTGAAATGTAATTTTGCAAATTGGCCAAACGTGTTGTTTAATAACTTCTGTTTTACTTAATGAATTTTAATTACATTTTCAGCATATGATCTACCTATTCTATTAGAGTAATTGTCAGCTTAGCAAAAATTCACTTATTTACATATTGGCTCTATTTTCAATTGAATTTAAATTTAAAGGATTTGGGTAAATTTGGAGCCGGTATCCGAAATCCAACAAAAATCAAAATTGCATAAAATATACATAAAACTAAATACAAAATTTGGGGCTCTAGCTTTTAAGACGTACGAGATATAATTTATTAACTGCATTTCGATCATGTATTTATTCGATAACAATTAAATTTGGATAGTTATCGAATATATGAAACAAACTTGATATGCGCGTGCTATACAAGGACCTACAATTTCAAGCTCTTATAGATGCTGAGATCATTCACATATACGGACAGACGAACGGACAGACAGACAATCGACTCGGCTTGTCGTCCAAGATCAAGAATATATAAATTTTTTGGGGTCTGCCACACCTTCTTCTGCCTGTTACATACCTTTGCACAAAACCATTACACTCTGATTTCCCATTTTCAATGGGAACAGTGTATAACGAATAAAAACCGACATTGGTGACTTGAACCAACATTGCCTACGCAACGCGCATAAACTCTACCAACACTGCCATTTGATAAATTGAATAAAAGCAAAAAAAAAGTCTCTTCACCACCTGGCATTGAACTCAGAACTCATTTTCGAAGAGCACCGCCTCTACCAACACCGTCACTCCGCTCCTTGTGAAATCTTGTGAATAAGGCGTGACCGGCCACAATAAACGATATAAACTTGATCACCATAGAATTATGTATGTATATGTATATGTTAACGGACGGTCATTTTCCATTTTTGATTTCGTAGTGAATTTCGATGTATTAGGGTAGGCAACTCAAATTATAACTGACTCTCGCTCTTTTTCATTTCTCTACCTCGCACCGAACTACACAACTTCTTTGCCTCCGCGCCATAACAGTGCTTTGTCTAGCTACAAAAATGCTACCAAAGGAGCATCATTAAAGATGATGCAATATACAACACAGCAACGCCACCGTTGGTGATCCAAATACTTAAACAGGCTATGACACGACACGGCCATCCTGACATATACATGCCCTCGTATACTCAACTTTTGATGATACATCCAATTCAACTTTCCTTTCATACAACTGTTAACGTTTATTCGTAATAATAAAAAATAAAAACATATTTTCCTTAGTGCAGTTCAATTCAATTAATTCACTTATGCTGGTTACTAAAATAAAACATAATCGTTTTCATTCATCATCAATATGCCGACTTTACATTTCGTTTGACCAAAATTCAAAACTCAATGCATAATTTCACGCAGAAAAGCAATTATAGTCGTCTCACTTCGACGGCTCACCATCATCTTACTTAGGCGCCTCACACTCAGCTTCCACTAGACCATTTGACGAGCCTGGATCCTCATTATCGATGTCCAGCTCATAAGGTGCATTTCCCTCTGGAAGTTTCCCTATGTCATGACAATATTTATATAGTCGTTTACTTGATAACGATTTTAAGATGTATTTGTCACCATCTAAGTTTTTAACTACAAAAAATGATTCCTTAAATTTTGGGTCTAGTTTTGTCTGGAGTCTCTCCTCATTCTTAAGAAATCGGTTTTTATTATAAGAGGCTAAAGACTTCAGTTACCAGTTGCTCGAGACCGTGTGGAGTCTAAGTCTACTTGCAACCCTGTATCCAATGGAAGAGCTAATCCAAATGGCTGACCTTCTTTCCCTATTAGCATTTCTAAGGGGTTTGCATCAGTTTCCCGACTAATTATGCAGTTTAACGCTAGCTGCACATGGCAGAGAGCTTCTTGCCAGGGTCTCTGGTTTAATTGGACAGCAGTTAATAGATTTTTAAGCGTGCTCATTACGCGCTCAATTTGTCCATTAGCACGGCTTGCCCCAGTCGCAATTAAATTAAGTTTGATGTTTTTTGTACAGCAAAACTCGTGTGCTCGAAAAAGCATCTGCCCTGGTTTGCTATAATACGTGTTAGTACACCGAATAAGAAAGTTGAGGACTTTATGGCCTTGATACAACTCTCTGTATCTATTTTGAGAGTGTGGTAAATGTATACGAATTTTGTTAAGCCGTCAATTTGAACTATAATATATTCCTTTAGATCACTTTTACCACTTCCTTTACCAGTAATGTCCACATGGACAGTGTGCCAAGGAATGCTGACCTTTGGGATAGGATGTCGTTCTGCTTGAACTTTACCAGGTTATACAATTGTCAACAAATTTACGGACATATTTGTTCATTTTCTCATACCGATAAAATTGATAAATCTTGTCATGTGTTTTTTGCCAACCAAGGTACATGCTTGACTCATATACTTGATTAACTACTGACCATCTGAAAGTTCGGGGCACAACTGACAAGCATCGTGTTTTACCACTTTTTTGGATTTTCCGAAACAACAGCCATTTCTTAAATCATATGTTTCAATTACATCATCTTGCGACTCGTTGGAATTAAGCTTCCTTATAATGGCAACAATATCTGGGTCCAGTTGCTGTTCGGCAAACATTGAAATTACCGTTGTTTATTCGCTTCTCGGAAATTGTTTCCAAAATTAATTTGTGGATTTCTAGATAACAAGTCGACGTGTGCCATACCTTTTCCTTCTATGTATTTTGTATATTGAAGGATTGCAAATAAGACCACCAACGATGAACTCTAGGAGTAAGGTCTATTTTGGTTCGCGGTGTCTTAAATGAATTGTAATCGGTGTAAATCTAAAATTCTCTGCCAAGCAAGTAATGACGGAAATTTTTAGCGGATGCAAATACAATAAAATACAAATAAATAGTTTATAACTCTATCTAAACTCGGTTGGCAAAGTTGTTTTGCTAAGGTATTCCATCGGATGTAACATGGCACTAAATCCGATTTAGCTGGCGTCAGTGTGTATAGGGTATTGCGGGTCGAATATCCCCAGAACTGATTCGTTTTTAAGAACCATCACAATTTTCTTGCGAATACTTTTCAACTCTGTATTCAAAGCAAAACTTTCTGTTCCTGTTGTTAGAGAATATAACGGCTTTATGACTTGACCGATAAATTGTCGTACACCAAAAACTGTTTGTGGCGGTGACAAGGATATTAACGCAGCAATTTTTCGCGGGTTTGGTCGAATTTCTCCTGCTCTTAACTCATATTCCAAATACTGAACGACTGTTTTTAAAATGCTACATGTGTTGACATTAAAAATGAATCCAGCTTCTGTAAGAATGTCCAGTACTTTTCTTAACCTTTCCAACCATAAATCGACTGTGGATGACACGATCATTATATCGTCTATGTAGACAATCACAAATGAATATATCAGGTCACCCAAGGCTCGAATGACTGCTCGTTGAAAAACAAATGGCGCATTTTTAAGTCACAAATGCAGTGTATTCTATAGAATCAAGGTGAATTGGAATTTGGTGGAAACCACTTGCCATATCAAACCACGTGAAGTAATTTGCTCCACGCAACATCTGGTCGTTTATAATCGGCAAGGGATATCTGCCAATAAGTGTGTTTGTATTGAACTCTCTGTAATCGACACAAAGTCGATATGTACCATTTTTCTTGTGTCAATCAAGCGAATTTTCATTTCCCCTGTAGTAACTCGTAGATGGTGTCCCCTTGACATGTGCAGTGGGGTAATTCTCAAGCATTTTTATTAATTTGTTTTTATCAGTTTTGCACAATTCGGTATCAAGATTGGTAAGGTCAACTGGTTGTGTTGATTACATTTTTATAAATATATACCAATTCAAATACTGAAACTTCATGTCTTAATATCATCATAGGTGCACAGTCAGTTGAATTTAGCCCGGGTTGATCTCGGAAAAAACTCAAGGTTCGTTGTAGTATAAATAGATGTACATCACAATTAGACAGCTGCATGAGCAAATTAAGTTTTAAGTAACTATTATGTTAATAAAATATCACCTTGAGGCGATACCAATCGTATGATATTATATCTTGATGGCTTTGAGGAAACTAGTCTTAGATTTGAAAATTTTAATTTTTTTATGTTCCTTTTATCGATTTCGCCTGACTTCTCATGTTAAATTGATATTTTCGCGTACTGTATTTCGTTTCGAATCTACTTCCCTAAAAACACCAGCCTGCATATTATCAGGTCCCAGAGCCTTTGTGTTCTTCAAGTTGCTCCTCGTTGAAGATAATGGTTGAAGTGTGAAGTTCACTATGGGATCCTCCGGTTCTGCCTTTACCTTTGTAGCTACTCTGTAGTTTCCCAGCTTCTTCTACTTTGTAGCCAAATCTTTGCAAAGCCCCGGATTAAGTTTTTTTATGCCTTCTTGTATGTTTCGGAGAACATGCACGCTGCTTTGCCTTTTTTCCAGGTTTTATGAGGACAGTTTCTGTTGGGTAAACGTGTAGCAGCTCTTCCTGGTCGGATACAGCGCTTTTAACATCCATGCTGACGTTTTTCTTTTTCATTAGCTCATTGATTCATGTTTTTGTAAAGAATACGCAGATAAAGCATATTAATATTTTATACAATTATACTCCCTTAAGTAACATTTTTAACATATATATAAATATCTCATCCAATATTAATATCAGTTTACTCGAGCATCTTAAAGGGCACTGAGATTATGCACTCATGCTGACTTGGCCGCAATCGAGCACAGGCAACGAAATTAGGTTTTAATAAGCTCCACACGATAACCGTCGCGGTAGCGCAACGCAGTAGTCAGCGACTCTGACCAAGATTTAACTTTTAATTTAGTCCGAGCCCGAGTAATATTCCATTAAAGATAAATCAGGACGACTTTGTATCAGGATAGTATGTGGAACATTAATATATGTAATATTCAAAATGAAACGTAAAATATATCGAATACGGCAAAAACAAACAAATTTAAAATTATATATATCAATCTTTGTTTTTATTATGAAATATATCTATATTTGAAAAAACTAAATTTTTGATATTTGTATTTAAGTACGGACGACTAACCCATTCTGTATCGACAGCTTTGATATTTTCCAATGTTCCAAGTTTAATCTGATACAACTTCAATTGAAATCTGGGCCCAACTTCCTTTAATTTGATTTCTTTATTTATATACTTATATTGATGGTGTCTAAATGAAATGTTGTCTTCATTGTTAATAAACGAGATAACTCTTTCAGACTTTTCTTTTGGTACCGGAAACAAATGTTTTAAAATTTGTACAGCTCTTAAGCCAATATTGCTCTTAAAATTACTGAAAACTAAATGCGGCTTCTGTTCACTCATAGGTTCAATATCAGGAATATCATGACGCATTGTAACATCTGTTATATTAAAAAAAGCCGTTGGCCCAAATGGCAAATGGCATATCACAAGACTATCTGGAATGCCCCTATGCTCGTGTACTATTATAAAGTCTGTAACATTATTAGCTCTACAGGCTTCCATTAAGGTTTTCAATTGATATTTTCCTCTGTTCATTTGTTGAGCATTAGGAAATATCAGTCTAAGTTCTTTCACAAACATTTTTAAGCGTGAAGAGGGCTCATGGGATGTCGTTAACATAATTTTCGGATCCTGACAACCAGCATACTTGTATTCATCAATAGTAGTTATGTTTCCATTTTCCATATCTAAAAAGAAAACCACATTATATTTATATATTCTATAAAACGCAATGATCAGTAATTTACTTTATAATTTCAATATTCATATATATTTAACATACAGTGGTTCACAGCATATTTCAACCAGCACCTTAAAAAGTTTGTTGGGCTATAAAATCTAAACTATTGGGGATATCCCGAAAATTTAAATGTAGGTTGTTAGTGTGATGTTTAAACTAATATAAAATCAATTCATTTATTTTTTAAATATTTTTTCAATATTTAGTAATGTTTAAAAACTAAAAAATGAGACCAAAACAATAGTTAAAAATTTAAGGGCTACTATTACGCATGGTCGTGGCCGTGTTATGGCGTTTGTCTGTAGTGTGGCCGGCGTTGGAAAGTCAGTGTGCCTTTAAACTAAAACTTACACTTTACTTTTTATTGAAGTTTTTATAAATTCCTAATTCTTCTTAGGAAATAAGTTGAAAAAGCTGTGGTCTACTGTATATAGGTCCATACATATAAAAACTTTTTGCAATATTTGACAAATAAAGAAGAATCACATTAAATAGAAATTGAGTATTCAACAATATATTGTTTACAAACAGTACCTCCATCATATTTTAGAGAATTATACACTGTTACTCCGTCCAAAATGTTAGAAGGTCTAAGGGATTTATTTTGTTTTAAGGTGTCAGTTATAACCTTCATATTTTTCTTTTTTTCCCGAATCCGTTCATTTACAACTTTGGAATACAAAAATTCCCTTCTTTGTCTGGCCTGTTTTCTTAACATTTTTAATTTTCCTCTTTTCTATGTTGCCACGTGACTCTAGACCGGAATATTAGCGCCAGCATTTGATCGATATATTTTAAGCTAAGAACTTAAAATAACCATTTAATAGTAACTTGTCACTAGTGTCGAAAAACAGTGACTCATTCACAATGAAAACAAATGATTGAATTATAAACTAGCAAGTATAACATTTTCCAAACAATTTTGAATACGCACATCATCAGTCTTGTTTATACAACATTTTTTTTAATATATACGTGAGCTAAAATGGCAAGTCTTTTCAACTTTATTTGGTTTCGCGCAATTTCCGTCCAACCGTCCGTATGAAAGTAAACTATTTCGCCGTTATGGGATCAAGTGACTTAATATTTGGAATATATCTATATAGGTACCCTCGTCTCACAAAATGCTAAGGTTTCACCAAAACGCTCTATTGTAATTTGTATATTAAAATCTATACTACTTATAATTCGCATCATTGAAAATTAAAACATATACTCGAGAAGACAACCAAAAATAAAAGATATCTTATAAAATATCCGTAAAAACCATATATTTAAAAGTTTAATTGCTGGCATAGTATAGACCTTAATTAAGTATTATGTAGCTGGTAGCGCTTGATGTCAACATTCTGTACCAGTCTTAGTCGTATATATTTAAAAAATTAGCATAGAAATCATTTATATATGTTGTGGTTATCATGGAAATGGTATGGAAAATGAACATTACTAATACATAGTGTAGAACCAATGTTTTTTTATTAGCGAGTATATTAATATAAATTTGTGTGTCCATACATTTTCTATACATACCTATTATGAAATGCTCAACGTAGTAACCACTGATATTTTTAATCCTACTATGTCGATACTTCATAACCTTATTTATTGAAACAAATTCTCAAGGGCGATAAGATATTGGCAGAACTAAGATACGTTTTAGTTGATATGTCAGAAAAGTACTAATATAATCAAATTTAGTGGAAATTTAAATCGGGATTGGATCAATTATACATCCTAGTTATGATTGTCGGTTAGGAGTGTTTTTGTTGAAAATTTCACCGGTGAAGTAGCTTATTTTCGGTTGTGTTTCCACTGCGGCCGTGCAAAGCTGTTCGAATAGAATTAGGTTTCTATGATTCTCCTAAGTGTTAAAAAAGAGATACTATCTTGACTAGTCCATTTTAAGCGATCAACGATAACATTTCGGGAATTCACTTTGGTTACATACTTCCGCTTGACAGAAATACTTCCTTTTGTTTTGAGCTGTGTTGAGAAAGGTACATATGTTCGTGTATTACTAAATCTTAAAACATCAGATTATACATTGCACTTTCGCTTGACTTAATCACGTAGATGTATTGCGGATTCTTAAATTAATTTAGTTAAATTTTTCTATATAGATATTTAAAATATATGTTCTAATCTTTTCAGATTCACCATGGGTCGTCGGCCAGCTAGATGGTATTTAAATGTTTGAAATATTTTGTCCCCATATATATTTTAAAGTTAATCTTCTTATTTTAGTTACCGATACTGTAAAAACAAACCCTATCCAAAGTCCAGATTTTGTCGTGGTGTCCCCGACCCAAAAATTCGCATTTTTGATTTAGGCAGGAAGAAGGCAACTGTTGAAGACTTTCCTCTATGCGTACATTTGGTATCCGATGAATATGAGCAGTTGAGCAGCGAAGCTCTAGAAGCTGGACGCATTTGCTGTAACAAGTACTTGGTAAAGTTCTGTGGAAAAGACCAATTTCATATCCGTATGCGCTTGCATCCGTTCCACGTCATTCGCATCAACAAAATGTTGTCATGTGCTGGAGCTGATAGGTAAGCTTATTTGTAAAATATATTAGTTTTACACAATATTTACATTTAAAGTGTGCATTTATTCTTATATGTAAATATATATATATGTATTTTGTAGGCTTCAAACCGGTATGAGAGGAGCATTCGGAAAACCGCAAGGAACTGTTGCTCGTGTAAGAATTGGTCAACCGATTATGTCTGTCCGCTCTAGCGACAGGTACAAGGCACAAGTAGTAGAAGCTCTGCGTCGCGCTAAGTTCAAGTTCCCCGGTCGCCAAAAGGTATAAAGACAATATCCTTGTAAAAACTCTTATAATAATTTGTTAATTGTAATAGATCTACGTGTCTAAGAAGTGGGGTTTCACCAAGTATGATCGTGAACGATATGAAGAGCTTCGTGATGACAATCGCTTCGAGCAAGATGGATGCAATGTTAAATACCGGCCAGAACATGGTCCAATTGCTGCTTGGGAAAAGGCTCAGCGTGATCTTTATGCTTAAAATAAACTCCATTTGATAAATAAATCGATGGATCGTTGTCCATACTGCATAGAGACACGTTTGTTGAATGAACTTTAATTATTTTTATATACTGAACATGGAAGTGGCGAATCACGGTTTTATGGCTTTATAACGGACAGAAGGAGCAGTGGCAGACCTCAAAATATATATTGATCGGGACTACGAGCTCAGTCGATCGAGCCATGTTCGTCTGTCTATCTGCATGAACCCGTCGATCTCAAACCGTGAAATAGCTAGAGTATATTTTTAAATGGGAATAGTTTCGTTTAAATACATATAACCCACATTCCTATGTGTACGGTATTCAAGCTACGTTAAAAGAAACCAATAATTTTTTTATCGATAAGTAGGAAAATTGTATTGCAAAAGGTATGCACGAGTGCGTATTTTTACCGTGATCGCCGCGTTGACCCGGACAGAAGACTATGGCTAGATTGACTCAGTTGTTCGTTCTGAATATTTTTAATTTATTAACTCTGCCACGCATTTTTAAGTCCTATTACATAAATTTTAATATCAAAGCAAGGACTATACTTAAGAATCCTATAAATCATATAGAATCAGCCAGGTTCTAGAAACAACAGCTGCCACAAACAGACACCTGACGTGACGTGGACGTGTTATAAGGCTTGTGTGTCCTGTGAAAGAGTAAACATCTTTCACGTAGCCGTGCGTAAATACTTCTACTGCGCAGATGCTTGTAGTGACCACAGTAGTAAGTACGACAGATCCACCGAGCAAGAAAGTATTTCAGAGTACAGAAAACCAACAAGAATATTTAGCAGCTCAACTATTTATATACATATATCGACTTTGCCGTCGCAGGTGCCTACAATCACAATTAGTGTTGTCATCTGAATCTCGGGTAATATGTTGCACAACATATATCTTACATGAAAAGCATTTGTAGAATCATGAAGTTTTAATTTAAATTGTTAAAAGAAAAGGCTTTATTTTTTGACATAAATTTAGAAAGTGATTATTATTGTTATAAAATCAATATTCAGCATATTCTGGGATCATGATAAAACATTCCTCGCCGTATTCATCATGCTTTAGGGCATGCAAGAAAATATCTTATATCTTACAAACAAGTTTTTTTGTCAATAGCAATTGCAGGAAATACGTACATAAAGCCATCCAACCTTTTTAAACACTTGTTCTCGATTTTAGAATTGCAAAAGGTATTTTAATTATTACATTTAGAAAAACATGAAATGAGTAAGATTCAGCCTTCACTATCCTGCCACATAGTAACCTTAATTTTTGATGTACTAAAAACAGCCAATGTTTTGAGCAAATGTATGTAACAGGCAGACCCCATAAGCTATGTATGTTCTTGATCACTACAAGCCGAGTTGATTGCGCCCTGTCCGTCAGTCAGCATGTGTTAACGCGTCAATCTCAGCATCTATAAGAGTTAGCGAATTGAAATTTTCCTAGGTCCGTATACAGCACGCAATCAAGTTTGTTTCAAATAATCGATAACTTTTTTATTGTTAACGATTGAAAACATGATGCAGCTATTTAATTATATCTTTTATGGCATTAGAACTAGATCGTCAAACTGTTCTATTTACTTAAATGTATAAGATTTGCTTTTGCAAATTGGCCAAACGTTTTGTTTAATAACTTAAGTTTTACTTAATATATTTGAATGAAATTTAATGGCAATGAAATATTGGTCCTATTTTCAATAGAACTTACACTTAAAGAATTTTGTGGACATTTTTAGCCGGTATGCAAAATAGAACAAAAATCAAAATTGTAATAATATACGTAACAGTAAAAACAAAATTTTATAAATGAATTTTGATTGTTTGTAATCGATAACAATAAAAAGATATACTCGTTTCGATTATTTGAAACGAGTATATAACCTAGATTTGCGCGTGTTATACACGGACCTTCAACTAAAGCCTTTGGTTTTTATAGATGCTGACATTGATGCGTTCACACATACGGACGGAGCGACAGGGCTTTACTTTATGGGGTCTGCCACGACTCCCTCTGCCTGTTACACACATTTTAACAAAACCTATATCCTGATTCCCAAATTCAATGGGAATATCACATCCGGAATTGTGTAATTTTTTTAAGTTACTAGATGTATTTAACTATATACATAGAGTCATATAATCTGATTTTACTTGGAAAGATGCAGGGTTCAAGATATCTTCTCGAGCCACTCACTTGGTACATTTAGTTAGTTATTGTTGGTGAATAATTTTATTGTTTACTGTACATTTAATTTATTCAGTAAGTAAACATTTTTCGATAACATTCAAAGAATTTCAATTTTAATGTTTTTTTTTTTTATTATTTTTCATCACGAGGAATTCCCAAATGGAAATTGGACCATTTTGCAGCATTTGGGTAATCGAACTCTCCCTGTCAATATATATTGAAATGTAGATTCTTATTAAATGAAAAACATTTGATACTCACGGTAATGTGATCTGGCTCATGCCAAAGGTGCCAAATTACCCACCACCACATGGCTCCTCCAACTGCTACAGCGCCAATCCTAGTTGCCTTTGAGTGAGGCGGTGGTGCACTTCGATATGATACACTAAAAAAATTGACATAAATACGCTTAAAGATAATCAGTAAACAAAAATTATGTAAGGGCTGCAGAATAGTCAACAAATACCCATTTTAATATTGACTTACACATGACTCTTTCTGTTAATTAGTTTTGTGCCACCATTTAACAATTGAATTGCTTTCTCCGTCGCTAAGACACTTTTGAAAACTTTCAGATTCCCGAGCATTTTCGCTGTTAATAAGTAACTTAATATTTAAAAGCTAGCTAGGTATGGTATAATATAAAATATCGATAAGTATTTGGGTAAGTGAAATTGTTTTGATAAATTTGTGACGTTATGTTCGTGAAGTACGATTTTCGAAACATAAGATGACAGTAATAAAAATGAAAATTTTCTAATACGAAATTAGGCATCGCAAATAAATAAACATTATTAATTTGCTTTTTTCTTTAACACCGACTATACTATAAGTTCCCAATTTGCGACCAGTTACTAGAGCTTTTGTGTAATAAACGGTTACTATTAACAAATACTCGTCTTTATACCCTGGTGCTATTGAAAATGGGAAATCTGGGTTTAATGGCTGGAGGATATAGAGGATATCATGAATGCCCCAACATGTTAAGCATGAATTAAAAAGTGTGAAAAAGTTTTAAAAAGTCTATGTTTAATAGTAAGAAGCCTAATTTTAAATTCTATCTAACCAATGATCCGGAGATTAAGTAGATAAAGTACGGACTTGGATCCTCTATAATTGTAGCAAGTCTCTTGATAGACCACCACAGAGTCCCGATCTGAACAACATTGAACATATGCCCACACATGCCCACCTAAAGATAAGAGGAAGAAAACGGGATCCAAAGAACCGCACACAGCTGAAAACGATTATCCTAGAAGAGTGGCAAAAAATCCCTGTAGAATAGTTAGTAAAGTTGGTGCATTCAATGAGACAATGCCTCCAGCATGTATTTTGAGGTAATAATAAATATTAAAGTTAGCACAATTCGTTTTTTATTTAAGGTTAACAACAAAGTGTTTGTATAAAAAAAGTTAGTAGATTTGGTTTTTGTTGTTTATTTTGTTACACATTTTTAGTTTTATTGTTTTTTTTTTATAATTTAACTCAATAATTATTACTGAACACTTAAACATTGAAAAAAGCTCATTAACGGCCATTAATTTTGCATTTACAGTCAAAAATTATATTTTTTTTCGGTGTACAGTTTCTTGATAAACTGTACATTCAAGTGCGTGCATTATTTCTATTCCACTAATCGAAATTGCAATTTTATTGTGTTGTTACTTTAATTGAGACTAAAAATTATTGCACAGTGGCGATGATAGTAGAGGCGGTGACCGTGCCGAGAAGTTATTTGATCAATGCCAGGCAGTGACGGGGCTTTCTTTGTATTTTGTATCCTGATCCCATTAAAAATGAGAAATCAGCGTATAAAGGTCTTATCGAATAAAAACATGATCGAAATGCAGTTAATAAATTATATCTCATACGTCTTAAGAGCTAGACTCTCCAAATTTTGTATTTAGCTTTTTGTATACTTTATGCAATTTTGATTTTTGTTAGATTTTGGATGCTTGCTCCAAATTTCCCCAAATTCTTAAAAATTAAGTTCAGTTGGAAATAGGGCCAATAAGTGAAGGAGTTTGCATTGCTGCCATCGAATATGTAGATCATATGCGGAAATTTCATTAAATTTCATTAAGTTAACCAGAAGTTATGAAACAAACCGTTTGGCCAAATTGGCACAAAAGCATTCAAATGCATGCATTTTACTCTATTCGAAGAATTGAAATAGTGTTTGAATTGTAAACAACTGTTGTAGAGATTATATCGACGTTTTTACTCGTATTTTTTTTTTTGTTTGAGATACTCGATACAAACAATGGAAAACATTAAAAAACGCAGATATGACTGGGACCAGAGATTCTCCTAATCAGCACCTAGCAAAACAAAGAGTATACATGATGTAACCTGTAAGAATAAATGCAATAAGACTGTGTGTAGCGGAACATGGCAATTTTTATCTGTTATCATTTCATATTTTATTGAGTTATTTCGACAATGGTTCTTATGGTTCTACAAATATTCGATATATGCCAACAGACTTAATGCTGGAAAACAACTTTTTTTCGTATTTCACTACAAATTGCAAGAGGTTTCAATACAAAATAACAATTGATTAGACGTAAAATATTATTTGTATCGATTTTCGACCTGGCGGCGGACTGAAAATCATATTTTGGAATCTGCAATGATTTTTCGGAAACTCTGACTCCAAACATTTACGAAGGCTAAATAAGAGCTTTTCTATTCAGTTTAATTAGCTAACGCCCAATGCGTTTTTACAGACAAAGATAATTTATCGTGAGAAATTAATATAAAGCTGCTGCGTGCATGGAGACGATTTTTGTACAGAAAACAGAAGCAAAAAATATAAGCTATAAGTAGCGAGTTCAGCAGAATATTATATATGTTTGCTTACGTTGAGTGCACTAAGAGTAATTGTGAATATACTTGACTGTGGAGGCGTTCAGTTGCGTAATGATCTTAATTCGTCTGACGGGGGGTTCAAATGTGTCAGCTAGCAGTTGCTGCCTCTGGTCTCTCCTCTTAATCCGTTGGCTGTGTCTCCGTCTGTATAGCATCCCAATTTTTCGATGCTTCGCAGGGATCTCTGGGACGTCCAGGCACATCGTTGTTGATTTTAGTGTTTTGTCCCAGTGTTTTGTTGATTATCTATACTTTTCCCAACATTATTATGGGAACTAAATCAACGCCAATAACAACATCAATTTGACTGGGCTCGTTAAAATGTGGGTCTGCTATCTCGCAGCCATTCCAATCCTAATTGACATCCATGTCAATTTTCTTGGTCGGAAGAATTTCTGAAGAATTGCTTTTAAGCCTGGGTTTGGTTGTTAATGTTCACATTTTCCAAAATTCCTTGAAGTTCCATTTTTAAGGTTAAGGTTTTTTGCGAGCATCCATCTATAAGAGCCCTTAGCTGCTCGTATTTTCCAGACTTGTTTTTAATTTGGATGAGCGCAGTCGCCAGCAACGTACCTTGCCTTTTATTTTCATTTAGACAGTTGCTGCTGGTTGGGGTCTTAACTAAACACTGTTAGCTTTTAGCTTCATATCTAGAAAGAATATTTTATTACAGATCACGCTTTCTTCGTTGAACAAAAAAATGTTAGAATAAATTATTAAGAATTCTTAGTTTATCATATTTTGTTACCGCTGCGGCTGGTAAGTTCTGGGTACAAAATATTTGACGAATGCATTACTCTTGTGTGTCAGCCGTTAACTTTAACATTTTAACAATTTCTCTAATAATACACCGGTCAAGCCGGAGTATTGATTGAACAGTCTTCTGCTGTTTTAATTGCGAATCAATCTAATACCAAAAGAATAAGATATTCTGAATAAGCTTAACATTAACAGTTTAAGAAACGCTGCTACAGAGTCATAGTCGGCAAGGCGACCTGGCGTCGGCGATAATGCTGCTTACCGCTGGATTTCGTAGCCCGGGCGTTAGCTTGAACTAATTTGGATAGCCCAAGTTTTCCATCCAAATTATAATTAAGATATTTCGTATAGAAATAAATGGCGTCTATTGTGAAGTCAATTGAACTATATTCTAAATTATGTAATGAAGATGTAATGTTCGACAGTTAGGAGAAATGTTTATTTATTGGTTAATATATTATTGGTCAATATAATTGTATGAAAATATATGTATGAATTACACATTTTAATTTATAAATATATTCTAAAATTATATTGTAAATTTTATATTATATATATTTAGAGTACATTATGTAAAATATAATATTTTTACTTTAACAGACATTTGTAAGTAACTGATTCTGATTGAATGATGATACATCGGCGATAATTTAAACTATCGCTTTGAAAATATGTCTATCGGTATACTCGCATCTTCAATGGTTTCTTGTTATTTTAAATCAGTTTTCCAAGATGAGTTTACTGGAATGGAAAAGTGTTGAACTTTTCGATTTTGTTACTTTACCATCTATCCAATTAAATGAGAACAATACTGAAATTACATCGCACTGCTGTAATATAGTTAAAGCTGCAAATGGAAGAACAAGCACCACGTTTGTATTTTGTGCGAAAAGTGGAAATGTTTATGTTGTAATAAAAAATGGTGTAAAGTCAAGGCAAATAATCTTTAAATGCCATGACAGCCATAAACCGATTAAATTATGCTCCATAACAACCACCAATTTACTTGCCATAGTTTCACAAAAAGATAAATACGCTTTATGCATTTGTATTTATGACCTAAACCAGATAAAAAAGGAGGAACACCCACCTTGCATCTCAACTGCAAATATGCAAGTATCAAGTACTGCAACATCCTTACATATAGCCGTCATTGGGCCCGATAAATTACTTGCATTGGGTGTTGGCTTTGAAAAAGGTGATATTCTGTTACATTTTGGTACCAATCGTGAGCTGGCCTTAAGCATCCGCCGGCATACCGTTGCTCTAAGCCCAATAAATGGAATACAATTTACAACTTGTGATCAGCAAAATGAAATGAGAGCTTTCAATGTGTTCGTTATAAGTGTCGATGCAATATATTGCTTAGTATTAAATGATAAGAATACAATCGATTCCAAAATGGTTCTTGATAACAATAAAAATATTTCTAACCAGTGTTGCACATTATCCCAACCAGTAGTTTCAGATTCCTTTCTTGTTGTTGGCCGTAATGATGCTATCTACTGTTTTAGAAGCGATTGCAGAGGACCATGCTATGCTATTGAAGGACAAAAACAATTTCTTTCATGGATTGACAATTATCTTCTTGTAGTAGTTAAAACTAATTTTGGATCTGCCATTACAGTAGTTGATATTGATAACAAGTTAATTGTTTTACATAAACGAATATCAACTGTGATGGACATAATCAGTTTCAACAAACTATACTATTTTATAACCAAAGACGAAAATTCTAAAAATGTATGTGCATTTAATGTTTATGCTTTAAATGAGTATCAGATAAATATCAAAGTAAGAACGCTTATTGAAAAGTGTATGCATGATAGCGCCCTCATGATGTTAGAAAGGGAAGAAAACCCGCATCAATATGATGATGTGGCATATGTACGTTTGAAATACGGTAATAATTTATTAGCAAAAGGTTTTTATGCTAGAGCAGTTAGTGAATATGCTCAAACCATTGGCATTTTGAAGCCGTATCACATTATTTCAAAACTATTAAGTTCGAGACACAATGATAATTTAATACAATATGTAAATAACTTATTAAAAAGTAAAATCATTACAAATGAGCATCACAAATTACTTCAAAGATGCCTTGATCGTACAAGCCTACGTTCTAGGATTGAACAGCTATGGATTTCGAGAAATGATACTACCCGCATTTCTGATTTTAAACAGATATCAGTTAGAAGTAGCAACATGTCACACTTGATGGATACATGGAATAATTTTCAAGAAACTGATTTTAACAACAACGACGAAAGTGATATTTTTAATTTTTACCTTGAGTATGGGAAGGAACTTTTATTGGCTGATACCACGATTGTTTTAAACACTATGAAATCATTGGTAAAGAGCAAGAAAATTAAGGATATACTTCGCTTTTTAATTATATTTCCAAATTATTTAGAATTTAACGCAAATTTACTATCGTACTATGTAGAAAACTGTTCATTCTGCGATGAAAAGTTACTCTATTATTTGCTCACCCTTTATTTGGGACTATGGCGAGAAAAGAAAATATTATCCAAGGACATAACTGATTTAGTAAAGAAAATGCCAATTAGATTTGAGAAGATTTTAACACTATCGAAGACTTATTTATTTAACATTGACATTGAAAATTTGGGAACTAATGAAGAACCTCAATTTATTTCTGAGGAACATAAAAACTTTCTTCAATGCTTGAATCAACACATAAAGAAGAATCCAAATCTTACTTCATTGTTGACAATCAGTCACCAATCATTGCTTACAATATTGCAAAAATTGTGTGGTGGTTCCGAAATAAAATTAAGAGATACTAAACCGTTTTTGACTGAAAAATTCATTAAAAATACTATTGATGCCAAATCCGAACTTAAGTCCATTGCAGATCTTAACTGTGAAATAGCAATCCATAGTTCACTGGAATCCCACTATAAACAAAATCCAATAGAATTCCGCAACAGGTATTGTGATGTATGCCGTCAATCATTGCATATGCCGGCAATTTATTATCTTTGTCAGCATTCATTCCACAAAGATTGTCTGCGCTTTAATTATAATATAAAAGAAGGTGATGACGTCGGCTGCGTGTTGTGCGCCACAAATTTAAAATACTTTGAATCAGATGATGAAAATATTTATTTAAGTTGTAAATCTTATGATATAATAAAGGGAATTTCAAATGTTTTCGCTTCTGGTATAGATAACTTATTAATATCAGAAGATTGTGATAAAGAAGAATATTACAATGCTGTCGTCTCCAATGATATGACCAATCAAAATACTTCGGAACGTACAAAAAATCCATTTGATGACAACTATGATTCTAAGTATAACTGTAGTTAAATGCTTCAGTAATTTTTATAAAGATGTGCATCCAATATATATTAGATTGTAATACACCTTTAATGATTAAATACAACTGTTTTAAAATTTTTAATTTATGCGTTTAAAATATACAATCAGACAACAAAACAATTCAAAAAGCTACAAATTAAATTCAAGAGTATTGATATGCATTTTTGTGAATGGTAGTTATTAAGGAAGGTAAGATGTTATTGTTATAAGTTGTGTGACAGCAAAAAAAACATGTTTGAATTTTTGGCAGTAATTATAACATCGAATGGTCCTTCAATAAATAAATAGTTTCAAAATAAAATAAAATGTTCAAATTTCTAAAAAAAACTTGCTTTATGGGAATAATTTGTCATATTGACCTTGTTTGTTGAAAAATTTAACTTTTTTCGACTTCTTCATAGTAGTACAGTACGGTATGGCTATAACTGGTATGTTTTTATACGGAAACAAATTTTAAATCGTATCGATCGGGATGAATTTGGACTCTTTGAGGAATCTGTGGAATCTATTGAGCTTAAAAGTTGCTTTAAAGTTCATTTAAAATAAATGTAAGAAAAATATATATTCATTTTATGGTTCTTTTGCACAATTTGTTCTCAATATCAGCAAGTAACTTAGGTTGTCATTCTGTCTGTATATAAACCGATTATTAATTAATTAGAAAATATTTAACTATAATTTTGCTCGCACTACGAGCGTCGTCTTAGCTTCATCAAACATGTCTCAAACACATATTTTAGAAAAAAAGAATAGAAAACGAAGCAGCAATCTAAATATCTTTCAAAGCTAGTCTATTGCGCCAACTGTAGTCAAATTACAAAGTTTATCAAAGGTATCGAAAACGAATTTGAGGCATCACGTCAAACTGCACACTATTAAATTAATAAGTTTTAAGAGTATAATGACTGTAGAAGCTTCACGAGGTCATGAGCTTAGAGTAAAACAAAGCCCAGTTAAGATCGAGTTCTACGGCAATTTAAGGAAATGTATTTTTCTGAAACCAAAAGACAATCGAAGTCCAGTCAAGACAAAGCCGTACCAATGAAAGGTAAAATAGCCTAAAAGACTGGACATTGGTAAGTAACCATACAACAATAGAACACATGGAAGAGACTAGATTCCCTGCTCCAAGTTTTCTGATGTCGAGGTCCTATATTTTCGTTTATCGAGCCTAATAATAAGATACCTGAATAAATACGATTTTGAGTGGGATTTAATGATAAAATTTTATGCGTTGAAAAAGTTTCTGGTGATACTTATTTTTTGAAGCTCGTTGGTGTTGCCGCATGGTCTCCTTTAAACGAAAAAGAAAATACACTTTTGTTAAATAATACTAGAGAGAAGAATATCTCAGAACCCACTTTTCTTTGAAAAGATATTTCATCAGAGATTCTAATAGCTTAGTGGATTAAGTAATGAAACTAAAGTAGGTTATTAATTTCATTAAATTTTTCATTAATTTATTTTTGTTCAGTTTAAGCTTTGTTTATTTTCTTTCTTTATTATTTTCTAATTAATTAATATCTTTTTAAGATCCTGTAAAAAATATGTTTTTGCTTATTAAAAAATCATTATTCTTTAAAAAATCGTTTAAAAGTTAAACTGAAAAGTTTATATTTTATTTTGTCTAAATACTTATGTAGATAATTTAACAGCTAAATAATCGCGCCTTGACATTAATATATTTGAGTGTCATCAATATCTGAAGGTTAATACAAGTCTACAAGTCTACATATTGCAGAAAAATTATTTAGCATTGAATTTCCCATAATTAAGCATACGGCGTATATACATTTCTATGAGTTATTTTGTATTTTTTAATGTTTAAAAGGGAACTTTGAGGGAAAGCAAATAAAGAAATTAAAAATTTAAAAATAATATAGAAGTTTATGAAAGTGAAAAATATTTGGTTTCTCACAAAATCATACCATATCCTACTAATTGAGTTGTTCAACTCATAACTGTATATTTTCCGGTACATTTGCTCTGTACATGCACGTGCGTATATATTTTGAGCTTTGACTTATTAATTCAAACATATATACGAATCTGTATGTGTATATGTATTTCAATCGAAAGCTCCAGGAACTTCGATAAACAATGCGCGCGCAAATGCTCTGCTTATGCGAGGTTAAATTCCAAATAAATAGAACGACAACAAAATACCCTCTGCAGCTGAGAAAAAATTAAACTATCTCAACTAAATAGAACGACAACAAAAGATCCCACTGTTGCTGAGAAAAAATTAAATTATTTTGTTTCTATGCATAAAAAAATTAATATTGATAAAACTGATAAACAGATAGTGTGTAACATATTTTTTTTTTATAATTTTGATGTTTTCTATTAAAAAATTGTGATTTATTTTTCTATAGTGTTGGTTGACAACAAAGTTAGCAGCTTAATAATTAAATGTATTAATTGTATATCGTTCTTGTCATAACAAAATTGTAATTTTTTACTTTTTAGTTGATCATCAATTCTAAAATGACAGTAGAAACTAGTGCACATTTCTCTTAATACATCCTTGCTTTAGCTTACCTAGATGTAAAGGGTATAGAACCAATTTGAGAGAAGAGCTGTAGAAAGGTTAGTTTGTTCATATCCGAGCGAAAATCTTGTGCTTTAAAACTTATTTAGTCGATTTCTCTTTCATAAATAAGTATTACTATACTTATAAGTGCAATATTTGTTTTTATCAACGCTAAGACCCCAATTTGAGTCAAGTAAGTAGAATAGAATAAAAAATATTCTTAAGTTTACCAAGCGTTACAAATATATATACATGAACATCTATATAGTTGAAAGTTCTGAAATATAATTTAAAAAATGTGAAATACTTAAAAATCAAACTCGTATTTTCAACTAGGAATTATTGATTATACACAACTGTAATTTTAACAAGTGCGCAGAATCAATAACACATCATGCACTTGCTTATATAATCTTTTCATTATAGAAAAAATTAAATATTTTAAAAACGTAATTTGAAGAATCAATACAAAGTGTATTTTTTTGCTTCTTAATTAATTTATACAACATACTTTCATTAATTTCGAGATTGAGTGATTTAATAAAAAGGAGCATATTATTTTTCATATATATATATATCGCATAAAGATATATATATATATATATATATATATATATATATATATATATATATATATATATATATATATATATATATATATATATATATTCACATATATATATAATATATATATATACTTCTAAGCAAGCAAATTTGTAAAATATTACAAATACATATTTCATTACAATATTTTTTAATTACACTATGAATATTTAATAGTTTGTTTCTTCTCATAAATCACATCATTAATTAATAAATAATTAATCTTAAATTATGTTTTTTAGTTTTTAATAAATATGTGAATCTTTAATTTATCAATTTTTAAATTGTAATCTTTTATATTTAGGATGCCAGCAGATCCTTCGGATGAAATACCTGGACCACAGGTTCCAAAAACAGAACTGGAAGAGTTGCAAATTAAGTCACAGGGTGTTGCAGATGAGGTAACTACTGTATAAATTTATATAGTTAAACCCAAATTAAAGTACATATCGATCGAACTGAGATATTTTTGTATATTCAGAATTTGTAGAATATAGTAATATCGTTCTTAATTAACGTGAAGAGTTAGTGTTTCATATAACTAAGATCGTAGGTTTAAATGCGTTTGTGCCACCTTAGGCACAACTTTAGCGAGCTTTCTGGCTAATATGATCATCAGTACATTTTGGGGCAAAAAGTTCAAGAGATTGGAATATTTGAGATTAGTTAAATAGTAAAGTAATTGTAGAGAGTTGCATCATAAGCAAATATTGATTTTTGCGTTTTCGATAGAAGGATATTGTTTAACAAAATATTAAACGATTTTCTAACAATTATATTTGTATTTTATTTCAGTCCCTGGAAAGTACTCGGCGCATGCTTGCTCTCTGTGAAGAGGTAAGATACGATATATTTAAAAACTCTCATCTCATAACGTCCGACTTTCTGTCTGCTTGAAATTATTATTATAAAGTTTTCTGACGGAGTGGCAATTACATATAAAACTTTGCAAAATTCTTCAGCCCGATTCAACTGTTATACTTCTGTTCCAGAATTTGAGGTCACAAAAGCGTAAGCTTTGGTTATATATATCAAATAATAGTAATTATTTATTTATTAAAAAATAAATAAATAAATGAGTTGCATATTTATTCCACCAGGGTTAAGTTTATGTTTTTTGTGTTTCTTATTTTCTATTATTAATGCTTACGATTCGAACTTTTTAAAATGATATACCGTGCAGTAAACTTGATCCAGTATTATCGCATAATAGAATATTGACCTGATGCAAACTCAAACGATTTTTAAAGCAATATATTTTATATTTCTTTTCTTATTTTATATTTTAAATTACCGTACATTGAGCCATTCGACCCATCATTTTGCTTAATAACTTTTGTTTTATTTAACGGATTTCAAGGATTTAAATTTTCAGCACATTATCTACATATTCTATTGGAATATTTCATGTATTGGATGTAATTGTAACCGAACTTATATATTAAAGACAATTATCAAAATTGTATAAAATATACATCAAATTAAAATCAAAATCTGAAAACTAGTTATATTTAGCAACTATATTTTGATCAAGTGAAGTTTGTTTCAAATAATCGATAACTGCTACCATTTTATAGTTATCGATTAAAAATATGATCAAACTTCAGTTATAAAATTATATCTCGAAATAGGGCTTCCAAGTTTTGTATTTAGTTATATGTATATTTTCTACAATTTTTATATATTTTGGATACCGGCTCCGAATTTCCCCAAATTCATTTAATATAAGCTCAGTACAAAATAGAGCCAATATGTGAAAGAGTTTGTTTTTTACTAAGCTGACAAGTACTACAATCGAATATGTAGATCATATGCTACAAATGTCATTAAAATCCATTAGATTCACAAAGTCCATTAATAAACGTTTAGTCGATTTAGAAAAGCAAATGGCAAGTAGCGCCAAGCATATTTCCATTGTGTTTGAATTGTCAGCTGCTGCTTTAATTGAGATTTGAACTCCTTGCATAAGCAGATCAGTGGCGGTGCTGGAGAAGTCGTGAGTTTAATTTCACTTGGCAAAGAGACTTTTTATACCCTGATCCCATTGAAAATGGAAAATCAGGGTATAATGATTTTGTGCAAATGTTTATAACAGGCAGAAGGAGGCGTGGCAGACCCCATAAAGTATTTATATTCTTGATCAGCCTAGTCGATTGAGCCCTGTCCGTCTATCTTTCTGTCTATCCCTATGTGTGAACGCGTGGATCTCAGCATCTATAAGAGCTAGAGACTTGAAATCAAATATTCGATAACTATTCGCATTTAATTGTTATCGAAAAAAAACATCACGGACGTGCTAGAGCTAGAGCCTCCAAGTTTTGTACCGGCTTCAAATTCCACCAAATACTTAAAATTAAGTTTAGTTGGAACTAGGGCCATTCTGTGAAGGCACTTGCATCTTAACCAAGCCAATAGGATTTTTAGATCATATGCTGAATATTTCATTAAAATCCATTAAGTAAAACAGAAGTTATTAAACAAAACTTTTGGCCAATTTGCAAAAGCACATGTCAGCAGCGCCACGCGCACGCATTTTTCCTATGCGTGTGCACGCACACATTCACAAATGCGTAAACAATCCGGGTTCGAATCCTGGTCTCGTAAAATCGTTTTTTATTTGTTTTTGTTTTTTTTTGAATACTTGATACAAACAACGGAAAATATTAATAAACGCATAGTCGGGCACACGACTAGAGCTTTCTTACTTGTTTTAATATGAAGTGGTGGTATTGGTAGAGCTTATCCGCATAGCGTATACAATGTTGGTTCGACTCTTGGTGTTGTAATGTCTGTTCTTACTTTTATTTAATTGTCGATACAAACTATGGAAAATATTAAAAAACTCAAATAGGACGGATTAGGGTATCTCCCAATCGGACACTTCGAATACAGCTTTCTTACATGTTTGATTTTATGTTTTTTTTGTTTAAATATGTCAATAAAACTAACTGTACAATAGAATAAGATTTGCCTTTTGTCTTATTTTATCAGTTTCAACTAAATATTTCAATGGCCATCTCTACTTTTTTTTATGGCCTCAATTGATTACGATAATTTTACTTCTTGTTTAAAATCATCTAGTTGATTCTTCTTATTGTAATACTTTTATAGTGTTACTTTGATTGTTAACAGTTAATAAAAAAGTAGAAAGCTCTAGTTACTCAATTTGGAGATACCTGAAACCTCGACAGATTTGCATTTTTAAGCATACTTAACAGTTTGGATTAATTGCCAATTCATTGCTAACACGTGAAATAGTTCATCCGAAATAAAAGTGGCAAACATAATTTAATACTAATTACTATTCATTGAATAGCTGGCATTCAATTATATGTGTGTACATATATAAATGCGTATGCTTTGGGTTAATTGCCACTCGGATTTTCCACTATATTATTTTAATAACTTACATGTTATTCAATGAATTTCATATTTTCCTATTATGATTGACGTATTTGTGATTTTTACTAATTAGTACTAATTTAAATACATTTGTAAAATTTAGAGTCTAAAATATTATAATAATCAAAAGCTTTAGAGAAGAACGAAATGTAATTTAAAAAATTAAAATATTTTTTTAACCAATAGCATTGATTATTTGTAATATACTTAATCTGATCGTTGTGCTGGAGGACTTACAACAAATATTTTAAGTCTATAGCTCTTATTAGTTCTGTGATCGACGCTTTCACACAAGTGAACAGACAGACGGATGGAGAGTCTACTCAACTCTTCGTTTTTCTTTTCTGTGGTCATGTTTGGTGGTTTTATTAATAACACTTTGATTTATTATATTTCTTATTTCAAAGTCTAAATTGGGAGAAAAATATTTCGGCTTTGAATGTTTAGCTAACTCCTCAGTCATTGAATGGTAATTTATATTTAACATCAATTTTTTTTTGGTCTGTTGTTACAACACATCTATTTGCTTCATGATATATAATTGGTTTTTTAAAGGTGTTTAAGAGTTTTTTGTTATTAAGATATCATTATTTTCGTTTTCTTTTGAGCTAGTTGCCATAGTGACCGAGTCCAATACATTAACTTCTTCTATGTTTATACGAAACAAGGCGTCAGCTACATAATTTTTTTACCAGAGATATATCGAATAATTTTTGGTTCTTTTAATGAATGAAGCCATTGATTGTCGCCCATAAAGATATGATCTAGAATATTTAGTTGCTCATACTATACTATGATTTTGTGCTTATAAAGGGTACGACTTGCAAAACGTATTGGTTAATTGATCTGTGAAAATACGTCATCTATATCATAATCGCTGACATCGGTCATTAAGAAACTCTCTTTATGAAAATCTGGTAGGTTCTGATACAAAGAGTGTTTTGAGTTTATAAGCTTTAGTTTCAATATCATTAACACTTCCCTTTATTAAAAAGGAGTTTTGCTATTTTAGAAAAATCTTTTATGAACTTATCGCATATTTCTCTATAGCTTTAAAATGTTAATCTGTTCAATTGAAGCATTCAATTGCTTCTTTGATTTTGTCGCAAACCTTTCGAAGGCCCTTAAGATGGTCTTGTAAATAATCCGAGAAAATAATTAAATCATATAAGTATATTAAACAGTGTTATTCAATAATATCTTGAGTATTTGATTTATAATTCAGTGAAATGTTTTTGGAGCGTTGGTTAATCTAAATGGCACACGAGTTTTTTCGTATAGAGCAGTTTTAGTCCAAAAGGCCGTTCATCCATTGGAATTTGATGAAAACCTTTGGCCAAATCTAAAGTTGTAAGATATAGGCATCTATCCAATTTGTCTAAGAGTGCACCAATATGTTGAATTGGAAATCTATCTGCGACAGTAATTTGCTTCAAGTTGCGATAGACAATAACTATACGAAATAGTGTTTTTTTCAGTGACGTAGTCTATTTTTGAGATGATCCTAATTGGACTGCCATAAAGTGAATTAAATTTTTGGATAATACCTTGTTTCAAAATTTCATTAATTTGTGAGTTTAGCTATTCTAAATAACTTTGAGGGTAAGGGTGTTTAGACATGAACAAATATGTTACATAGATTTAAGGGATAAAATATGCATGAGTCAGAGTATAAAAGCCGTAGCTCAGAAGAATAAAGAACTAATACAAACCAAAAAACATCGCAGTCAAGTGTATTCAAGATCCTTCGATCCAATATTCAAGGCTACTAAACTTTTTGGGATAAGTGTAAAAGTAAAGTGATAAATTTCTTAAAAAAGATTTTTTTGCTTGTCAATCCAAGCTATGAGCAGAGCACGATCAACCAGTCCCCCAAGAAACAACACAAAAAAGATGAGGTCGACAAAAACTCTATAGTTGCTAAATAAGCAATTAGAGATTTATGACAAGATCCAATAGAGCATCGCGAACAAAGATGATAATATTTTAGGGAGATAATATATGTTGACATAATGGAAAATGTCTGGACCTATGAAGAGTCCCTGATGAAAGTCGAAGTTGCCGACCACGCCACGACACGACACAGACCAAACAGCATCTAGCAAAAAAAAAAAAAAGGAAACTAAAAACATCCAAATTAAAACATAGTCAGAAGAAGAATATTTTCACAATGAAGTTCAAGCTACTGGATGTGATGATAGACCTTGTTTACAGAAGAGTTATAAGAGTGAGGTAGTACATTAACGTGTATGCCAGTCTAGAGCTCAGCAATCAAGATTTAGAGGCAAAATATAAAAAATTTGCCTTTGACATCGATGGCATCGATAAGCTGGAATGTAAAGTCAGCTTATTCGCAAGAAAACTAAACAGAAGGGTAGGTTACTTTCAAAATATAAAAAAACATCTCTAAGCTACCGAAGGTGTACGTTTTTCACTTTAATGGAAACCCTTCGAGAGATTCTCCGATGATTCACTACAGGAAAGATATCAGCGACACAAGGAAGCGGAACTAATTTTAATCAATCAACGGAGAACCAAAATGGTCGTTGGCCACTTATTAGTTGAGTCTGCTAGCTATAATTCAACGTGGGACCTTATATGCAAGCACAACGAAAATAAGCTAGTTGATATGGAGCTGCTGAAGAACAATGATGAAGGCAGTATCCGCAAGTTCTTCGACACAGCGACTGAGTGTGTTTTCATCATCAAAAGAAAAGTGCCATTTAGTAATTACGCTGCCGTCTACAGCAAATGTCCAAAAGAAAATAATGGGCAAGAAACGTTGCTGATAAATGTTGATGTCTGAAGAAGCCGCACAACAGCTAAAACTGCGCCGAATCAAACGGAATGAAAATTCAAAGAATTGCTCAAAATATTGAAATACTTAAAAATAGCGTTTGATTTACAATTAAACCAAGAATTAAAAGCAACTTGGTTATCAGAACGCAGGAACTTGTTATGTCAAAACTTCAGAGATCTTCACTGAGCAAGAAAATTGACAAGTATGCCAATAAGGATTTAATGGGGTTCGAGCTGGCGTTAATGTACTTTCACTAATTATGTTTGAAAAGTAAAGAAAATCAACGAAACACTGGGATAAAAGACTGAGCTTGGATGGATTGCTTTTGGCAACATAGCTAGATTATCAAGCAACAAGGTAATCAGTGCATAAACGACGATGTGTCTTGACGACCAAGAGCACTTTGAGGAGCATCGAAAAATTGGGATAGTAGATAAATGGAGAACGCAGCAATTGATATCTGTTACACATTCTGGCCACCCGCAAAATATTTTGGCATAAACAAACAAAATAAACGTAGATTATAACTATGCCGTCTATGCACTCAACAGCTAGCAGGTAGTGCAATAGAAATAGACAAGACTGTATGTTTAGCATCTAAAATGAAAAACTCAGCAATAAATAAGCGAAATTTAAAGGATGAATAGAAGAATAAAGAATTAATACAAAACTGAACCACCGCGCAGTCAAGTGTATTCAGTAACGTTTTTTGTAAACGGGTTCCCCAGTTCCCCTAGTATGAAAATTTGTATCCTTAAAGTTTAATGCAAAGTCAGTCTTTAAAACTGAGCAATCAGGGTATAATGGTTTTGTGCAAATGTATGTAACAGGCAGGAGGCGTGGCAGAGCGCATAAAGTAAATAAATTCTTAATCAGGACGACAAGCCGAGTCGATTGAGCCCTGTCCGTTTGTCCGTATGTGTGAACGCGTCGATCTCAGCATCTATAAGAGCTAGAGACTTGACACTTTTTTGTAGGTCCGTGTATAGCACACGCATATCAAGTTTGTTTCATATATTCGATAACTATTCCCATTTAATTGTTATCGAATAAAAACATAATCGAAATGCAGTTAATAAATTATATATCGTAGGTCTTAAGAACTGGAGCCTTTAAATTTTGTATTTAGTTTTATGGATACTGGCTCCAAATTTCCCAAAATTATTAAAATTGAAGTTCAGTGGAAAATAAGGACATTATGTGAAGGCTGAAATTTAATTAAAATCCATTACAACAGAAGTTATTTAACAAAATGTTTGGCCAATTCGCAAATCACATGTCAGCAGTGCCGCGCGCACACATTTTTCCTATACGTGTGCATACATACATTCAAGTGCTTGTTTTCTTCTCTATTCAAAGAATCTAAATTTCGATTGAATACGGCTATTTAACTCCAAACTTACAACTCTTCTCGCAAGCGGTGCAGTGGTTGTGTTGGTAGAGGCGGTGCTCGTAAGCATCTTGCCCCAGGGTTTGAGACCGTAGGAGATGGAATATTTTTTATTGTTATATTTTTTTAATTATGAAGTGGCGGTGTTGGTAGAGTTGGTGCACGTTGCGCAAACAATTTTTTTTTATTGAATACTCGATAAGAACTACGGAAAATATTAATAAACGCAGATAGGACTGGGATCAGAGTATCTCCTAGTTGGGCTCTCCGACTAGAGCTTTCTTACTTGTTTAATTATGAAGTGGAAGTGCTGGTAGAGTTTTTTATTAATCGATAGACATACAATCAATAATGGATTTCCGAAAAATATAATGATCTGATGAGTTAAATAAAAAATATTATTGATCTGATGAGTTAAATACAAAATATTATTGGGCAACGAATAAATCCATTATTTGTCACTTGATGTACTCACTAAGCTGTTTTTTTTAACAATTCTAGTGTTTTTAGTGGTCTGTTTGATCAAAGAATAATTTTTTAAATTTACACTACTTCCTGTCTCGATTAAGTTATTATATATATTTCACGAGACTTTTATTTTAAGAACTACTGTTCTGGGTGTTCGTCCGTAGATTTTTATTGAAAATCCAATTTAATTTGAATAATTTTTAACTGTATCCATCGGTAAGTTAGATTGGTGTGATTGTCCGCTTAAATTGCTTAAATGCCTGTTTATATCTTTGGAAGTTATTTTTTCGGATTATACTCTTGTGTGTTTAGATTAGTGCTATTCATGGTATACTTTTTTTGAGTGTTAATATATGAAAATAAGACATTACAGATTTTTAAAAAGTATTACTAGAAGCTTTTGGATTGATATCGAAATGTAAGCCTTTTTGCTTAGCAGTTTTTTTTAAGATGAATCGCCCCTTCTGTTGTTAATTAATTGAATTATCGTTTCTATATTCTCAATTATTATATGAGTGTTTATTAAAATATAAGCTTCAGTTATTTCAGAAAAAATTTTTCTTAAGCTTACGAATAAATCCACAATCGGCGGTGAGATGCACGTTATATAGTTGTCTATAATATGTCGAATATTTTAGTTGATAAAGTAAGAAGTATTTTTAATGTTGGGAACACTTTTTTTTGAATATGCTCCACCTGACGACAAAACGGAGCCAGACTTTGATTTCATATTCAATATTTCATTTTCGGAAAATTTTAAGTATATGTATATATATTTTCCGAAAATGAAATATTGAATATGAAATTAAACGTCTTTGAGCTACAGCGATTTATATTGAACTGATCGACAATGTATTGACCACCACCTTTAATTTAAAATTTGTTTAATTGTGATAAAAATAAAAAAAATCGAATAAGTTGGTCAATAATATCATGCTAATGCTTTAACGAAAGCTCGGTACTCAGTACAAACAGATTTGGAAAACATATTTGAAAATGCGCCTATTGCGTAATAAATTTGATTAAAATTACAATATTTCTTGTATGCTATATAAACTGAAATATAAATACTAATTCCAACAAACAACTTATTATTAAAATATATATACTTATACAATACTAACACTTATCTATACACTTTTACAAACTATTTACATTGCATTTTGCTGCACACCAGAGCAAGGAGGCAGGAATACGTACACTTGTAGCCCTTGATGATCAAGGAGGTGAGTCCACTACTAACACAACAATATATCACAATTTAATAGGGCATAAATTGGAAACCATAAATTTACCATTTTGCATAGATATTATACATTCACAGCACTACAGAACTTTTAGCACGATATTTAATGCATATACACTTAATACAATATTTAATCTACAAAACCCGAGAATTACAGAGCTGGAGACATCGTACATTTTTACATAATATATAATACATAATACATAATATATAATATAATATATATATATATATATATATATATATATATTATATATATATATATACATATATAAAACTCTCTCTTTTGGGGTTGAATTTCCAATGAAGTGCTACGATTGGAATACATGGCTTCTAAAATAAATTTCGTAAATATTGCGATGCAAAAATATGTTTTCCTGAATATCTAAAAATATGTGTATAGAGATATAAGCTTGGATGTTACAGAGGGGTCGTAAAACTAAAGATCAGAAATATAAACAAGAAAGTTGCAGACGGGCGAAACAGTCTACATAATAATCATTCACGGTATAAGCGCCAAAACTTTCGAAGATATGCTTTTTCCCGATCTGCCACGCCTTCAAAAAGCTTATAAAAATAACTTTCAATAGTGCAACAGTAATTTAGTTGTTACATTTTTAGTTTCTAAATATAAAAATTTTGAAAATAGACGCCCAGGTAAGCATGGCCATATAATTTTTGTCACTCCTAACAAGAAGCTTACACTAACGTAATTATAAAATTTTGATGCTAAGACTCAAAAAATTTGGAATATACAGGGTTTTTTCTATATTTCACGCCCTCAAACGAGCGTAATTGTTATGATGCATCGATGGAGGAATTCAACAGGAACCTAATATTTTAAGTTTCTATCTCTACAAATTTCGAAGAGACAGACTTTGTTGTTCTCTGTTCATTGAGTTAAAAAAAAACTAAGCCAAATTATTGATTTTTATAGATATAGCTCGTCGCTATGATCAGGATCATATATACTGTATGGGGTCTGCGACACTTCCTTCGGACTGTTATATACATTTTCACTAAACCATTATTACCCTGAATTCTCATTTTCAATAGGTATCAAACCTTAAAAGCAAAGGGATAAATAAAGAGATATAACAAAAAAAAAAAAAAACAAACCCCATAACGTATATATATTTTTAATAAGGATGCTGAGCGGATTGCATGCTTAGGCATGTGTGCCCATGTGTTGTTTGTATAGAAAGAGTGAAAAAATGATTGGAATATCAGGTCATTGTTCAGGGTATCTCCTAGTCTAGTCGTCTCGACAAGAGCTTGATAATATTTTTATTTTTTTTCTTAATTTTATTTTATTTGGAATAGTTCAAGCTACCTTCCATTTTCTTCCTAAGTTAAGCTATGAGAGGTTAGAGTATTTCAAAGTATTCCCTAATGTGCTTTTCATATTAACTAAAAAGTCCCCAGAAAGATCGTAAATATTTGATAATTATAGCTGTTGGGATTTTTTTTATTTATATTATTATTATATCGGCTTTATGTTGTGACTCTTCAGCTCAAACGTTTAATGGGAACGCTGTTATTTTTGGTGGAGCAGCATAGTCTATAAAATGGACTTCGGATGCAACTACGGGCTCTGTAGCGTGCAGTAGCTTTGGTAATTGTTCGACTAGTTCGTATACATTTTCCTGCTTTTTAGTTTCACTGTTAAACAGACATGGCAATGCACAGTGCTGCTTGTGAAGCATATTTTTGAGAGGGCAGAGAAACTGTTTCGGTTTAACACTCGAATATTTTAATGCTCGAACAAATAAGGAGTTGAGTTTGACCTACTACACAAATTTGATGTGTTAAAAAAGTTTGCCCTAGTTGTTCCACCAATGTGTACATATAGATACATAGATTAGTGAGATATATGCAAGAGCGTAGAATGATTGGAATGCCAGCTCTTCAGGTTTTCTTGGTGGGACACTGCCGACCAGAGAAATCTCACTTATTTCCTATACCCTATTGATTAGGATGACCACTAAACTGATATATTAAACTTTGCAGCAATTATATTTATAAACAAGTAAATGTCTTGCAGTCGAACGCTACTGATTGCATTATATTGATTCACTGCATAAACGCCGTCTACTCTAAAACTTTCGGAGATGTTTTTTTTTTGATTTGCTACACCTCAATATCATGAACATTTTTTGGGAACTCAATAGTGGAAGTCAACAGTAACTTGAAGTTTGAGTTTTAAATTTGGGTCAAAGGCTCCAAAACTGTGGAAAATACAAAATTCAAGCATTAAGAATAATATAATATATAGGTGGGACTGCTCATCTTAAGCTGTTGTCATCTGCATATACATACATATGCTTCGTTGAAGATAATGGTTAAAAGGTGGAATACTGCTTTTAATCGGGCTCGTAATGCCTCAGTGACTGAAAATTGTCAACTTTTGCCAAAAAGTTAATTAAATTGTAAAGCCCGGGACTTAAACAGTGAGTCTTAAGATTTTTCATTTATAGTCAAATAGTTATGCCTAACAAATAAGATTCTCTGAGATATATATCACTACACATGTGGAACAGTTATAAAGATTCCCAATGAGCGGATAAACAAGTTTATCTGTAAGTAAAATCAACAGTCACAGAGAGGTCCACTAGTTGTGGCTAATATGAAAATGGTGATTTTGTATCAAATATAGCTTTTTTTGGACGTTAACACACTATCTTGTAAGTGTTAATGGTTAGTCTTTCTATCTAATAATATATTTCGATTCTGTTTTCTACTGCAGAAATAAATCTATGATCTTTAGACAAAATGTTATTATTTATCATTTTGGGAGAAGCATATGAAACCAACAAGACCTCTTGTATTTCAGGGGATACTCCCAATATATTTGATATAAATGAACAAAGCTACCAAATTTTAAGTGAAAAATTATGTTTTGTGCATTAGATAATTTTGATTCATAAGCTTAATATTAACACGATAGTCCCAATTATAGTAATAGTTTTTTAATATTGCTCTATGTCTGCCCGATTTTAATAATAATCGGACCTATATATGTATCATAAACAGGAAACTGAGTTAATTGATTTAAAAATCATAAACATTTTAAAAATGATATACAACTAAAAATGATATAGACTCAAATGTTATAGATATTTTGATGAATTCTCAGATTATAGTACTAATTTTAAAATCAACATGTATTTCTATTTAGAGCGCGGAAGTTGGGATGCGAAGCATTGTTATGTTGGACGAGCAAGGAGGTAAGATTTTTATAGTAAAGGACATAGACCAATTTTAACAACTGATAAAATTAGAAAATACATATTATTCAAAGCTGTCATAATGCAATTACTAATAACTTGATATAAGTTGATCATAAAATAGGATAGCTTTAGGTCGAGCTTTAAGTGATATATCGAGTTACAGAATACAAAATATGTATTTTTATTGTGATTGAGGTGGGTAATTTACCGCTAGTCAGATCGTCACTCTGACCGGTATGCCGGCCTGCATTTCCGCTAATTGACTAAAAAGCCAACTTTTTCTTGAGATCCATCTGCCATCTTAGATGCATTAGTCATTCAGCACTAACCTCCTATGTGGATTCCTTTTTGTGGTCCACTTGAGCATTTTTATCCCTGCTCCTACACATACATTCCACTTTTTCCGCTTTCACTTTTCAGCGAATTTACAGGCTCTTTTCTAAGCATGTTTACTTTTGTACATTAGTTTTACTATTTGACTTACTTTACTTTTCCACTTTGCCAGAGACTCCATCTTGCTGCACTCTTTCACAAGGAGTTAGAGTTACTTCTGACTTTACTTCGTTACCATACATAGGATTGCATTTTTTCTTCTATTAGGAGTCTTCGTTTTTCTGCAATCGGTCCGTCATTATTGTAATCAGTCTACTCAGAGACACCGATACTATTCTTTACGTGTCATGTTAAAAATGTTCTCAAAAATTGAGTCCTTGTTATGGTTCTGCTATATCACTATTTCAGTTGAGATAAGCTTTACCGAAAACTGAATTATCGCCGTTTTTTGGTACGAAGTTCCAAACTTATTGAGCTGCGTACCGTCTGCGTGCGTATCATGAATTGAGTAACTCTTTATTAAGTCTCTACTGTATTTCTGAGTGTAATTTCAGCCGCGATGTCATCTGCCAATCTAATCACAAAAATATTTCCCTGTGTAGATCCACTGGTCACTCTATAACATTTCGTACCAGTTGTGTAGCGCACAGAAGTACTCGAGCCTGCAAATAATTCCTAACCATGCGGATTTAATATTCCGATATACGAAAATTCTGCTCTACGGAAGCCAGCAGACCAAAAACCGCTATTAAGAGCGTTTTTCACGCCAAGCGCTACTAACAGGATCTTGGGACCCGAGTACGCATTTCCTCTTTCCCCCTGGCTAACTTTGTTGGATTCTACCGCAGGAAAAGCTTTTCTAGCAGCTTTCCAGCCGTATTTAACACTTATGCCAATTTGCCGATGGTCTGGTTTGGGTAAATTGGTCTGTTCCTCTCTCCTCTGAAAAGTTAGAGGTAGAAACTAATAATCAAAAGAAGCAATAAGGGAGAAATTATTGTTTCTTTTGATTATTAGCTTCTACCTCTAACTTTAAGAGGCGTTTCTGCACTGTCCATATTTTTCTACCTAGTCACAGCAGCACGTCGCAATGCCTGCAGATATTCCAGGACTGTATCCTCTTCCTCGGCATTGAGTTTCAAGACCCTTGCCTTAATGAAATTTCCTGCGCTATCTGCGTTCTTGTTTCAGCAATGGTTTTTAGTTGTGTTTTCTTCCCATTGTTTACTGCCAATGCGAGCCGGTGAATAGTGGATAAATTTCTTTTAGTGGTGTTCCACTGCTTGATTTTTTCTTGTTATTGGGAGTTTATTTGCTTACAAATTCCATGAAAAAAGGGTCCAGCTACAAGCTGCTATCTTAGCTCGAATGTACAGTCGCTCATAACCATCCTCGGGGTTGCCGAATGGCCACGCAGGGCTTGCCGCTGGTTAGCTACAGCCGACATTCAGAGCCATGATCCTGCACAAATTTATAACTTATTTCAACAATAAGTGACAAACGTACTTGGATTGGCAGTGGCAGGTTTTTAACTTGTTCGCAGTTTATGTCTTATTTATTTATTGAAAACAAATAAAATTCTTGCTAACCCTGCTAAACTGGCGTGCTGTCTTCTCAATCAAATTTTTATCAGGTCGTGGTCCCATACATCAGATTTCGGTTGAGCTAGATATCTCTCTAGCTTTGATTTCATATCATAACGTGAGAAAAGTATTAAACCTAATTTTCTACCTCAGGACTGTTAAAGCTAGGTATGAAACTGTTAACAACTTACTGACAGCAATATTAGCAGAATAGTAGAGGCTTTGTGGTTTGCCTGCTACAATTCGGATATCCTGACAATAAGATAGTTCTCTATCTGTGTCAATTTCTTGTAACTATTCATCTTTATGACTTATATCAAAATCTTAAAATAAATATTATATTAAAATTACGTTAACTAATATTATATAATATAGTGACTTAACTTCTGTCAAAGCTTACGAAAGTCCGTTTATAATAATGCCTTACTCTTATCCAATTTCTTATGTTGTTGGAATTTCAGACGCCTTGATAAGAATTTCGGGACAACTGAGAACCGACAATATTTTTGACCAAATACCAGATACATATGATTCTTTAAATTAAGCTTTTAACTTTGTGAAAGGCTTGCTGGGTTTTCGAAACTTGTCGCCATTATGAATTCTCCTGTATCGTACTTAATTTGTTTTTGTCTTTTTTGTTTTTTTAAGTACTGTTATTTTTGCTTGTAATAAAGACTGATTTGTTGTACTTTTGCCAAAATGTCTTTTGAATTTCGTGCACTAAGTCTGGCCATTTCTGTTACATCCTCTAATTTTTCTCCTAAGCTATCACTAATTTCGCCCTTCTGTGATATTCCATATAAGATTTCGCTAGGAAATTTATTAGTGCTATGGTGGTGAGCGTTAATTATTCGACTCTTTTACTGTCCATTTTCAGCTTTACTATCATTGTTCCTAAACTTCTTTTCGTATACTCTATCTAATCCTTTGTGTTGACCGTTTCGAAAACTAAAATGTTGGATGAAACTGGGAAATCACAATATAACGGTTTTGTACAAATGTAACAATGAAAAGGAGGCGTGAATATATATTATTGATCAGGATGACAAGCCGAGTCCATTGAGCCCTATCCGTCTGTCTGTCCGTCCGTCCGTATGTGTGAACGTGTCGATCTCAGCACCTATAACAGCTATGTATGCGTGTATTATTTTCTACTCTAAGAATCAAATATGTTTAAAATGTCAGCTGCTTCTTAAGTTGAGATTTGCTCAAGCAGTGCTTTGGCGGCGTTGGCAGATGCAGCCATAATTATGTTGTGGCGGTGTTGGTGGAGTTGATGCGCGTTGCCTAGACAATATGGATTCGAATCTTGGGGTCATAATGTCGGTTCTTATTTGTTTTTTTTTTTTAATACTCGATACAAACTAGGAAAATATTAAAAAACGCAGATAGGACTAAAGCTTTCTTACTTGTTTCTGCAATAGCTTCGTTCCCTTATCAAAGTTGTAAATATACTATTAACAAATCTATGAAATAATTGTAAATCAGTTTTTATCCTATTAGCCTCTACAAGAATTCGAACTGCCAGAAACTAGTAACGAATACGGTGTATTTTAAAAATTCCTCTGAGTTGTATGATGCCATCTCTAATTCATTCGTCTAACTGTTTCTGTACTTTTTGTTCGCTGCATCTTTATATGTAACCCTTAATTTCTAAATACTAAACATAACACAATAATACGAAACATAACGCTCAACAATTCACTCATTTTTTTTATTTTCAAACAATGTACTCTCTATTCCATTACTATTACATTTAGTATCTCATATTTTGTACCGCGCTAATGCTTTGTTTTGCAGAAAATTCTTTCGATTTGGTACTCTCTTTGACCATTAGAATCCTGATATTTATGACCCAAAATCATCCGCAGAACGTTTGGGTCAACATTTAAGTTGTATCCTTTCCTGAAATCCGTACTACTCCTCACCTCATAGATCCATAAGCATATAAGCATATACGTATATAAGCATATAAGCATATAAGCATATAAGCATATAAGCATATAAGCATACGTTCGCTTTCATTTAGCTCAAATTCAATGGGTTTGGAGTTCTACTCCAATTGCACACAATTTTCATGAATGAAATGACTGAATGTTTACCTTTATGGTTAAAATATATACTGACTAATTAATAATTATTTCCAATTAAATTCTTTCTTTTCGCGTATTGCACCACAAAGTGACCTGTGGTACCACAGCCGTAGCAGAACCCCTGTTCTTTCTTGTTATCCGTTGTAATTGCAGTGTCGCATCTCTTTAACTAAGTTGCTATTGGGTGCTAATGGTTTCACCTGTACTTCTGAGTGCGCATCTAGTATTCGTTCGGTAAGAGCATCCTGATTTTTCTGAACTTTTTAGTAGAGTTCAAAATGTCTGCCTCGAATTTGCGACAAATGTCCACTTTACATCTTTTGGCGCACAAACCCAAAGATTGTGAGCGATATAATTATTATTTATTTATTGAAAACACATAAAATTCAGTCCGTTGTTTAATACATTAGATTTTGCTTGAGTTCGAGTTCGCGCTTTGATTTCATGCCGTAGTATCACTAACTACTTTGCTTAGTTGCCTACCACAGCATTGACAATATTAGCAAAATAGTAGAGATATTGTTATTCCTTTGCTCTTATTCTCTGTCGTCGAGTTTTTGTGAGTTCTATAATATCTGTTTATACGTTAAGAACAATTTTGTCATGCAACAAGCGATGTGCGCATAACAACACATTTATAGGACATTTTTATTCTCTGATCCAATTGAAAATGAGAAATTAGGTAATAGTTTTGTTAAAGTGTATGTAATAGGCAGAATTCAGGCCCCATAAAGTATATTCTAGGACGAAAAGCCGAGTAGACCCCTGTCTATCTCTCTGTCCGTCTTTCTGTCCATATCTAAAAGAGCTAGAGACTTGAAATTTTATTTTTAGGTCCGTGTATAGTACATAAATTTGTTTCAAATAATCGATAACCACTCCCGTTTTATATACTATTTTCTATTATCTTTTATACTATTTTCTATTATACATTTTTGATTTTTGTTGGATTTTGGATAGCTACTCCAAATTTCCCATAATTCTTGAAATTGAAGTTCAGTTAAAAATAGGGCCAATATGTGAAGGAGTTTGCATTTTTATTATAGAATATGCAGAGAACTTCATTAAAGTCCAATAAGTATAAGAGGAGTTATTAAACAAAACATTTGGTCAATTTGCAAAAGCACATGGTAAACAACGCAAAACGCACGTATTGAAATGCGTGTATTCTTTTGTATTTTTCCGTGTATTCCAACAATCGAATTTGGTGTTGAATTGTGCTTGAATTGTCAGTTGATAAGCAGCCTGCTTAAGCAGCGAAGTGCCGTTGTTGGTAGAGGCGTTATCGTTATCTCGGTCGACAAGCTATGGGTTCGATGCCTGGCATCGAAAATACATTTTTTTAGTTGTTTTTTTTATTTTATTTTTTTTATATCATGAAGTGGCGGTGTTTGTAGAGTTGATGCGCGTAGCGTTAGCAAAGTGGGTACGATTCTTAGTATCCTAATGTCTGTTTTATTTATTTATTTATTTTTTTTTTATACTTAATACAAATATTTAAAAACGCAGATTGAGTTGGGATCAAAGTATCTTCCAGTCAGGTACTCCGACTAGAGTTTTCTTACTTGTTCCCTTTAATCTCAGAGTACGAAAACAAAATTAAAATAAATAGATTAGAAAATAAAATATTAAAATTTATGTAAGACAATTGTAAAATCGAAGATAAATTAATGTATCTTACGTCTTTACGGTAGTGGTAGAAAAGGCTGTGGCAGACCCTATAAAGTATATGTCTTCATGATCAGGTTACTGTGCTGAGTCGATGTAGATCTGTTCTTCTATCTTTTGGATTGCCTGTCCATATATACATATAAACGCATCGATCTCAAAATCTATAAAAATTGAAATTGATTGTTTTTCAGACCATCATTAAGCACGCGTAGATTGTTTCGAATAACTGATAACCATTTCGGGGGATAACATGCAAAAATGCATTGAAGAATCATTTGAGGTGCACGTTTTCATTTTATTACGAAAATGTGTATAAGCTTACACTTATTTATGCTTAAATATATAAATGCACAAGTGTAAATACATTTGTGGAAACAAGCTATGGAATATATTTAAAAACGCTTAAGCGCCACTACAGGATTGAATTTGGAGCGAACAACAACCATCTTACACACAATTTTCGATGCCATTCGGTACAAAAAATAATGGAATTCAGTTCATATTAACCAGTATTGAATGTTTTTATGAATTTAATGTTCTTATTATTTTTGCAAAGATTCTGTTTGTAAGTATTTCATAAGAATCGGTATAACAAATTTCTATCTCTTTTTAGAACAACTTGACCGAATTGAAGAAGGCATGGATCAAATTAATGCCGACATGAGAGAGGCTGAAAAAAACCTGAGTGGTATGGAAAAGTGTTGCGGCATTTGTGTACTACCCTGCAATAAGTAAATATTAAAGAAACCATTTTCTGAAAACGAGCAATATAACATTTTTTCCCAATTGAGTATATATGATCCTTATTAAAAAACAGTAAAAACTAGCTTTTATACAATTTTAAAACCACTTGACTATTTTCCATACATCTGAATATTCTTCTTGGGATCACTTAAAAAGCATAATTCAATTTAAATTAATTTAAAAGAGAGTTATCGCTATAACATTTTAATCCGTTTAAATACAGCGATCTCTTACACCAGAAAAGCTAGAAACTTGAAATTATTTTAAAATAATAAAATATGTTAGTGCACGTGAAAAATGTTATTTTCAAAACTTGAATACTTTGAATTTTGCATTTAAGGTGCTCCTGTAATGTCCACAGAACTAGCTTTAAGTAATCCCTTACTAGTCAGTGTCCACAAAATTGATGTGTCTTTTTTAAAACGTCAGGCATTTGAACTTATATCCTCGTTTGTATACACAAATTTCATCTATTTCAAGAAGTTAAATTTTTAAAATGTCTACGTAAACTGTAAGTAATACAGTGTATATGAAAGATTGTATTGGCTATATGGTTATGTAGTCAATAGTCAAGACATTTTTCTTACACTATATCTATTAAATATGAACTGAACAGTTGGATTAGAAATTGCGATTGATTTGTATCAATGTAAATGTTTCACTAAATTTAATAACTATGATATTTTAGTAACCTAATAATAAATAATGCTTATAGAAAAGTTCACATAAATTCAATTGTCCACAATTAAGTAATATATTTCAAAGCCTTTATGATTTCCTCAATCTTTTCATCAAAGTATCCAATATTGATTATGATTAAAATTAGTATTAACAGATAAATAAATCCCTTTCAGGAGCCAATCATTTAAAGAAGATGACGGTACATGGAAGGGTAATGATGATGGAAAAGTTGTTAACAATCAACCACAAAGGGTAATGGATGATAGAAACGGAATGATGGCTCAAGCTGGATATATTGGGAGGTATAATTTTGAAAATGCCAAAACTGACCATATTTGAATGTTGATTTTAAACTATTCTCGCAGTTTTAATGTTCTCGCTATGAAAATCAAGATTTATTTGTAGCATCTTAGACTAAAAAATTCGGTCAACTATTTCATTTTTTATGAACTTTTTGTTTTTGAAACAATTAGGATTATTGATTATTTATAATTAAAAATTACAAAGTATAAGCATCTACAAATCATGTATCAATTGAAAATATTTTAACATATTTAAACATTACACACATCATTATAAAAAGCGAATTATAAGTATTTTACCAATGGCTCCTTTATTGTATTACAAACATATTGTTAGTTGACGATATTCGAAAATTGTAATGACATTAAACTAAAATGGCGAAGATTTTAACCTTGTATCCCATTGTGAATTGTGATTAATACATACTTTGCTTTCAGAATAACAAACGATGCAAGAGAAGATGAAATGGAGGAAAATATGGGTCAGGTTAATACCATGATAGGTAATCTCCGAAATATGGCCTTGGATATGGGCTCTGAGCTAGAAAATCAAAACCGCCAAATAGACCGAGTTAATCGCAAGGTACATTACATTTTAAATATGTTATATTTTTTTATATGCAAGATATCAAATTGAGAATCTAAAACCCATGTTGATTATTGATACTTCGAGATAATCTTTACGGAAGTGAAGCCTAATATCAAAGAGCTGACGGCCACATACGGAAGCTTTAAACCAGGCTATATAAATGAGATTCATTTGAGCACCTTAGTTAAATTTAAAGATAAAGGCGTCAAAGGCCATGGTTTCGCCCAAACCAATTTAAACAACTACAGGCCAAAGTTTTACGGCTTACGTCAAGATTAAGTCTCAGTATTCGTGCTCCTATTATAGGCATGATATTGTATATCATATATTATAACCATTTAATTCTTGCTTTCAATATTGATGTTAGTACTTTAAAAATTATATATATACATTCCCCTATATGAAAGATTCTCTTCGATTAAGATGAAATACACACACAGACTTAGTCTATTTCGGGTTTTTAGATTTTAGCGACTTATGCTTTGTCATTGAATTATTTAAAGAAAGTCGATCTAGAAAATAAATTGATTAATAAATAATTTACAATGAACTGTGAAACTAATATTTTATTTTTGTATTTTCCCAATTATAGGGTGAATCTAACGAAGCAAGAATAGCAGTAGCTAATCAACGAGCCCACCAGCTTTTAAAATAAGCCGATCTCAAAATAACAGCATGTATATACCAAAAATTGTTTAAGGGTATTCAGTGTTATACAAAAAATATAAGATTCTTGTAACTGCTTAGTGCTCCAACAGTTGTAAATAATATGAACAAATTAAACAAATCATTTTTTGACTATTATCAAGCAATGTTATACAATTTCATAAGTAGCATGTATACATACTTAAATGCTCAACAACATTTCACACCTTTAATCCATTGCATATTTTAATGAAAACATGTCAAAAAATTTATAAAAAAAATTTTATTTTATAAAAACCTTTGTTAGTCATATATCTCTTATTTTATTAATTTAAAAAGTAATTGCCACAATTTTCAAAAATTTAATTATTTTTGAATGTTTATCGTTCCATTTATGGCCAATCCAATCTTCACAAAATATTTTCTTAAAGACTAACATTTTACAAATTCTAAACAAGCTTAAAGTAATTAAGGTATATTCAATATATGTTCGATTTTTCATGAACTTAAAATAGCATCTCATAACAATTCTGTATCGATTAAAATAATTGATCAAATTGATATATATTTTATATAAAATAATATAAACGGATATAAAACGTGTACTTAATAAGATTTGTAGAAAAATCTAGTACCAGGATGCATATAAAATTAATTCCTTTTAATACATACATATTCAAGTCACTTGAGTTCTAAATATTATTTAAGACCACGATTGGTAAGCATATTTTTTTAAAGTATCAAGTCTTCATTAACTCTCAAACGAATCTCAGAGTGTGAATAGATTATTATCAAAACTCTCCTACACTCTTAGTCCAATTTATAGGATAAAAAAGTAAACCCAGATGTCACGATTAATATTTTAATAATAATTAAAAGTTATTCATATGTTGATAGTTTTAATATCACAATTATTTTTGTACGTCTTATTTAATTATTTTATGCAAAACAAATACTATAAATTTATAAAAACTGGCTAAGAAATTAAAAATGCTGTATAGACAGACATTTGTAGTAAAAATATTTCTAATATATAAGGCATGTCTTTTCCACTACTATATATAGGTGTTTATCATACTGAAGATGTATGTACATTTTTTAAGCCCTTTTAAATATATTTAAATCAAATTATAATGTGATTAAGATGACATTTGTTAACATTTTTTGCTCACTGTAAAATGTTATCAAATTCGTCAACTACATGATTATAGGAATACGTAAATATATTCCAAATTTAAATAAATTATCGTTCAAGCAATGCTTTTGTTTGTTAAATTATTATTTACTAATTTCTTTGGAATACGAGCTATAAATTACAGCGGTATAATTCTCAGAAATTGTGGTTTGTACATCTAATGAATCGTTGTTAAGAGAAGTAAGTAAGTAAAGATATAGTCGCCGAATTTTTAGGACCATAAGATTTGGCTTATTCATAATTAGTTTTGGAATCAGGCCACGGTTTTTAGTCATATCAAAATTGAGCTTGCGCCTCGTGCAAGATTGCGGCAGACATAAAATATCTTCGTATCCAATGTTGTTAAGTAATGGAGAATAAGTAAGGAAGAGTAAATAAAAGTAGTAATGGATTCTAGTTTAGCCAGCTGTTTCTGTGTTTGACACTGTTACTGTTTATAATTACAGGACAATAATAGCTTACCAGAGTGCAGCTTATTATGATTCCTGTGTCACCATTAATGTTGACTCTGGTTCTTAATTACAACTAAGCCATCGCCGATTACCGTTAACAGGTCAAAATGACTGGATTGGATCTTACATCATACAACTGAATGATAAATATTGAATATTTATAATTTGAATACTTAACAATCTATTTTTGTTGACTGAATTGGCAGGTATCGACACGATCTGTTTTCGAGTGTTATAGGATTTTAGTGCTAGATGGAAGATATTTATTCAGTTCTTCTGCTGGCTAGACTTTGATGGACACTTAGAAATCTTAAATCTCTATTTAGTTGATAAGTCCTCTTGTCCAATCCACGATACGAAAACATTCAATTAGGCTAGCGGTATGCGCTAACCATATATCGATCTCAAATGAGGAGTCCCCTTCCACTATCAGAATATAGTCCGAGTGTGTGTAGTCAGTAACCCAAAAGTCTTATAATCTAACGTGTAATGTAAAAGAAAATTCAAAGATGAGAAATATTGAAAATTACCAATTTATTAATAATCTTATCGACCACGCTCTTATTATTGGGGACTGTTCTCCCCAAGTCTTTGACTCTACTTTTTGCATATACGGAAGTTAATTTGTTTCTCATTTTTGAGTTTGAATAATATGTCTTGAATAATATGTCTGTTGCCTCTGACACTACTGAGGTGTTTTAACTGGCATATATTCTTATGGATTTTCATTACAATTCTCTTGTTCAACCTGGTGTAATTTTATAACCCTGCGTCACGCTGTAGTGAGGCCAGTTCGATGTAACGGCAACAGCGCGAGGAAAAGAGCTTTTATTCGGACTCTGACACAGCAATCAGTGCATGCTAGCTGTTTCACTGTAGCCAATAGTGCTCAACAGAAGAGCATATTAATAAAGCTAATGTTACCAATGATCCGTTGTTTAACACACTACCAGTTTCTGAATGTATTTCTTTGTGTGTTACCATGTTATCGTGTCGCATTGAAAATGGAAAATCAGAGTAGATTGGTTTTGTTAAAATGTACAAAAAAATGGCAGAAGGTGCCAGACCTCATAAAGTATGTGGTGTCTTGATCTGAACGGTAGGCCGAGTCGATTGAGCTCTGTCTGTCTGACCGTACATATACGTTCACATAACGCATCGGTCACAGCATCATAAGAGCTGGAGATTTTTTTTGAAAATCCGTTTAGAGCACGTGCATATTAACTTAGTTTTAAATAATCGAGAACTCTTCCAATTTTATTGTTATCAATTAGGAACATGATCTAAATGCAGTTATTAAATTATCTCCCCAAAGTTTTGTAATTTTAAGTTCAATTGGAAATAGAGCCAATATGTGAAAGAAATTGAATTTTTACTAAAGTGTCAAGTAGAATATGAAGATCATATGCTGAAAATTTTCGTGAAATCCGTTAACTGACACAGAAGTTATTAAGCAAACCTTTGGCAATTGTTAGAAGCACCTGGTAACCAGATCTAAACGTACGCATTTTTCGAATGCATGTGCACCCATACACTCAAATGTATGCTTTCCTGTCTATTCGAAGAACCGTATTGGGATTGAATTGTGATTGAATTGTCAGCTGCCAACTTAGTTTTCATTTGCCACCAATAACGCAAGCTGTGGAGCGATGGGGTTGGTGGGTGTCGCCAAAACAATTTTATTTTAAAATGATTTTTTTAATTTATTTTACATTTACGGTGTAGATACGGAGTTATATTTTAGCTTAATAAATGATTAAAGGCAGTATTTGGGGCGTCATATGTTGATTTGGCATTTTTACAAGAGACGAACACTTACAAAGAATAATACATGTATACGAAAACAATAAGAAAACCACAAAATTGCGCATGCATACCAACATAAAGGCGTCATAACTATCTGCAAAATCTAACGGCAGTTGAACTGACATCAAATTTCGATTTGCATTACGAATTGCGAGAAGTTTTGATGGCGCCGGCGATGATCAGCGCATTTTCCGTCCGAGTTGACTGGTGACCACGATTCAGTAGTTTCTTTTAAACTAAACTACCAACGCCTCCAGGCTCACAATGTCGACACAGTCGCCTTGAGCCACATTCCACACATTGTCTCCGAAGCTGAATTCTTAATAATCACCTCAAATTATAGGCCTTGTTTTCCACTATGGCATTTTTGTTGCATTTCCTGATGCATTCCTTTTCTTTTCCTTTTCTTGTTGTCAGTTTTATTTCCCATTTTTGTTAGCTGCCCTACCCTACAATTGCTGTTGTCCTGTTTTAGCTTGTAATCTCGTTTTGCTTTTCATTGTAACTGCTTCGTGGGTTCCTCTTTATTCATCCATCTTAATGTTTCTTGGAGAGGGTTGTGTTTCTCATGCAATTGTTATTCTTTTTGTTTTTGTTTGGTGTTGTGTCTTCTGTACGACGAACGGTATTTCTGCAAACAGTCCTTGATGACCGTCGTGTGACCGACGCGAGCCCTTTATTAATCTATTGGAGCAAGAGGGAAAAACTCCTTTTCGGACTCTGACCCTTTACAGTCGAGATAGTTGTAGATAGTTGTATTCTGTTATAGAACTATATTCTAAAGAATCCAACTATTGAGCTACGGGAATATCAAAAATAGCCTGTACTTTACACAGTTTGGGAAACTCAATTCCAATTCGTTAATTTACTGAGTTACCTATTGAGGCATGAAAAATCAAAAAACTGTATCTTCTACAATTTTATTTTTAAAAAGTCAAACTTACTTTTAACGTAATATATATAATGTTATAGATTTACCAAAAATGATAATATATATGCTTCTTGAATGCGTGCTTATTATTTTAATTAAATTTTCCAAAATTTTTAGGTTTGTGCTTGTTAAATTTTTAAATTGATATATATTTCAATGCAGCTATGTAGCGACTTTGGACCTAGAGTTTATGCCTAGTTTACACCGGGCTGAATTCAGTAACCAATCTTTATATGTCGGTAATTTTTATGGATTTTATTACACTTTTCTTATGTCGATTTACAAAGTAAATGTATTATAATGTGATTATATCCTGTCTGAGGCACTTATGCTATATGCAAGAGAACCTATACACAGGATCTTATTTGGAGACGTTCAACTCTAATCCGGATACACGAGTGAGCTATGATTTTCTTGTCCATCAAAGAATTTACTTTGAGCACTCCAAGTGCAGTCCAGACATGTTCAGTCCCCTTGGGCGGTTCGCTCCGATCTAATTCAGTGCTCTCCTACGGTTGGATTCACTGTAAGCACACCTGAGTAGTTCCAAAACTGCACAGCACTCTTTCCGCATGTCTTTGTGAACGATACTGATTCCTGCACTGGATGCATAAGAGTCCTAACGCTATCTAGCTCTGCACTAGTATTCGTGTTAGTAGCATCTTTTCCTGAGGTGTCTATTCCTCAATTTCAAATACCATACTATACCACATTTTACTAACTAATTTTACACGTAGTTTTACAGTTAATTACCTTGATGTATTACATATTTATCGTATTGAATTGGTGCAAAAGTGTATACGTATTGTCTTACATAATCTATGTATGACTTCATACTCTTGATTCTTCTTCTTGATCTTCCATTGTTAATCAACCTTGGAAAAATCTTCTGGATTCCCTTCAACATTATTTGGTTTCCAATAATATTTATATTATATTTCCTTTAGTACGAATTTTCTCTTTTTCTGTCTATTCCAGACCAACTAAGCACTTTCGTCCGTTATAATTGTTCTCTGCTTCATGCTTAAAAATAACGTTTGCTTGAAGTTTCGATTAGCACTCCAAATATAGTCTAGCAATTTCACTGGACTACATTTTACTGTGAGCGGTGGATTGGTGCTCGTCCGGCATAGTGATAGTAATTTAATGCATTTTACTTATGTGCTTTAATTTTAATTTTTTGTTGACACTCGCTTTGTCAACGTACCTAAATAAATACATATTATTTATTTATTTACAACAAATAATTGGAACAATTTTGAAAAAAATGTTGCTACTTTTACGCATTATTGTGAGTACTAATAACAAAACTTCGGCGGTATGCTGACAATTGTCAGTATGCATCAATATGAACTAGTTCTTAACATACTGAAAAGGTTTTTAATATCTTGTGAATAGTTAATATAACGAAGTAAGCAAAATATTTATATTAAATACACATTCTGAACAGAAAATATTTATTTATTACTAGGATATTTATAAAATGCAAGGGCTCGGATTACAAAGTCTTAAAAAAAATCCAGCGGTTAGTAAAGTGAAATTATTCATTTAGTATTACGTAATTTTTATTGCAAACTGAATTCAAATTTTTGTATTAATATTTAAACTGTAGTTGATTCCCCTCTACGTTTGCGTGGCTGCTGGAGCTGTTGGAGCCGTATACTATATGACTCGTCTAGCTACAAGGAATCCAGACGTTACATGGAATAGGTCATCCAATCCAGAACCATGGCAAGAATATAAGGACAAACAATATAAGGTAATCATCTCCAGCATTCATATTTTTCGCTACACATATTGTAAAATTTTTTTGTACATATTTATATAATGAATGATTTTTTTTGTTTATTTTCAGTTTTACTCTCCTATAAGAGATTATTCTAAAACAAAGAGTGCAGCACCAAAATTCGAGGAATAACTTTATGGAATGCAATTAAATTGATTGTCAAAATAAATGCATTAAAGTGCTGTTAAACATTGCGTTGACGAATTATAATTTACATATACATATATTACGTATTCGGATATTGACGCCAGTATCTGCCTACATGTTCATTCTATTAGCACAACATCAAACTGATAAAAAATTATATAATCGAGAATAGTTATAGTTGGCAAATCAAGTCAGATAATTTTGTGCACGAATCGAGATCTGGACTTAATAGCATTATTAAAGTCATACACCGCCTACACCATAGTTGAAAAAATGCAGCTCAAAATACCCAGCGAGCATTTGACAATATAGTTGATGGTCGCCTGACCTGCGGCCGCCGTTAATGCTGTTCTACGAAGTACAGCCTACTCGCCTCTGCCGGAATATATTGTTACGCAGCATACTTGCTGGCCGCTTAAGTAGAGTCCTTAACCACCGCAAATTGAGAGAAATTGAATTTTTTATTGTTTATCTACTCCGCGTTAAGAATTTCACCATCTGCTTAGTTTGGCACACATAGCCATGAATACGTTCCGCTTCGAAAAATACACTATAATATATATATATATATATATATATATATATATATAAATATATATAGTTTACATCAACGCTTTTGTGGGATGATAAACCACAAAAATCTACACCCTCTAAAATTGTCAACTAAATTACTGAGCTGGCAACATTTATATTTTGAATGTGAATTATGCAGTTGGTGGCATTGACTGCCTATTCCTATTATATTTATATTTATTTTATCACCAATTTACAATGACTGACTGACAGTTTTTTTCATGCACAACCCCATATTTTAACATGTTTATTTCATCCACCTTATATCTACAGCTTTAATATATTTCCTCGATTCTACATTCCAAAGTTGAAAGCCGTTTGGTTACTCGACAAGTATAATTTTTATTGACTTTCGTGAAATTTAATTGTGGAGTGTGAGGAACCGGAAAGCTGATGCTAAATTCATATATTCTATTATTCGCTGCCATTATCAATATATGATTGAACATTTTTAAGATAAAATGAGCTTCACTTTTCGCAACAATATATACATCGGAATTATTTGTCAAAAAGTAATGTAATGTTCTGATCAATAAGTAACGCTTTAAAGATTGTGAAAATACCATCCAGATGTTAATGATACTAAGGTTTTTTTTATTAAAATTTGGCACGATTAACAGCTAATTAATTAATATGTAATTTAGCATCATATCATCAGCAATGTTTCATATAAGTGAACAGTAAGTGCCTGCTTACCCCTCGTTAATTTAAATACTTTGTTTACGATGTCTGTTAATCGATTATTTGGTCGAAGCTTAAATGTTATCTTATGCTATAACTGATAAAAATATAGAAAAGTTATAATAATACCGGGGATCCTAGCGGATGTTGCCCTTTGTTGATTTCATGATGGAATAAGTTCATTCATAAACTTCTATTCATTTCATTTCTCTCTTGCTAGTATAGTCTATGCTACATATACCTCATTGGATTCATTCGGATACCGTTCCGGCACATTAAACGTAAGAGGTTAATTGTTGATTTCTATTACCTTATGAAAAACACATAGCAATTGTTTCTTATATATCTTCATAACGGTCTCAGAAACCAATATATTTTGAAGTTTCTCAAACGCGTTACGGGTTTGACCTGTATTTGTTTGTAATGGTGCAACCTCTTGTGGGTCCATTCTTAACATGATCTGACCCGTTTTGAGAATATATGATAAATACATCTACTAAGACTTACCAATCTGCTTTAAGCATGCTGCCAGCGTTCTTAAAGCAGAAGGGAAGTCGAAAAAATAGTACTTCAGGTGATCTGGTGATAGCCGGTTTTAAAGCTTTTGACTTATTTTGGTTTTTTTCCGGCCTTTAAAATAGCAATTCGTCAGCGTCAGTGAATGCTTAATATGGCTTTTTAATTGGCTTTTATCAAAGGATATGCGTCAATATCATGAATACTCGCGCATAAAACGCGCTAGTGTCAAATGACAGAAGAGCCCGAGAAAAAGACGGCTAAAGGGCAGTTGACTCATACAAATGAAACTTGTAAATAAATAGTAAATACGTGCATTTGCACAATGTGCAACGGGCAGCAACTGTATATGCCTTTGGGAGCAAATATTATATAAATGCGCGCACAAAAGTATGCAGCAACCTTTACACTCTTCTAAATAGGACTCTCCGTGGCTGACAGCCCGTTCGGCTATTCACGACATTCAAGCAAATCAGCCATTTTTAAGCTTAGTTTTATTGGGAACGACTATTTAATACTCCAATAAGTGTAATTAAAACAAGAGGCTAGAGATTAACTCGCAGATATCTTGATTTTAGACAATAATTTTAATTCAGCAACCTTTCACCCTGCACTCCCGATATCACCAATGCGCCCAGTAGTCCACAGCCACGTAGCCCATGTCGCAAGAGGAAAAAGCAATTATCACAATGTCAACCAAATTTGCGGTTAAAATATTGAAATAATACATGCATGATTATCTGATACTCTATACTTTGAAAATAATCTGAACCTAGAACAATTGAAAGTTGATCTTTACAATGGAAAAGCAGTAGTTGAAAATATATCACTAAAGGTTAAGGTAAGCTACATTGCGATATTATTTATAATAAATATAATTTACGTATTGAATAAATTGGTACTACTGCCATGTATAAATATTAAACACAATATATATTTAAGATAATTGTATTTACATATTTACATATGTATGCATGCATATATGATCATGTTCATAATTATTAAGTGCAATAAAATTGCATTTGTATATTTATTTCTGAGTGCACTTATTGAACTAAAAATGCAATTCATAAAATAATTATGAATCTAACTCAGCTCACAAAAGTATGTTGCGCAAAAAGTTTTTGTGGATTAACTAGATATGACATCTTGTCACTACCTGAAATTTATTTCAGAAAATGATTTACAGATTAAGCAAAATATTAACACATATATAACATAGATAAGGCATTTCAAATAAACTTTTCAACACAAGAAATATCGGCACTGAAATTACACGCAGTGGGAAACTATGGCAATATGTTCCTAGTAGATAAGCATTTTTATACCCTGATCCCATTGAAAATGGGAAATCAGGGTATAATGGTTTTGTGCAAATGTATGTAAATGTAAATGTAACAGGCACAAGAATACATATATTCTTTATAAGGACAACAAGCCGAGTTGATTGAGCCCTGTCTGTATGTGTGAACGCGTCGATCTCAGCTTCTATAAGACCTAGATTTGTTGTAGGTCCGTGTGTAGCACGCGCATATCAACTTTGTTTAAAATATTCGATAACTATTCGCATTTAATTGTTACCGAATAAACACATGATTAAATGCAGTTAATAAATTATATCTCGGACGTCTTAAGAGTTACAGCCTACAAATTGTGTATTTAGTTTTATGTATATTTTGTGCAATTTTGATTTTTGTTGGATTTTGGATACCGGCTCCAAATTTCTCCAAATTCTTTAAATTTAAGTTTAGTTGTGAAAGCGTTTGCATCTCTACCACGAATACAATAGAATATGTGGAGCAGATGGCTGAAAATGTCATTAAAACCATTAATTAAAACAGAAGTTACTAAACAAAACTTTTGTCAAAAGCACATGTCAGCAAAAGTATATGCCATATGTAGCGTTGTAGCATGTTCAATGTATTCCAATGAATTTTTGACGGTGATCGACTCTTTAGGACGACGGTGATGATACATATAATAACAATAAATAGGTTTCCATATTCATAAATTAATGAATATTAATTCTTAAGTTTTAGGACTGACATAAGAGAAATTTTTAAGTTTGGAATCGTTTTCTGGTTTTCATGTTCTGTTTTTCTGTTAAATATGATGATACTGCAAACGCGGCAAGCGTACATTCACTGTAGGCTGGGTAGATTTGGTCCATATTAATTAACTTTTTGCAATGTGCTTACGATGTAAGAGTGTTGGGGTTGATTTTGCCGTTCCATACACTATACCCTTGCTCACCCATGAACACTTTCAGTGATTTCCAGAGAATGATCTGACAGCAAAGTTTTTATAAAGGCAATATGAAGTCCTGAATTTTGAAGAATTGTTCTACGATCGATTAAAGATGAATATCGAAAAGAAGGAGCCTACTATTATGTGGCAAAATATTAATCTATAATTATATTTATATACTCCCTCACTTCTATAACTTTTGTAGACAACTTTTTTGCTTCCGCCTCAGCCGCTTAAGCGGGGGAAACTGTTGCGTTGATTTTGCTTTACTCCAATATGTTAATTGTAAATTATTTAAACACTGAAATACAATATTTTATCGCAGCAATTTTTGCTGGTCTCCGGTGTCTTGAACTGAAATGAATTCATTCCTGCTTCGTATTATGCCACTGAACAATGTGCAATAAATCCCAAAAATAAAAGGCAACCTCATTTATAGATTTACTATATTTTCCGTTCAACTTTATTTAAGTAAACGGGATTCGGATTTGTCAGGGTAAAAATTTGATATCCACACAGAATTTGATGATATACATTACTACTGATTATTAAATTTCTTTTTTTATTTTTATTTATTATATAACGAAAAAATGTTTTTTAGAAAATAATTAAAGACACGTCATGTTGCGAAATACTTTTTTCTCTTACGTATAAGAATTTACCAATTTGTGTAAACGTACAATCGATTGATTTCTAAATTTCTCCGCTTTACATTCAAATAAATAGTGCCCTTTCGTATTTACATAATAAGGTGGAGTTTTTTTTTTTCTTAATACAATTTTATTTCCCAAAGTAAACTGCATAAAATCGATTATTTGATCGTTCTCTGAAATTTTCAAATCTTGAAGAGGACTAGCTTTAATTTCAGTAAATCCATTCTTTGCCATTTGACGTTCAACAATATGCAATTTTGTTTCGTTTGCTATATCTTCATATGATTTTTGACGCATAAGCCCAATAAAAAATGCTTTCACAATGTGCTGAAGGTTTGTTGATCCTTCAATTTTTGCATATAAGTCCTGTATTCCTATAACTTTGCAAATAGTTTGTATGGCCCTGTGGCATACTAAGCCATGCCCTTCCGGTTTTTTAAAGACAAAGATTTTGGTTTTTCCAAATGCGGTATAAAAATCATGATTTACAGTTCTATTTTCATAAAGGTCAATACTAATAAGTTTTTGACCTGCACGATTTTTCGATTTTCGGAGGGCAGTTCGAACTTCAGGAGCCTTAGCTGTTGCGAACCCAGCTAATCCACTTTTATTTCCAGTGACAGATAATACAGAGTACCGTCTTTTTCTTCCCATATTACCTTTCATTATAAATACTATTTTATTCTCTAATACACGTGTATCAAATAAATTAAAATTTTCTTCTCCAACAGCATCTGGTGGTCCAATACTACGACCTGGCATTTTTGATCCTGACCAACCTCGATCTATAGGATTTAATTTCATGAGCTTGAAATTGCTCATGGAATCACGCAAGCTAATAATGCTTTTTTCTCTATCCAAGTTTTCAGATTGTTTTTGTTGATGCGTAAGCTCGTTTCCTCGTATAATTGGTGCATTCAGACCAGGCCAAATGCAATTACTTTTGCCGAGCCCAATTGTTTGGCCTCTGTTCAAATCCTTCGCAACTTTTTTTCCTGTCCCCTTTCCACGGCCTCTTTTTTTACCTGCGTTACTTACTGCTGTTACCCCACGCCAGATATCTTCGGCTGGTACTGTAAAAGACACCATTCAAAATTTTAATTTAACGAAACTGAGCTTATATTTTCTATGACATGAAATCTTATTTATGATAAATCATATCAAACATATCAATAAGTTGTATAGCATAAATAATTGGATACATGTTTAATTAAAAATATCAACATAACTTATATGTATCCACATAATTTAACTTTTACTAATCATTTCGGAACAACTTACTCTTTAAAGAAACAACTGTAATTAATATGAGATATTAATTTGGGCAGCAATCTCAGCAATGAGAAAATATAATAAGAATTAATAATTTTATTTTCATTTTTACTTCGGAAATCTTGCGATTTGATAAAAAGGCACTATTACTAAAAGTGTGCATATAGAATCGAAGTTATTCAATCACTTATTAAGCGCGGTGTGAAAATATAAAAAAAAACTGTCTATGTACGTAAATTTTAATTACAATTGTATGAATGTTTATTTTCGTAATATAAATTCAGTAGCGATAAAACCAAAGTTTATAAGCAAATAAGGATATTTATATTGGACTTTGCAGCACGTGTACTTACATTTATTAAAAAAGCTAGTGTTACGTGTAAAAACAACAGCGGAGGGAGTGCGCACTGCGTTTGCATAATATGCAAGCTGCGGTGCGGATGCCCGCCAGTTGGACATCATAAATGGCATAAGCCACAATTTGGCCATTTTATACTTGTACTCAATTGACAGGTAATACGTAAATGTTACATATTATTATAAAACTTCTCGATTAAATTTGTTTTTTTAAGTACTTTTTCGATAGCTAAAATATCGATACTTAAAACAAATATCGCTTAAAAATTTACCGTCTAATCAATGAATAACTTAAGGTAATCGTGCGAAATGTGCGATAAATATGTAAATGTTGTATTATTGTTAATATCTTATATTATTTTTTTTATTTAATTATAAAATAAACAAAATAATTATAATTTATTTTCTTTACTGTTTATATTCAAAGCAAAAACAACAAAACTAATAAAATAAAGTCTCGTTATTAACTATGTTGTTATCGATTTTGCGATCGAAAAAAACAACTGCCAATAGCACATCACCAACGGAAAACAATAACAAAGGATTAAAAACTAAGCTATTGTATTTAATTTTCACAATTTCACGATGTCGTGGTTTAATCTTTGGGATGGATTAAAAACAAAGACCTGTAGATACCTGTTACAGAGGTATCTAGGTCAGTTCTTTGAAAATAATCTGAATCTAGAACAATTGAAAGTTGATCTTTACAATGGAAAAGCAGTAGTTGAAAATATATCACTAAAGGTTAAGGTAAGCTACATTGCGATATTATTTATAATAAATATAATTTACGTATTGAATAAATTGGTACTACTGCCATGTATAAATATTAAACACAATATATATTTAAGATAATTGTATTTACATATTTACATATGTATGCATGCATATATGATCATGTTCATAATTATTAAGTGCAATAAAATTGCATTTGTATATTTATTTCTGAGTGCACTTATTGAACTAAAAATGCAATTCATAAAATAATTATGAATCTAACTCAGCTCACAAAAGTATGTTGCGCAAAAAGTTTTTGTGGATTAACTAGATATGACATCTTGTCACTACCTGAAATTTATTTCAGAAAATGATTTACAGATTAAGCAAAATATTAACACATATATAACATAGATAAGGCATTTCAAATAAACTTTTCAACACAAGAAATATCGGCACTGAAATTACACGCAGTGGGAAACTATGGCAATATGTTCCTAGTAGATAAGCATTTTTATACCCTGATCCCATTGAAAATGGGAAATCAGGGTATAATGGTTTTGTGCAAATGTATGTAAATGTAAATGTAACAGGCACAAGAATACATATATTCTTTATAAGGACAACAAGCCGAGTTGATTGAGCCCTGTCTGTATGTGTGAACGCGTCGATCTCAGCTTCTATAAGACCTAGATTTGTTGTAGGTCCGTGTGTAGCACGCGCATATCAACTTTGTTTAAAATATTCGATAACTATTCGCATTTAATTGTTACCGAATAAACACATGATTAAATGCAGTTAATAAATTATATCTCGGACGTCTTAAGATTTACAGCCTACAAATTGTGTATTTAGTTTTATGTATATTTTGTGCAATTTTGATTTTTGTTGGATTTTGGATACCGGCTCCAAATTTCTCCAAATTCTTTAAATTTAAGTTTAGTTGGAAATAGGGCCATTATGTGAAAGCGTTTGCATCTCTACCACGAATACAATAGAATATGTGGAGCATCTGCTGAAAATGTCATTAAAACCATTAATTAAAACAGAAGTTACTAAACAAAACTTTTGGCCAATTTGCAAAAGCACATGTCAGCAAAAGTATATGCCATATGTAGCGTTGTAGCATGTTCAATGTATTTCAATGAATTTTTGACGGTGATCGACTCTTTAGGACGCCGGTGATGAAACATATAATAACAATAAATAGGTTTCCATATTCATAAATTAATGAATATTAATTCTTAAGTTTTAGGACTGACATAAGAGAAATTTTTAAGTTTGGAATCGTTTTCTGGTTTTCATGTTCTGTTTTTCTGTTAAATATGATGATACTGCAAACGCGGCAAGCGTACATTCACTGTAGGCTGGGTAGATTTGGTCCATATTAATTAACTTTTTGCAATGTGCTTACGATGTAAGAGTGTTGGGGTTGATTTTGCCGTTCCATACACTATACCCTTGCTCACCCATGAACACTTTCAGTGATTTCCAGAGAATGATCTGACAGCAAAGTTTTTATAAAGGCAATATGAAGTCCTGAATTTCGAAGAATTGTTCTACGATCGATTAAAGATGAATATCGAAAAGAAGGAGCCTACTATTATATGGCAAAAACCAGGATCTGAAATTGAACATTTTTATTAAAGGCTAATTCTTAAAAAAATAAATAAGGATATTATCAGAGAAAGGTGACTTCAGTGTCAAATTAATTGTTGCTTTTCAGAATTGCTAGCTATATGATATTCGTGATTTTTGATTTGCAGCGTAAGTAGCGAAACTTCAACAATTAAAGCTTTTTTCTTTGCCCCGTTGTGTCATGACTTTTTCAATTAAGCATATCGCAGGCAGATGGATTATTTTCTAAAGTCTCCCTCTATTCTATTTATATATGTGAGTTTCATATGGTAATGGGATGGGATATTTTTACAGCTTGTATGGCTAGATGTTTTTGATTTAATTTAATTTTAGATGTGATAAGACCATTGGGTTTCTTTATTTACAATGTTAACGACTTCAAGTCAAGTTGATCAATTTACTACCATCAGAGTTCAGAGTTGCTACTTATTTGAAATTCATGAATTTTGAATCAACCATCGCGTAAAGCAACGCAATACCAACTTATTTGTTTAATTATTAACCAACTTCTTTGTTTAATAACTTATGTGTAATATAAGAAAAGTATGCAATTTGCAGCACATGAGCTACATATTTTATTCTGTCAAAATGCAAACTCTTTCACACTTAACTATATTTACAAATTATCTTCAATTTAGAGCATTTTCTGTAATTTGTATAAAATATAATAATTGTTGTAGATTATTTTTAAATTCTAGTCTTGTAATAGTTTTAAGTTCGACGTGATGGGACAGGGTTAATAATTAATTAATATAAAAATATATAAAAATCTAATTCTACAAATGATTACTCTGATAAAGTAAAATATTATTGCTAAGGAATATAATATAAACAAATTTTTCTAAATATTTTTATTTTAGGCTCTCAATGATTTGTTTGAAGATCAAGGCTGGGCTTTTGAAGTGATTTCCGGGCATATTGGATGTTTAACGGCAATGGTACCGTGGAATGCTCTTATGACAAACGATAGTTCTCTTAATGTTTCAAATTTGACAATAACTTTAAGACCAGTGACACGTTGTCAAAGTGGAACAACTATGTTAGAATCGATGTGGTCATCCGTTAGTAGTTCAATGCAAATGGCGGAGGAATGTATGAAACAAATTGATGATGACATACCATTTTTAAACCACAACAATACCTTAATTGGATTGGAAAAGTTTGCTGAAACTATTGACAATGGCAAGTAAAACTTAAGAATAATATTTATCATTTTGTGCATAATATATATGCTACCTTGTCCGAACGTGACTATCAGAGAGCTAATGTGAACGACGGGAGGTTCGGTCGATCGGTATTGCGACTGGCTGTGTTCTGAACGTGGTTGAATAAATTAATGTAATGTAAAAAAAAATTAGGATTTTCATTCAATATAAACAAATGTGCCCCGCTTCGAACATTAAATGAGTAACATGAATTTTTGATTAAGCGTGATTAAATATTAGAATCACCCGCATCCCCGACATGTATCTAATTTGTTTTAAATCAAAAGCGAAGGTGAATGATAATTTTTTTTGTATTTATAACTGTAATACTAACCACTTTGCATATACAATGTGCATCTAATCTAGCAACATATCTACTTAATAATAAATAAATAAAAAAACAAAAACCGTCCCTCCGCCACCTGTTATCAAACCCAGTAATTTTCGATGTCGAGCGCCGAATCTAGCAACACCGCCACTGCACTGATTGTACAACAAGTAGCAAATTTCAACATAATTGGCAGCTGACAATTCAAGTACAATTTAATCGCGATTTCAATTCTTCAAATAGGATAGGAAGAATGCGTACGCTTGTCGCTGTTTGATTTTGCAAATTGGCCAAACGTTTTATTCAATAACTTCTGTTTTACTTAACGGATTTTAATGACATTTTCAGCATATGATCTACATATCCTATTTTGCAAAAATGCCAAAATTCACATATTGGCCCATTTGTTGCCCAGTTGGAAAACTGAACTTAAATTTAAAGGATTTGGGGAAATTTGGAATATCCAAAATATAACGAAATTCAAAATTTTACAAAATATACATAATGTACATAAAACTAAATACAAAACTTGGGAACTCTAGCTCTTGAGCCGTACGAGATATAATTTATAACTGTATTTTGATCATGTTTTTCATGTCTAGCTCATATATATGCTGAGATATACGCGTTCACACATACATACACACGACATGGTTAAGAATACGCCGCCTTATGCCTATTACATACATTTGCACAAAAGCAATATATCCTGATTTCCCTTTTTCACTGGGATCAGGGTATAATAATACAGATTTTCCCGTTTTGTCATGCCTTGACAACTGTTTGACTGACTCTAAACGGTGCAAAAAAGGGCTTGGTGCATCGATAGAGGAGGTAAACAGTAACTCAATTATAGAAATTTCAAGTCTCTAGCACCACAACTTAAAAATATAAGGACTTATTATTGGACACGCCCTAAATAATGTGTATGGACCTTTTTCATCTTGGATTGTCTACTTATACCTAAAATACCTGATTTAGTATAGCCAGATTCACCACGCCCATAGGCGTATTAGAAAAATATAAACACGATCAGATGATCACAGATAATAACCACTTGAATTCTTATATTTAATATTCTTTTAATTCTATGAATTTAAAGAAAACTGAACCTATGATCATATATTTATTTAGTAAGTTTACTTAGTAAAACGACGATTTGTCGTTGTGGTCATAGTTTTCAAAATCAATCAGTTTTAAGATCATTAATTACCACAGGTTAGAATACAGTATTGTATATATATATATAAATAAGTCGAAAAATTTATAAATGTTATTTTTTTTTTTCAGTTCTTAATCGAATACATGCAAACTTAACTAACACAACGATTAATATCGAATATATGCTACCTAAATCATCAAAGAAGCTGATTATATCATTTAAAGCACACCATATTGAGTATAAAAATCAAACTGGATATGAAAAAAATTTTTCATCACATGAGGAATTAAGTAATACCGATAACACAGATCAAGCAGCTAATATGATATCATTGCCGATGATAGCTAAGCACAATCTAGTAACTTATGACTTAACGATTCATACTTCCGAAATAACAAAAACGGAAACTAATACAGCGGACTTGAAGTCTATTGGACGACTTTGTAAAATTGTTGAATTTAAGGGATGTCAAAATTTTAAAATAAGTATTAAGCAAACCGAAAATATTGTTGGTCCGAAAATTAACCTGGAAGTTACAATAGACGATATTTATTTTATGCTTACCCCACGTCAAATACATATGTTAATTCGAATTTTTAAAGGGTTTGATAAAGTACGACCAAAAGATAAGTTGATAAAGAAATATACTGATTCAAAAACTGAAGTACATAATACACATTTCCCTACAAAAATGTCTGGCCTTGTTGAAAAAGATAAGGAATGGTGTGCTGAAGATGGATATAGAAAATCAGAGTATATATATAATGATAAAAAGAAGTCAAAAAAATGCGAATCTATAATATCTTCAACGTCTACAAACAGCCTAACAACATCATACAGCAACGCTCAAAGAAATGAGGAAATTGATGAAAAATCTGGTGAAATTTTAAAGTTTAAATTGCAAATATATAAAATTGTAGGTGTTTTCTTGCATACCGATATTCTCTTTGAAAGCACATCCCATCATATTGGGTCTAGCTGTATATATACTAATCAAAGTTTCGCGACATATTTGGAAACTGCTAGTTATTTTTTTCAAACCGCAACTATCGAAAAAAATGAGAAAGAATGCCATATTCCAATACCAAACAATAATTATCTGTTGCTAATGATCTCATCATTATTAGTCAGTGGAAATCAAAAACGATTTTGTAATGAACTGACTTTAAAAACAACATTATCAGCAACGATGTTTGACTTCTGTGAAATTCTTGATAACACCAACACTCATTTAATTTTGTTTGACAGAAAAAAAGTAAGTTTTAGTATTATTTATTTTTTAATTAACTTTATTTAACTAAAATATAAAAATGTTTATCTTATCACCACTATCTAATAGGCTAAGTTCTGTTTATTAACGTTACCAATAACAAATAGTAATATGAAGAAAATAATATGTTTCAGAACTGTCAAGACGGATATCACACTCGACCCGAAATTGTTCTGTCCCATATTTCGTCGTGTCTTTTCAAGCAAAACTATAATATAAGTAACAACAAAATTGAATGCACGATTGACGACTGTATTGTAGAGTTTGATATATCAATTTATGATAGAATTAGTTCGCTATTAGGCATATCTCCATTCATAAATCAGGATGATACAGATGAATGCATTTCGGAAAATGGAAATCCAATGGATATGCAAATTAAGTGTAACTACTTAAAGTGTAATTTGAGGTACGTTTTTCACTGAAAATAAAATAATATACAGTAGTTCAACACAGATTTCTGTATCCGCTAAAAGTACCAAAAGTGCTTTATGATATTTTGACAGTTATAAAATAATATTTTTTTTTTTAATTTTTAAATAGGTTTCCAGTGAACGGAGGTTTACCTAGAGACAGCGATAAATTTGAAGGGTTTCAGAAAAATATAAGAAAGGACTATTTCTTATTTGATTTACAAAATATATTAATTGAGTGGAAATTATATATTAGTATATTTGTTGACAACATCTATGGATATTACTGTGTAAGTATAATATATATTTATGTATAGTATATAAGAGTAAATGTAAAGATTTGCTGCTTTGAAGATTGTTGAGTGTTAACCTTAATAGGTTTGGAAAATCATGTTTATGTTTTTGTTCTCTCTTTGTTTTTATTGAACATTTACTTAAATATCAGAACATGGTTTTAATCGGAAAATTCAAAATGTATGGTATATTTTTGGCTCATTTGCATAATTATATAGAACTAAAATCTTTAGTATTCTCAAACTTAAATCAATTATTAAAAATGTATCGTGGAAAACCCTTAAGCGATTTGGAAACAAAACAGCAAAAAAACGCAAGCAGGATTAGCCACAGTTATAATATAACAATTTTTCTTAGTAATGAAGAAACGAAAAATGAAAAATATTAAATGAGGATATACAACAGCATCAGAACAACGACTCTTGCCTCTCGGCGAGTGACCTTAAAACGAACTAAACACTTCTTTGAAGAGTCTGAAAATAAAACAAGTAAGAATGCTCTATTCGAAACTGATTGACTAGAAGATACCCTGAACCCTGCGGATCGGTGATATTACAATAATTATAAGCTGCTCTGTGAAGAGGTCATTATTCCCTTTCTTATAAATACTTTACTGCGCAGTTTACGCACCGACTGCACTTGTGCTGCGCTGTTGACTTTACTATGGGATCTTACTATGGGATCTTTTCCGTTGTTGTTTGTTATTTCTGCTAGATCGACTTTCTTAATAAACTTTTTAATGATAATGACAAATATGCTATTTGATTGTGAAAGTGTGATGTCCAACATGAAAAATATTTAAAAACGCCGGTCGACTGAGTTCTTTTACTTGTTTTGTATAACAACATTTAGTTAATTCAAATCGAAGTTTTTATTAAGGAGATATAACCTTTCAAATTTTTTAAAAAATCCAACCAGTTGAGGGGCATCATAAAAATATACACTATTAAATTATCCAATTTTGTACGGTATAGAAGTTTCCTCAGACACCCAAATGATTTGAAGTAGTGTTAATCACCACAACGTTGCTAATGATTATATTCTAATTGGTTGTATGATCATTCCAATTACTAGACTTTTTGAGTATCAATAAAAGAATATATTTATTTTCCCCTGTTTTTGAAGTAGACCATTTATTTAAGATGTGCTTGGTTATAAGCTAGATGTTAAACTTATATATTGGATAGAATGAATATGTAACTAAAGCTTAAGACAAATGGAACATAGACCTCGTGCTTAACTTGATCGAATGATTTCGACGCCTCCAGCGTTGATATATGAGGATAAGACTGAATTCCTCGGTTTCTTTGTGCTCCTAGATAATGAGTAAGTTGTGTTCATGCAACTGTTGCTGCAATAGTACAAGATCATGTCATGTGGTGCTCAGCTAGTGTGAACCCACCGGTCCCGGGACCTTCCTTACACCGTTATTGTAATTAAGGTGTGCACTTTTAATTATTACGGCTATGACCTCAAATAAGAAAAGGTGAACCCCTTATATTGTCATCACGGGTCCGTTATCTGTGCTGACTCTGTGCGAATCGTTCGTTGATGATTATTCCCTCATCCCCCACGGTGATCGGTTGAGACATGTGGCTCGAGCTCATGAATTGTAAATTATTGTCAATAGATTGTCATGGAAACTAAACTTATTGTCTGTTTATTGTAAGAATCTCCGAGTTATATTTCCAGAAGACTTTAAAATAACATAAGTATTTTATCGTCGGTACATATGACGCTATCTAAATACAAAAATGATTGACATTAACCAATTTTAAATATTTATTTGCGAAATAATAAGTAAGACTATTACTATTTCTATAATTGACATACTAAATTTATATAATTTATAACCACAATTTTTAACAATGTTTATTTTTTCAGGATGATTCGAATGAAAACAAAATTAAAATTATGCAATGTTCCTACCATAATAAATTGGATTGCTTAACTGAGAAGGATAAGTAAGTCATAGCGTATATTGTGATTGCAGTCAGTTATTGCAAAAAAAAAAAAGAAAAAAAAAATTATTTGCAAATACAACAGCATTTTACTGGACCGAACTTAATTAAAATTTAGAACGATTTCAAGTGAAGCAAAGATCGAATCACATAAAAAAGATATTACATCTAACAGCTTATAATAATATTTACAATTAACTTAGAAATTCTTCTATATTCATATTCATCAACATATCACAAAAATAATTTAAGCGTGAACAACATTGAACATATTTGTAATTTATCAAGTGTTGCATCGTGTTTCCCTTCTCCAACTATGATGGGTGATGTTTTCGATTTAGTAAAAAAGTTTAAGTCGGAAGTGTTCGGCTAGGAGATCCCCGTTGAATCTGCGAAAATGAACCCCGTTCGAAATTTTTTTATTGAACTTAATTACTAATTTTTTAATCTTATTCGTTGTTCTAATATAAAACCAAACTATTTTTAGAAAAATTTTAATATCAATTCTCAATACAAGAACTTTTGATGTCTCACCGCTCTTATAATGATCAATATATGGATTAACTCAATTAGATGTATCGAATATTACATATTTTTTTAGAAAAATTGTTAGCTTCAAATTTGAAGAGTTAATTGTTACTAACATGGACAAATAACAGTCCACTGACATAGGCCGATTGGAAAAATGTTTAACACGTTCATTTTATTATTGCAAACATATAAAGCCTTGCGAATAGCAAGGTGAATATAATGCAAATATCAATAAAAATAAATTAATGATCTAAACGTGCGATCTTAATTTGTAAATGATGTTTAATATTTACTCAATGTTTTTTTAATAACATATATTTTATTTATGTTTTTTTAAGGGTTTGCTTAAAAATTTATTTTAACAATGATGCAAGACTAAGTTCTATTGAAAACTGCCCAACTCTAAAATGTAAATCGCCATTCAGTTCAAAGTGCTCATATGGCTATTCATCACATATTGAAGGACTTCATGATAATGCAGGTAAACATTTTTGTTTATTCACGAAGTAAACAGATTGAATAAATCAAGTATATCTATCTTTTATGCTGATAGCACCTTTAAATAATGAAAATGTTAAAAAAATATATGCAGAACCAATCCTATAACACTATCATTTATCAGCCCTAAAATTAGAAAATTAGAAATTTTACTTGTGTTCCACGAATCAACAACTCTCAAGGCAAAATATTCCTCCAAAAAATATAGATATCACTGGCAATGAATTTTAATCATTAAAGAGGGAGTTTTGACCTTCATGAAATAATGTTTAAGTAAAATCAATAGGATTACAATTAAGAGATTTTTAACCGTAGTTGACGAAGGTTATTTATAACTTAAAACAAGCCATAAAACTAAAGATAAACTGTCATCAGCAAATGAATAATTGATGAAAAATCGGTCCTCACCATGTAGAAACAGCAAAAAGCTTTCCTGCAACTAATATGTATCTAGTAATTTGTTTTTGCAGTGTTTATATTTATGAAAACATTGTAACTTTTCAATCATACATAGCTTTGCGGTGGAAGTGTAAGCGCTGCTTGCTATCAGAATTATAAAATGTATAAAACTGCTAAGATAGTCGTAATCTTATTACTATAACTTCACTATAATTTATATATATACAATTCTAAATATCCAACGCATGTAATATATATACAGTAATAAAGTGAAAATTAGTAGAACTTGTCAAATCAAGATACTGATAGAAAAATGTTTTTTCATTATTATAACTGTCGGAAGTTAGATTATTTAAGTGCCTTTTTCTTCTTCGACTTGATTATTTATTTTAAAATATTTTTGTTTGTTTATTTTTTTAGATAAAAGCGATTTTTTTTTGCCTGGAGATACTGATGAAATTAACGAATTCTGTGAAAATTGCAAAGAATTATCTAACATTAACATTATGGCTTCTATTCCGATCATCAAAATTGTTATAGAGTAAGTGCATTTTAAATTATTTTTTGATATACATTAAAAATATTTAATAGGCGATATTTTACGTGATAATTTTTAGAACAAGAACGTCAAAATTAAATATATAAATAATAAAATATGTGGTGCAAACTTTATTTTTATAATGGAGCTGTTAAATGTCTCCACCTTTTTGTATTTGTTTTAAATTCAATTTTTAGCCATATCGGCTCGTTTGGCTGTCAGCTCATACATCCATAAAAACTTAATTATTTGTGTTAAAATTTTGAATTCATTGTGAATTAAATTATAGGTTTGGTCATTGCCTCTTATAACTACAAAAAAAGAATAGAAATCCTTTATACGCTAAGAGCGTGTCAAATTAGCATAAATAATAAATAATTGAAGGGGCTGTTTTTGGATAGTCCAAGAAGTTGCAACCAAAAACAGGATTATAACGGATACCCCTGTGAAAAAGTCTGAGAGGGGATAAGAACTGGGATATCAATTTATAACAAATATTTACACAAATGTTGTTTTTACGCGGAACTTTACCGCTCTTATCTGATCTATATATACATACAAATATATTATAGTAATAAAGTTTTATTAATTTCAAATCTTCTTGATTAGTTGTTTAAGGTCTAAGATTAAATTAAAAGCAGGGAAATTTTATAAATTATAAATTCATTTTAAAAACTATATGAAAAATTAAAAATTTAACATATTTAATAAATTGTTTTTAACAAATTTTGTAAATTACTTTTACTTCTTTATCTTTTTAGATCTAAAGAAATTTATGAAATAATTTATAACCGTCTAAATAGCGACTTATTAATGTGGGAGCCACACTCTACAACACCAAATGAAGAAAAAACAGTGAGCAGCTTTGAATTATCTGTCAATCAGGGAGTGATTATACTCTTCACCGATATTCAAGAGATCGAAACAATTAGAGAACTATCTCCACGTGGAAAGATGCAGTTTAATTTCAAAGAATTCCGATTATTTTCGGCGACTGCTGTTAGCAATGATAAGAATCTGAGCTATTTTTGTATTCAAATAAAAGAAATTGATGTATATCACTGTGGTAAGTTTATATAAGTAAAATTAAGAAAGTCGTTTAATTGCAACCACCGTCGACCACAAAGTTTCCAATTTTTGTGAAATTACAGCTACGCTTTAAAAATTATATATAATTTTCGGTCTTATTTATAGTAAGAAAATGGGTTGAGTTTCAAAAATAAGGCATATACATTTAAATGTTTATATTTTGTAGTTTACGAAATGGTTGCGTTCATACAGATGATTAAGCGGACATGAATATAGAGATTCATCTCATCATTAAGCATCTTTATATTTTATTGAGCTTACTATGTCTTTTTCTGTCTGTTATATAATTGTTTACAAAATCAATATATCATTAATTCAAATTTCGAATGGATTAAAGACTAAAATATATAAAGCGTAAAAAAATATTTTTTTCAATTTTTTGTATACCTTTTTATAATTATTTTTGTTTGTCTTATAGGACAGGTCCTTCAAGATATTGATACCGCTTGGAGCGATGAAACTGACGAAAATTTAATGCGAATAATTTGCAACATTTCAGAGGAAAAGAGAGTAACAAATAATCGTCACGAAATTATCTCAGTTGTGGCTGAAATTAAAAAAAAACCAGAACAACGTTTAAAGGTAATTTAATAAATATTAAATTAAATATTTGTGGTGTCTTACATAAATTTATACAAATATATTCAACCCTCTGGTATTCTTAATATTGTAAAAATATCGTCTTAAGTTTTTTTCTTTTGTTTTTTTTTCTCTTGGTATGTTCCTAAACTTGATTTCTCAAACGGCGTCAGAAGCTGGTCAATATTATGTTCAGCTTGAACCGGCAGACAACCCATTATTTAGCGGAAAAAAAATAAAAATTAGCAAAAACTAATAATGTAAAATGGTTGCCTAAAATAATGATACAGAATATGTAGCTGTAAGGCAATCACGACTAGTGTACTATTACTTGTTAGATATGATATGCTATACATTTTAAAGTGAATATGATCTTTGTTTTTTAATATAGTCACGAAGGACTCGATAATTATTAGAGAATTACCTCTTCAGTGACCTTTACGAAATTTGTATACTCCTTTATGAAGTGAAAGATTGTATTTGATTTGTGCTATGTTTGGCTTGCTGTTTGTCTAAGCAAATTCCATTTTGCCGGTCTTGAAGAGATTTGAAATTTAAAATTTAAAATATATGTAATCGTGAGTACCATCGACTTAAACGGTGTTTAGCATTAACATAACTGTGGAAAAATCAGAAATAATAGATCAGGACAAAAATAAATAGTAGATACATTTATCTGGAAAAAATGTATCTTCTACAGTTTTATAGAAACACAAAAATAAAAGAATAAGTTACCTTTGGCGTGCTCTATTGATATGACAAAAATTATTTATGTATGCCTTTTGAGTGCGTAGTTAATTGGAAAAAACTACATCTTCGAATATTTTGGAGCTACATCTTCTGGTTTCGACCATAAATAATTATTACGCAGTCGATAGCGTGTATGATTTTTTTGATTAATTTACAGATCAGCGTTCCAATAGGTGTCGGTCATTTTTGCTTGGATTCCATCTAAAAATTTTTTACACAATAATAATGTACATTATATTTTACAGAGAATGAAGCTTGCGTTCGGAATAAATGGAGCTTGTTTTTGGCACAAGCCCGCACTTTCATTACATCACTGGCTATTTCAACTAATCGATTTTCTTAATATAGCCGTAAGTACTTTTTTAGATTATTTATTTTGTATATTTAATGATTTATTCATAAATCTGATAGAAAATTCATAATAGGGCTAATTCGAAATGACTTTAAAAATTTTACAAAGTAAATGGTAAATACACTTGCCAGAAAAACTATGCGTACAGGCCTAATGAGCGACTTTGATAGAGAATAAATGTGATAAATAATAGTATATGTATCAATATCATATTTTTTAATGGAAAACACTTTAATAACACACATTTATCAACCATTTTTTTTTTTATAATATTAAAGTTTTTTTTATATTTAAAATAAGAAAAAAACAACGAAAATTCACTTAGAAAAAGTATGCGTACAAACTAACAATCCATTGTTCTTAATCGTCGTGTGAAGCTTTTAGTATCGTTAAACAGCATATTACGGTAAAAAAAAGTATTAAAGGATGTCAATCACGTGTTGATTTGCAAATTTTGTCATTAAGTTGATAGATTTCGTCATGGGCAGAAAAACAAAAGAGATTGATCCCAATCTGAGGAAACGCATCGTAAAATTACGCGATGAAGGGAAATCTTTCAGAGAAATTGGCGAAATTGTTGGCAGAACTCATTCTTCTGTCCAAAGAGTAGTCAATAACTTTAATTTGACTGGCTCAGTTAAGTCAAAGCCACGCTCGGGAAGGCCCTCAAAGCTGACCGAGAGAGAGAAGAGGGACGTGCTGAAGACTGTGCTGCTAAACCCTGGATTAACTGCAGCAAAGATTAATCAGGAAGTTAAACAGAAGTACAAGAGCTTCACGAAGACAGCATAAGAAAATTTTGAAAGAAAAATGAAATAAATGCGCCCGTGTTGCTCGAAGAAAGCCGCTCATCTCTGAGCCAAAAAAAATCAAGCGGCTGGATTTCGCCAGAAAATACTTGGAAGTCAGTCCAGACTATTGGAACCAAGTAATTTTTAGTAATGAGAGCAAATTCTGTATATTGGGAATCAAGGGGAGAAAGCTTGTGTGGCGAAAGAGGGGCACAGCGTTCGATGTCCAAAATCTAGCTCCAACCGTTAAGCACGGCGGAGGTGGCGTAATGGTGTGGGGGTGTACGGCAGCAATTGGAGTGGGCAATTTGGTTTTTATTGAGTCCACAATGAACCATATGGATTACCTCCATATATTGAAAACCAATTTACACCAAAGCGCCAGACAATTGGGTCTTGGGGAGGACATTGTCTTCCAACAGGACAATGACCCCAAACACACAGCCCACAATGTCAAGCTCTGGTTGCTCTACAAATTCTCATTAAAAAAAGTTATTTTTCTTTTGTTTTTTAGTTTGTACGCATACTTTTTTTAAGTGAATTTTCGTTGTTTTTTTCTTATTTTAAATATAAAAAAAACTGTTTAATATTATAAAAAAAAATTGTTGATAAATGTGTGTTATTAAATTGTTTTCCATTAAAAAATATAATATTGATAAATATACTATTATTTATCACATTTATTCTCTATCGAAGTCGCTCATTAGGCCTGTACGCATAGTTTTTCTGGCAACTGTATATGCATTTGAAGTTAGGGATATTAATAGCATAAAAAATAGCAAAATAATAGCGAATAATTCTTCTTCTAAGTGCAAAAAAGCTCCAAAATCAAATTTACAAACGAAATCAAACTATCGATTTTGGTCAGTAATAAGGATATTAGATGAGTTATCGAACAAAATGATCAACTTTTACTATGTATGGTATACACGAGTATACATTTCAAATTTCTATTTTTTGTGGATTTCGAGAAAACAGAATTCTTACGGATGGGTATGGCTAGATCAACTCAGATTATTATCTTTATCAAGAATATGTATATTTTATTTTGCATACACTTTCACAAACCATATAGCATTGTGGTACAACATAAATAAGTTAAGTTCAGTTCTGAAAATCAAGTCAATAATAATCTCCCAGCAAGATTTCGGGATAGTCGGGCAGATATAAAAGATATAGGCTTTAAATTGCCTTTTGAGATTTACGCCACTCTTATTTTACGTAGAAATTAATTGATCAAATAAAGGTTTATTTTTATTATTCAGGAATATCCTATTGAAGCGTATGATCCATATGCGTTAGTGTCGGAAATTCAAGGACATATATGGAACTTGTCGATTGAATATAGGTAAGTTATTATTTTGTCATAAATAAGAAAGGATAATGCTTTGCAAATTTAGAAGAAAAATAAAATATTGAAGCTCGTTCATGTAATATATATATATATATATATATATATATATTAAAAATAAAAAAAATTTTTTTTTTTTAAAGTCCATAACATATTAATGTTTAGTGCGCTCTTACTGAACATTAATATTAATTAGTATTAGTAATAAACGCTAAAAATAATTTAAAAGCGCTTAATTTTATTTTCAATGTTTTGGGAAATTCCGAATATAATAAAAGCTATACTTTTGGTTGAGAATTTGACTGAATGTTTGATCCCATCACAATTTACAAGCAGTCTTTAATCAGCAATGCGAATGTTTTTGTTTTTTGTACACCTTCACGAAATGAAAAAGAACATTGATTCTGTGCAATGTTCATTTTTTCCGAATGAACGGAATATATATATATATATATATATATATATATATATATGTTGCAGTTATGTTTCAACGAAAATGCTCGAAGACGCATCAATTTATATGAAGTGTGACCTTCAAACATATTACCAGCACGCGCCTGCAAGGCGCCTATACATTTCTACTACCTACTCTCCGACATACACTTGCCAGAAAAACTATGCGTACAGGTCTAATGAGCGATTTTGATAGAGAATAAATGTGATAAATAATAGTATATGTATCAATATTATATTTTTTAATGGAAAACACTTTAATAACACACATTTATCAACCATTTTTTTTTTTTATAATATTAAAGTTTTTTTTATATTTAAAATAAGAAAAAAACAACGAAAATTCACTTAGAAAAAGTATGCGTACAAACTAACAATCCATTGTTCTTAATCGTCGTGTGAAGCTTTTAGTATCGTTAAACAGCATATTACGGTAAAAAAAAAAGTATTAAAGGATGTCAATCACGTGTTGATTTGCAAATTTTGTCATTAAGTTGATAGATTTCGTCATGGGCAGAAAAACAAAAGAGATTGATCCCGATCTGAGGAAACGCATCGTAAAATTACGCGATGAAGGGAAATCTTTCAGAGAAATTGGCGAAATTGTTGGCAGAACTCATTCTTCTGTCCAAAGAGTATAATAACTTTAATTTGACTGGCTCAGTTAAGTCAAAGCCACGCTCGGGAAGGCCCTCAAAGCTGACCGAGAGAGAGAAGAGGGACGTGCTGAAGACTGTGCTGCTAAACCCTGGATTAACTGCAGCAAAGATTAATCAGGAAGTTAAACAGAAGTACAAGAAAGAGCTTCACGAAGACAGCATAAGAAAATTTTGAAAGAAAAATGAAATAAATGCGCCCGTGTTGCTCGAAGAAAGCCGCTCATCTCTGAGCCAAAAAAAATCAAGCGGCTGGATTTCGCCAGAAAATACTTGGAAGTCAGTCCTGACTATTGGAACCAAGTAATTTTTATTAATGAGAGCAAATTCTGTATATTGGGAATCAAGGAATCTGTATATTGTATATCAAGGAATCAAGAAAGCTTGTGTGGCGAAAGAGGGGCACAGCGTTCGATGTCCAAAATCTAGCTCCAACCGTTAAGCACGGCGGAGGTGGCGTAATGGTGTGGGGGTGTACGGCAGCAATTGGAGTGGGCAATTTGGTTTTTATTGAGTCCACAATGAACCATATGGATTACCTCCATATATTGAAAACCAATTTACACCAAAGCGCCAGACAATTGGGTCTTGGGGAGGACTTTTTGTTCCAACAGGACAATGACCCCAAACACACAGCCCACAATGTCAAGCTCTGGTTGCTCTACAATACTAGACACCAGCTTCATTCGCCTCCCCAGTCACGAGACCTTAATCCCATAGAGCATTTATGGGATTTTTTGGAGCGCAGGATCAGAGAGCGAATAATTACATCAAAGGACATGCTCAAATCGGTTCTGATGGAGGAATGGCTAAAAATTCCGGTTGATTTCACCCGGAAATTGGTGGCATCGATGCCAAAACGTTTGGAAGAGACCAAGAAGCGATAGGGGTATCCAATCTCATATAAATTTTGCAAATTCTCATTGAAAAAGTTATTTTTCTTTTGTTTTTTAGTTTGTACGCATACTATTTCTACGTGAATTTTCGTTGTTTTTTTCTTATTTTAAATATAAAAAAAATTGTTGATAAATGTGTGTTATTAAATTGTTTTCCATTAAAAAATATAATATTGATAAATATACTATTATTTATCACATTTATTCTCTATCAAAGTCGCTCATTAGGCCTGTACGCATAGTTTTTCTGGCAACTGTATATATATTATATTATTTTCAAGATACTCACAATAGAGGCGTGATAAATTCGGAAATACTTTATCTTGTATAACAGAAACACTATTATTTAAAGTACATTAAGTTTGAAACATAGTATATAGTATCAATATCACACCATTGAGGGGCTTAGCAAACTGCAAAACTCTATACCTTCTAAAGATTTAGAGCTAGATTATTGAGTTAAACATTTGTTAAAAAATCTCTGTAATTTCAAAAAGTTTAAGCCTTTGCCTAAAATTTGAATGTTATGTTTCTGTATTCTCCTAAGGATTGGCCGAATCTTAAATAAATTGCCATGGCAAATCGGGAAAACTTTTACTTCTACAGTTTTACAGTTAGAAATTCCAAAATTAATGACTGAACTATTATTGACCTACTCTGCTGATTTACAAAAATGTTAACTAGAAAATCCATATTTCCTCAGCTTTTCTCAACTTTATAAAGAGGCTATATTATACTCTGTATACCCAATATGCAACTGGACTCATATGCTTTATACATGATTTTTGTATGCAATAATAAAAAATAATTAATATTTTCAGGCCAAAATACTTTTCTTACCGAGCTTTACTAGATATTGGATATTGTTCATTTAGTAGCAATATTATTTATCCTATGACTGGGTGTACTCTACGACTAATTAGTGAAGATTGTCTTCTATCGATTGGCCCAACTGTAAGTATAATGATTGACCTATTTAGATATTTGATTATTTTTATACAAATTTCACAACAAAATTACTAACATGGTTTAGCCCTAGTGCTTACAAATATTTACTTATTATTCAGAAGTACATAATATTGTACTTTTGTTTTTATTCTTTCATTGCTATATCTTATTGCATTCGGAAGAGTCCAGCTTAAAATGTTAAAAGCCCTTTTTATAAAATTTGGATATGTGTAGTATTATTTACTGATTTAAAAATATAAATCTGTTATTTGTTCCTTAAATAGGTATTATGAATAATATGTTTGGATAATAAAGCGTATTACACTACTAGCAGTATCTAAGTTCAAACATGGTATGATTGATTTGTGTTGCGCTACATTTCGAAGTTGCTCATTTTCATATTTTGTTAAAAAAAGTTATATATAATAGATGAGGTTAGGAGGACCGGAAAATGATTTGCAAACTTTATAGTAAAAGTCATTCCTTGAAGCAATTACAACCAGTAAGAAACTTGTAGTGCTATCTGCGTTTTTTAATATATTCCGCAGCTTGTATTGATCATTAAAAATAAAAAATAATTAAAAGCCGACATCATATGACCAAGACTCGAAAAAACAATCGAATCAACTCACCCATATCACCACTTCATAATTAAAAAAAGAAAAACTGGGGACTGCTCAATTTCCATTCTTCGAATAGAAAAGAATGCACGAAATTGATCATTTGTGCGCACTTGTGTAGGAAAAATACGTACGTCATTGCCACGTGCTTTTGCAAATTGGCCAAACTTTTTGTTTAATAACTTCTATAATGGATATTAGTGAAATTTTCAGAAAATTATCTATATAGTCTATTACAAAATGTACATAAAACTAAATACAAAACTTGGGGGCTCTAGCTCTTAAGTATTTTATATATATTTATTTTATTTATAAAATTAGTTTTTTATTTTGCCTTTAGTTTTATTGAAAATTCTGATACATTTTTTTTGTTACCTACTTATTAAGGTAATCATTTTTATTAATACCGAATTCTAAACCGGGGTTGGTAACTTTTGCTCTTAGAGATTCAGCAGTGGGCTCACGTCTCTCATTCGACGAATAGCCTTCCATCGCTGGTGCGGACTATCTCTCTCGTGCAAGCTATGCCTTGGTCTTAAAAGTATATGGCCTCCATATAATCGATTTATTTACATAAGCAAAATTATTAGTTTTACTATCGTAGATTGTAGGCACGAGCTCATAACTCATTAATCTGGCTTAAACTTTTGATAAACCAAGGTTTCATATAACGTCTTTGCTACAAATGTTATAATCGAAAATTAACATTTTGATGGAGGTGATTCGCATGAGTCGAACGTCGATTTGCTGGCGTTTCCCCATTTTTATACCCTGATCACATTGAAAATGGAAAATCATGGTATAATGATTTTGTGCAAATATATGTAATAGGCGGAAGAAGGCGTGACACACGCGATAAAGTAAATCTAGATCAGGACGACAAGCCGTGTCGATTGAGGCCTGTCCGTCTGTCTGTCCGTATGTGTGAACGCGTCGAACTCAGCTTCTATAAGAGAGACTTGACTTTTTTGTAGGTCAAATATTCGATAACTATTCGCATTTAATTGTTATCGAATAAAAACATCATTGAAATGCAATTAATAAATTATATCTCGGACGTCTTAATAGCTAAAGCTTCCAAATTTTGTATTTAGCTTTATGTATGTTATTTTATGCAATTTTGATTTTTGATGGATTTTGGATACCGGCTCCAAATTTCCCCAAATTCTTAAAATTTTAGTTTAGTTGGAAATAGGACCATTATGTGAAGGCGTTTGCATCTCAACCAAACCAGTAGAATATGTATATCATATGCTGAAAGTTTCATTAAAATCCTTACTTAATGGAGTTATTAAGCAAACCGTTAGGCCAATTTGCAAAAGCGCCACGCGCACTCATTTTTCCTAAGCACACATACATTAAGAATATCGGCTAACTTTCGAAATATCCAAATGAGCCTGTAAAAAAATATTTTTGGGAGAAACACGTTGAGAATATAAAAAGTGTGAGTTAATAATTATTTTACACATGCAATCAAATTATTTTGTACGACATTCACGTAAAGTTACTGGATTTGCGGATTTGAAAGGAAAAAAGCAGGTAGTTCAGAAAACATTGTACTAGAATACCCGACACACATACATATACAACTGAATAAAATAATAATAAATGCAACGGTATTCAACAGAATTTGTATAAACACATAAGAAATCTCTAGTGCGATCTGCGATTTTAAATATACAAAATAGTTTGTATCAACTTATAATATTTTTCGATCCCACACTTTTAAAATCAAATAGCATATGCTTAAAAAATAATAAAAACCCACATCTGTACAGCTCGTACCGACGTCTCCTCGGAAAATCGCATCACCGCTAAATGTGTACAAAAAAATAAACAAAGAATAAACAAAGTAGAAAATTTAAAAAAAGCAGCTGACATTTCAAACACAATTGAATCGCAGTTCCAATTTATCGAATATATATAATAATGTAGCAGTTTGATTAAGTATAACACTTTTTACCACGTGATTTTACAAATTGGCCTAACGTTTTGCTTAATAATGGATTTTTATGAAATTTTTAGGGTATGATACACATTTTCTATTGGAATTTTATTTAGTTTAGTAAAAATTCAACCTTTTCAATTAAATGAAATGAATTTCAACTTGAAAAATTCGAGGAAATTTAGAGCAAATCCAAAATCAAACAAAAATCAAAATTGTAAAATATATACGTGAACCTATATAAAAAATTAGGAGACTACCATAATAATTATTTTAATATTATAATATGGGAACATTTATCGATTTTTTGACACAAACTCGGGCCAATAAAAAAAACAGTCGAAGAGGGATGAATCGGTACATCTGCGTTTTTTAATATTTTCCGTAGTTTGTATAGAGTATTAAAAAAAGGAAAACAAATAACAATCGACAGTATGACACCAGAATTCGAATCAACTATTTTTACGCAACGCGCACCAACTCTACCAACACCGCCACTTCATAATTAAAAAATAAAAAATATTCCATCTCTACCGGGCTCGAGCCCAGGGACTAACTGCTTACGAATGCCGCCTCTACCAACGCAGCCACCGCACCGCTTTCAAGAAGAGGTGCAAATTTTAAGTTGAGTAGCAGCTGATAATTCAAGGAGTATTCAATCGCAATTTCGATTCTTCGAATAGAAAAGAATACACGCATTTGAATGTATGTGTGCTTAGGAAAAATGAGTGCGCGTGGCGCTTTTGCAAATTGGCCTAACGGTTTGCTTAATAACTCCATTAAGTAAGGATTTTAATGAAACTTTCAGCATATGATATACATATTCTATTGGTTTGGTTGAGATGCAAACGCCTTCACATAATGGTCCTATTTCCAACTAAACTAAAATTTTAAGAATTTGGGGAAATTTGGAGCCGGTACCAAAAGGGCTCAAAATATAATAGAAATGTATTAAATACTATATGGTCAGAACCGATATCCGTGTAGAATTCGTAGAAAGTCTTAACAGCAATTCACATGGCTAATTTTACTGTTCTAGGTCTAAAACTATGGAACATTATATTATACCTGATTTGTCACGGTCCAATAGGTGTAGATACATCCACTATACTTTTTACTTTTGAGTTGTCAACGCGAATATAGGTTGCAGTACCTTTAGATAAATTATTAGCTGATTTGCTATTCCCCCAGTAAACGTATCGAGAAAATCTTAACACTTTATCGGGAGAGGAGACCTAGTATATAATCCAATTTTAAGTATCAAAACAGCGTACGGGCGAACATCGAGATGGACATTGCACAGAACCAATATACTTTTCATTCATGAGTATAAAAATGTTGGTGAGACCTGCTAAAATGAGTATCTACTTTACATTAAAAGCATTTTAACTTGTTTTTTTTCTTTTTGCTTAAAATAGGTATGAAGTAGTTCTTCGGACCCCTTTATGAATTAAGTTTTTCGGGCTGTCTTTTGCTTAATTATCAGTAACAGGGAAACACAGTTAAGAAAATAAGAAAATGGTGCAATATCCGTCTTTATTTTCAAATAGCGCGTCGATTGCTCGTACTCCTGAATATGCCGACGTGATAAATTATAGATAAGTTTCCTACGCTGCGTCTAATTTTGAAAATTTCTTGCTGTTTTCCTTTAGCTTTCTGGCATTAAAAACGGATGATTTTAAACCTTATCACATAACTACAAAATAGTGAGGCTATTTATGCAAAGAGCACCAATTCCCAAATTCTGAAACTATCTATCTCAGACAAATTTAAGAAACCATATTCATTAGAAACATCATAGTTGCTTTCCAGTGATGTTAATGTTTAGGAGCTTAACGCCGTAAGACTTGAGCCTTTTTTTGCTGTCTAATGAACAACGTTGTTGTTTAATCTGAGCTGTATTAATCAATATGAAAGACATCTTATCTTGCTGGTCCTGCAAGTGTCATATTTCGCAATTTCAGGCAAAGTAGTCAGTACCGCACTTTTCGAATGATGATTTTGGTGATAAGCTATTCAGGAAAACTACGCATTCCTTAACTTATAGCAACTTTTTTTTAATACATTTTCCCTACATGACCTACAAATAATATAGGCGCTATTCAGAGTGTGGTCAATTGAAATACATGGACTATTTAATAAATTTGGCATGTTATTTGTTCTCTCATTACAAAATTTTTTATTACTAACTTTTTCTTTTTTTTTTTTAGGATAAAGCAGTCAACGATGTTCAAGAATTTATTACCCACATCAGCCAATTGGGCCTAGTTCCAGTTTTAAATGTTGGCTTACTAAACGTTTCTATAAGTCTTAATGATCACAGTAAAACATACCCAAGTATTGATCTAAGATCATCAATACATGATATTCATTTAAAGACATGCTTTGATGGAGCAGATATATTAGCACAACTTATTGCATACATTGCCAATGATAAAGACTTAAATACTAGTTGTGATAATACAATAAATTTAAAAACAAGTAATACAATATCAGAAAGCAATGCTGACCATATCTATGATGAAACGGTAAAGCAAATAAACACCCTTATGGCGGATGCAGTAAAAGATGTTAACACGATTTCGGCAACGCAGATTTTTGAAAATCCGGAAGAAATAGTAAAAAAAGAATCTGAGAGCATACAAAATACACCACTTTTTAACAACAACACTTTGGATATTAATAATATTTTAGACTTAGAATCAACCGAAATGCTTGAATATTATAATTATGAAATAACAGAAAACTCTTTTGTAAACGCCGAACTTGGAGCTACATCATTAAATGTTATACCGGCTTTAGAAGAAAAAGAGTTCCATGTAATACACGACAAGGACCTTTTTTTCATGGTAAGTTTTAACCACTTATTAACTAAAAAAAATTGCATATAATATCCATTTATTTTTATATAGAACTAACTTAAAAATTATCTCTTTTTGCTGATAAATAAACTATATTTAATAATGAAAAAGGATCTAGGATCAAAAAACAAAAATTAGTTTTCATCATGATTAAAACTGAGTATCCGCTAGCACTTTTACATATAATCACCGTCTCTATCAAAAGGAGTATATTGATTTTGTGCAATGTCCGTCTTGCTGTCTATCCTCTACAGATTATGCGTCAACACTTTTTAGAGGCGTGTCTGTCCGTTTATGTGAACGCGTCGATCTCAGCATCTATAAGAGCTAGAGACTTGAAATTTTTTGTAGGTCCATGTATAGCACGCGCATATCGAGTTTGTGTCAAATATTCGATAACTATTCGCATTTAATTGTTATCGAATAAAAACTTCATTGAAATGCAAGTAATAAATTATTTCTCGTACCTCTTAAGAGCTTCCAAATTTTTTAGTTTTATGTATATTTTATGAAATTTGGATTTTTGTTGGATTTTGGATACTTGCTCCAAATTTCCTCAAATTCTTTAAATTTAAGTTCCGTTGGAAATAGGGCCATTATGTGAAGGCGTTTTTAACTCAACCAAGCCAATAGAATATGTAAATCATATGCTGAAAATTTTATTAAAATCCATTAAGTAAAACAGAAGTTATTAAACAAAACGTTTGGCCAATTTGCAAAAGCACATGTCACAAGCGCCACGCGAACGCATTTTTCATACATACATTCAAATGCGTGTATTCTTTTCTATTCGAAGAATCGAAATTGCGATTGAATTGTGCTGAATTATTGGCTGCTACTTAACTTCAAATTTGCAACTGCTTCAATTAGAAATGCAGTGGCTGCGTTGGTCGAGACGGCGCACGTTATCGTTTGGTCTCGGGTTCAATCCTCGCGGCGACGAGACTTATTTTATTGTTTTTTTTTTTTTTAATTATGAAGTGGCGATGTTGTTAGAGTTGGTGCACCTTACGCAAACAGTCCGGGTTCGAAACCTGGTCTTGCAATGTCGTTTTTTATTTGTTTTCTTTTTTTTTGAATACTCGATGCGAACTACGGAAAATATTAAACTCAGAGGAGTGGGATCAGGGTATCTCCTAGTCGGGCACCCCGACTAGAGCTTTCCTACTTGTTTTTAATTATATTGGATATATTAGTTTATATATATATATTAGTTAAAGGCGGAGTTATTGAAAAGTCGCCAACATTTTCTATATTATTCGGAAATACGTCCTCGTTTTCATTTTGCGTTCTCAATCGTCATCAATCTTGGGAATAATAATTATAAATTATAGGTTATTTCAATATTAAGTTGTAAATAATATTTAATTTGTTGTCTTTTAGTTTTAGGAGAAATACATTTCGTAGTTTTTACTTTCACTGAGATACAAGGGTCTCTGATAAAGTTTTTATTGGTATTATAATCGTATTTCGTGCTAAATATTCATCTTTTAAATCTTCGGTGTGTCTAATAATTCTGAATTGATAACAGGTTTGTGTCGGGAAAAGCTTTGATTTAGTTAACCCAATCTTTTTGATTGTAGTGCTAATTTAATTGTTTCGATATAATTGGTTTAATATTCAATATTTTCTTTAAGTTCCATAATTTTGCTATTTTCATATAATTTTTTTCATGATTTAATTTGTATGTTTAGTTTCTTTTTTAAGACTTATCTGTCTTTCATATTTAGGATTCCAAATAAAAAGTTATATATTGAGCATACTATATATATTAGACCGCGTCTGTTGGGAAGGTGAAGTTCCTTCATTTGATTTTCCAGTTTTTGGTGATTAAATTTTTTAAATCATTAAAGATTATTTGAATTTCAGTATAGCTTACAAAGAATTAATATATATTATAATCCAAGAAGTCTTTTATTTCTTCTGTTTTAAGGAAAATAATTTTTTTTTACTTGTATCATTTTTAGACAGTGTATTCCGATGAGGAAGACGATTGTGGGTTTTCCTACAAAGGGTCGGTTCTTGTTTATCAAATTGTTTTCTCATATGGAAACTCTGGTTATAGCCATATACCAGGGTATAATGGTTTTGTGCAAATGTATGTAATAGGCAAATGAGGCATGCAGACCTTATACAGTATATATATTATTGATCAGGATGACATACCAAGTCCTGTGCGTCTGTCTATCTATTCGTATGGGTGAATGTATATGTCTGTACGTATGTCGATCTCAGGATTTATAAGACCTAGATCGTTGAAATTTTTTTGTAGGTCCGTGTATAGCACGCGCATATTAAGTTTGTTTCAAATATTCGATAACTATTTCCATTTTATTCTTATCGATTAAAAACACAATCGAAATGCAGTTAGTAATTGATATCTCGTACGGCTTAAGTGCTCCAAATTGTGAATTCATGTATATTTTCTACAATTTTGATTATTGTGATATTTTTGATATAGGCTCCAAATGTCCACAACATTTTTTAAATTTAAGTTCAGTTGAAAATAGGGCCAAAAGGTGAAGGGGCTAGCATTTTTACTAAGCTGACAATTACTCCAATAGAATATGTAGATCATATGCTAAAATTTTATTAAAATCAATTAAGGAAAACAGATGTTATTTAACAAGACGTTTGCAAAACTACATGCCAAGCAACTCCAAGCGCACTCGAGCGCACTCTTCAAATGTGTACATTCTTATCTATTTGAAGAATCGAAATTGTGATTGAATAGGGCTTGAATTGTCAGATGTTACTTAAGTTGAGATTTGCAACCAAATATCTTGCACAAGCAGTACAGTAGCGGTGTTGCTAGAATCGTTCGGCGCTTGTTGCCGAGAAGTTCTATGTTTAATAAAGCGAAGGAACGTTTTTTGTTTTTTAATTATGAAGTGGCGATGTTTTTAGAGTTAATGCGTGTTGCGTAGGCAATGATGGTTCGAATCTTGGTGTCGCAATGTCTGTTTTTTTTTTATTAATTTTTTGTAGGTCTGGAATCAGGCACCCCAACTAGAGTTTTCTTACTTATTTTTGAATAACTCTTCTTCTATATAGACTTTCTTAATCCAATTTTCACAGCATGGTAATAACATTAATACAAGAAATACGTTTTTGTATCTATGTATCCGTGCAAAGTAAAGTCTTTGTTAAAAAACGAAGTGCTTCGATCAATGGCATACATACATAAAACACACGTAGTTACACATATACACGAATTATTGGAACTCACAAGCAGCACAATATTTTAAATCTGTTAACCATAAGGTCATACTTTACCCTTCTGAGAGATAATAAAAAAAATTGTAAAGTTGAATACGACTATTATTTTATCATTTTAATTATTACTCGTTGGAAGGGTAATGAAGGGCATACGCCTTTCGGCTACCCCTAGAGGAATTTTTTTTTTGCAAATATGAAGTTGATAGATGTGATGCGCGTTGCCGAGGAAATCTGGTCTGGTTTGCTTTCTTTTTTGATACATATTTGACGAAGGTCGGACAGGGTACAGGGAATCTTCTAGTAAGGCACAGTTTTAAAGCTTATGATTATTTGAAAACCGATATTCGGTGTTATAAAATCTGATATAACTTATATCATGCCATGTACATATTAGTGTTCATCCGTCCGTATGAGCACATTGATCTATTATTTTTTGTATGTATGAAGAAGTGTAGAATGATTCATAGTATCATATCTGCTAGTGGAGTATTATTACTTGATCAGATCGACTATTGCATTCTTACCTGCTTATCCTTATACAATACATTTTAATAAGTTTATATCATATCTACTAAATATATATACTTAGAATGTTATCTTATTATTCTTATAGACATATTTAAATATTCTAGCTGGCTTATTTCATGAAAGCTTTTAATATTCATGAATATTAAATTATTGTAGTCATTTCAACATACATTATGTTCGATTTTTGCGGTATCACTTTGTCCGTGGACTTAAAATTTGTAAAAACCATTATTTAATATTTTTTTTTATATTTTTTATATTTGTCTAATTTTCTTCTAAAGGATAATTTTGGTGTCGAACAGATCTATGTCTCTGAAGGTCCTCTTCAAATAATTGACAATCATTTCGGGCTGCCAAGTGAAAAAAATGATATTCTTAGACCTCCTCCTCATTTCCCAGTTCCTGAGAACAGTTACACATTATGTGAAATGACATTTACATGGCATATATTCGGAGGAAAGGATTTTCCAGATATTACAAAACCAAAAGCAAAAGATAATAAAAGGTATGTAAATTGCAAGATATATTTAAATTTACTATTAGAACTAAACATGTGCTATAAACTATTTTTTTCCTATTTTATTAATATATTTGGCTAGTAAGTTTTTTTTTTTGGTATCACTCAAATTAGCATAAAATTAATGCTTGTGTTCTGCTGCAAGTATTTCAACATATTAGTTTTTGAATCTATAATAAAGCCAATTTTTAGTACTTTGGTCTTATTTTGACCTTACTAATGCACTTCTTTGGCAATAAAAATAAATTGAAAAAATTATATCTTTTAATTTACTTAAATATTTACGCTTACTATAAATCGGTAACAACTAACATATGGGCTTCGCAGTTCGAGTGTGAGTTGCAGCCGCTTACTAAATGCTGTTCTATAGATAAGCGATTTAATTGTAAGATGTAAATTCCAAAATATTGTATTGTATCTTGTATTAAGTTGTCCTTGAAAGGTCATGAAAATACAAATGCAACTCATAAAATAAAAAGTTTTTTTTAATTACACTTATTACTAGGCCTATAAATACGGTTACAAAAGTATTCTAGGAAAAAGTACTTTACTTACATTTTGAACCATTTCCTTCTTATGATTTTAGTTTCACAACGGGCATGTCCGAAACTTATAAGCACGGTGTATCACAAGGTGCAAGCAAGCATCAAACAATAAATAAAAATATGGTATATGATGAATCAAATACATGCCGTAACTTAGATGTACTTGTAGAAATACAATTTACAAAAATTCGTTTTTCCTTTGATGCATACCCCAAACACTCAATTTATGCTTCCCGACAAGTGCTGGTTATTTCGGATATTGAAATACGTGATCGCTTACTTTCTTCCGATATCAACAAGCTTCTTTACCATCCTAATAAAAACAACATACCACAAAAGAATGATGAAAACATGATTACAGTAAAAGCACTGAATGTTCGATCCAATGTTAAGAAAAACAGAGAAGAAGAATGTTCATTGAAAGTGTCAATTTTACCGATTAGATTAAATATTGACCAAGACACTTTGTTGTTCTTGGAAGAATTTTTTTCAGCTTTAGTTAAAAGATCCACAAATGAGGGTTCAACATCTCTAAATAACAAATTAATAAATACGAATCAAAATTTACCTGTGGTGGCCATAAATGAAATATCAACTGGCACGCATGATTTCAAATGCAAGGAAGAAACAGGCACCAATTTAAGTAACTCCATAAATGCAGTGTCTTCAAGCAACCTACAATATTTAGAAAATTCTTTTGACAATGAAACTCAGCCCATTTACTTTAAAGAGTTTATCTTCAGTCCTGCTTTACCAATATGCTTTGACTATCATGGCCGGAGAGTTGAACTATCTCGTGGGCCAATAACTGGATTACTAATGGGACTCGCCCAGCTACAAGGATCTGGAATATGTTTACGTGAAATTATTAATCGGTGAGCTTACAATTTTTATGTATTATATCATAATTTTGATATTATCTCTAAAATCATTGAGTAGATTCTTATATCAAGACTAAGTAAATATATCAATGGTTGTCTATATATATATATATATATATATATATATATATATATGGTATTTTACTATCAACAAAAATAATTTGTACAGAATTATTTATTTATTCATTAAAATAAATTTATGTATCGAGTGAATGGACAAAATTGAAACTTCAACACCGTTTTTATGTAAATACATTTGTTCAGAAATGAACATACAAAAAAATCGAAGATTATAAACAGCCGTCTACGCACTCAACAACTAGCAGGTAGTGCAATAGAAATAGATAAGACCACATGTTTAAGATCTAAAATAATGCAGGCCAACGCTGAGCCTGACAAACTCCGCAATAGATAAGCTAGATTTAAGGAAGAAATAACCAAAAATGGTCCTTCTAGCCGGATTAATACAAAACTGAACAACATCAAGTGCATTCAAAGTTCGAATCGTGATTTTTATGCCAAACTAAGTCCAAAATATTTCTTAAAAATTCTTTACATTGTCGTACCGCCATTAATCCGTAATATTTTGTTTATGCAAATAATAATGCACAGTTATATGATGAATTTTGTGTGTATTCTCATTTCTTTTTAATTGTTAAGTCGATATGTGAAAATGTTCAACAACCGTAAGCATAAGACCGTTCTCAATCGCATTACAAAGAGAGCATAATTTCAACCATTGATAATGGAACACAAAGAATTGAGGTTGCAAAACAATTTAAATTGAAACCCTAGAATAGCCTAATATCTACATTCTGTACGGATTAAAGTTAAATGAAAGCGTTGACAAATCGTCTAACCATATATTTCTTAAAAATGCTTCCCTTGCCATTTCTAACTCTCGAGATTCCACTGTATATTATTTGTTAATTCAGAGAAAAGTACCCAACACTATGGACAACACCTGGAGGATGTGACCATTTTATTTGTTCACTGACAAATATGGTCATTGAATTATTATTCATGGTTCATTGTTAATTGAAAACTTAAATAAAAACAAATAAGACCTCGACCAATTTTTTAAATGTATCGCATATATTGCATCTGTGTATTATTCACAATCAATTAAATTATCATGTTTGCTTAAAAAAAAAACAAGTAAAAGTAAGAAATGCCCGAGTAGAAGGTACCCTGAACCTCGTTCCATCTGTGTTTTTAAATATACTCCATAGTAAACTATATTTAGCATATAATTATTCAATTTTTCGAGATCTCGCTTTCACCATCAAAAAAACGATGTCCTCTTAAGACACTGGGTGAATACACTTGACTGTGGTGGCGTTTAGTTGGGTAATGATATTTATTCGGCTGAGCTACAGTTCTTACACCCTTACTCATACGTATTTCATCTCTTAAATCTAGCTTATCCAGTGCTGAATGTGCAAGGGTCAGCGTTCGTATGTCTAATTTCAGAATCTAAGTATGTAATTTGATCTATTCCTATAGCACTCCCTGTAAGTGGTTAAGTGCGTAGATGGCATGCTTAGAATTCTTGAATATGCTGTATGTTCATGCCTGAACACACTAAGATATACATATGGTATACAAAAGTCGTCCGCGATTCAACGCGGACAAGTAATTAAAAGTAAAAGTAAAACGCAAGTTAATTCAGCCGTAGGAAAATACTGTACTGAACCCGAGTAAACTGGCGACAATTAATTAATTTTTTATATGAAATCAATACTGTTACGAGCGTGTGGGTATATACTTTAAACAAACACATCCGCTTTGGCGAGTGCATAGCAATAATCCAGGGAAGGATTCGATACTCTCTCGATACCCTCACGCCTTTAGGATACGCAACAAAAAATTATTTTCGACATATTAAGTATTTGTGTATACTATTATAATATAAAAGACACTATTTTTCGTCAACAATATGCATTTGGGTTTTCTGAAAATTTTATTTTTAACTTTATAAGCCTTGAAATTACACAGCTCCTCACGGTTTAGCTAATGAGGAAGAATGATGAACTTTGAATTTTTTATTTTTTTATAGGTGGATTTTGGTTAGTTAAATTTTCAAAATGTCCAATAAATTTCTGTTTCTGAGTGTTCGAGCTATTTCTTGGCAAGTTTATATTGGGGAGATGGCTGACGTGTAAAACGGATCCAATCTGAATATAAGGGATTATCCATTGATTGGCTAGTGCTTTGGTTGACACACACAATTCCTCTAGCGCTGATAGAGACATTAAATCACAATTTACATTATGTGGCTCTTCTCAATCAACTGTAACTCAATAATTGAACATTTAAGTTTCAAGATCAAAAATTTTGGCGTGGGTACATTAACTTTATTCTTTTAGATGTAGGTTGTCTACATTTGCAAATATTTTAAATTTCAAGTCGCAAGTATGTGAAATATTTCAAAAATCTAACGAGTGTAACGAATTAGTTTACAGACGGACAATTAACTTAGTCCGCGCATTCTTGATTTGTTATGGGTAAATTCAATCGCATTTGCAGTTCTTAAAATATCCAAATATCACAATTTAGTAAAAATGGAGACTTTTTAAATTTTTTTTTCTATTAGAATTCGAGGAAGCTTTGAACCGATTTCCAAAATTGTACAAAATCTATAGGAAACTAAATGCAGAATTTGGAGACCCTACCTCTTAAGATTTGTTCTAATCTTTCCTATTTACATTTTTATTATTATTACTTATTTTGTTTAAATGTTATTTTGATTATTCACAATATTCACTAAAGTAGTAATTTTTCAAATTTCCATTAACTCTTATTCCAAATAATAATATCACTATCATATTTCGTTGTGAAGTGGGACACAGCTGATCCGTCCTGCAAATAAAATACCCAATTATGCCGGTGCTATTGTTGTGTTTACTTGTTTGTACAGATATAGGTAAAATAATATTTGTTTTAGTTTTATTCTTTTAGTTGACACCAATTACGTTTGGGTATGTTTAAATAAATTTCCATGGAAATTATTGAAACTATTTGTTTAATAGATTATTCTTAGTTTCTTCTCTACTTATAGTTAAGATCGTTTTAACGATTGGGAAATTAATTGAGCACCTTAAATAAGCAAAGTTATTTGCAGCTGTAACTATAGTTACAATTGCTTATAGGTACATGAATACTGAATGTCTAATAAGGTCCTCCAACAGAATTTAATCTTTTTGCAGCTTAGCTTAATTTTAGACTCAAATATAGTTTGTATTGATTATTTTGTTTTTCGCTTTTTCTGGAAATATTTGTATAAGATTGCTGATCAATCGTATAGGATCGACATAATTAAATTTGATAGCAGTTTGTGTATATGACAGAAAGTTATATTTTAACAATTTCGATATATAATTTACTGAATTTAATTAAAATTTAAATTTTTATATAAACATACATAAAGATGTATGTTGAATTGGTTGAAATCCATTGGCTCTAAAAATTTTTTTTCCTGTCGTATTGTTAATATTAAATATTTCTAAACTTTTATCGCAGGCGAGGGATCCTTGGTTGGAATAAACTTTTTGAATTTGTAAGTAAAGAATGGCTAAAGGACATAAAGAGAAATCAATTGCCAAACATATTAAGTGGAATCGGACCTACAAATGCTGTTCTACAATTATGTAAGTAGTTGTTGCTAAACCATTTTATATCCAATTTAAGTAAAACTATTAATAAAAATACATTTTATAATTTATTTTAAGTTGTACGATGTTCGTAGCATGTTTGTAGCATGTTTTTATTGCTTGGTAGGGTAGGGTAATAGAAAATGCAATTCAATAATAAAAGTTTAATTTTATTTAGGATCATTTGTGTGGTTTGTCTCGGAAATTTTTGTCCGATTGCTGTATATGTTTTTATACCATAAACCAATAATAAAAATTAAAAAAAAATCGAACAAAAATTATAGTAGAGAATATGGAGTGATTTTATGATTTAAATTATAGAGCTTTGAACTTGCTAGTTTATTAAGGTTCCTTAAATTAACTTAGTAAGGAGAGATGAAAAATGTGTTCATGTACTTTTAGTAGTTACATAAATCTGAATTTTCTTTCAGTTCAAGGCTTTTTCGACTTGTTTAGACTACCTTTACAGCAATATAATAAGGATGGAAGATTCATTCGTGGCTTTCAGCTGGGTGCACAGAGTTTTAGTGCCCGAACTGCATTTGCTGCACTTGAGATAACATCAAGGATAATTCAGTTACTTCAGGTAATTTTTCGAATTATTTAATAATGTAAATGTATTTTACCCATCAATTACTCCATCAAACAATATTTTTATATATCGATATATATGTATATGTAAATTATTCTACCTATTATTACTATTGCATATTTATATTATTAGTCTCATAATTTGGAATGAGTATTTAAAATTGCACTTTCTAGCAATCGACTTAAATTTGATGTGTACGTAAATATATATATGTATATATATATAGTCGAGTGCCATTTCTTGAACATCGATATTATTTAGCATCGCAGGACTGATCAAGTTGACTTTCGAAAGGGTTATAGCAAGAATTAAATTTTGTAAGTCTGATGTGATCACTCTGTTTTTAGCCAGAACAGTTTCATAAAAGTGGTTGATGTCAGGTTGGTCCGTTTTACTTATTGAATTAAGCAATATGGTCAGTTCGTTGAGTCGAGATTGAAATTTTGAGTTTAGTTCTATTTGTTCATTTTCGGAGTTTACTAATTGATTTTGTCTAAACTTAATCTGTTCCCAGTCATCAAAGTCAGGAGTCTCAGCTATCACCTTAAGGACTGTTCCAAACAGGTTAATGCTACGGGTCATACTTTGGTTTATTTTAAGCATTTTAATTAGCGTCTCTATATGTCTGAGGTCTGTGATCAGTACTTCCCTTACATGTTGTTTGAATAAGTCTATCATCTGTCTGGTTTCGTCCACGTAAGTCTCGTACGATGTCACGTTTGTCGTGTGTCCTAGGTATCCGTATTCGTTCCAAATAGTAACGTCTCCGTCAGTTACAGGTATGTAGTCCGACTGTGTGTAGTTCGTGAGCTTAACGGTTGCAGTTGAAAAGATCATTAGAAGTGTCACTACTATTAATTTCAGGATAAATGAAAAACTAATTTTAATTTTTGATTGCTTACTCTCTAAGATTGTCTCTATGGACCACCCTCCCTTTAATAAGAACTGTCGATCTAAGGTCTGCCTCTACTATGCCTTCAACGCATAGTGGTGTCAGCTTATTACCTAAGCGCTTGTTTGATTTCACCCATACCTTATCTCCTACTTTATACTCTGTGTCGGTTCTATTTTTGTTTTCCTGCGTTAAAGTTTTTAGATGTGCATTTTGGAGCCTTGTTGTTATCTTTATTTCTGTTTCTACATTGTTTGAGTGAATGATAACGATTGGTTTCATTTGGGTACCGAATGAATAGTTCTATTGTATTCTATTGTGGAAAGAAGAATCAACTTGACCGTTCGAGACACCTTGGGAAGGCGGTGCATTTGCAATTTGAATATTAAAGTTTGACAAAGTGGACTTAACTGTTTCTGAATTTAGATACCTTTCATTATCGCAATAAATGGTATGAATGTTGGGAAAGAGATTTACAAGTTGTAGAAGTCTTGTTTTTATATGAACGATAGCTCTTGAGCAAATTGGCTGGGTCACAGCGAAGTTGGAGAATTTATCGACACATGTCAGAAAGTATTTTTGGTCTGTGAAAAATACATCGACATGTAAACGCTCTCCTACAAAGGTGGGAATGGGTGTTTCGCCTAACATCTGTTTTTTTTTGGATGTCGTTTATATTTGGCTCTAGAGCATGTTTTACAATTTGCAACAACTTCTGCTGCAAGTTTTGTCATGTTAGGAGAAAAAATAGTCGCACATTATTTGCTTAACATTATCCTGTGCCGCTCGGTGAGCTCTTTCGTCTTCACGTAACACAATTTCTTTTTGGTCACTTTTGTTGGTAATATCCGCCTCTAGATACTTAGAGTATCGATAAGCAGTTGGCGGAAAAAGTTTAATCAGACTGTGTTGAATAAAGGCAAGGATTGACAACTCGCAGTGAATTCCATTGACAACTCCTGTGTTTAGGAAGCTTTGAACCGATTTCCAAAATTGTACAAAATCTATAGGAAACTAAATGCAGAATTTGGAGACCCTTCCTCTTAAGATTTATTCTAATCTTTCCTATTTACATTTTTATTATTATTACTTATTTTGTTTAAATGTTATTTTGATTATTCACAATATTCACTAAAGTAGTAATTTTTCAAATTTCCATTAACTCTTATTCCAAATAATAATATCACTATCATATTTCGTTGTGAAGTGGGACACAGCTGATCCGTCCTGCAAATAAAATACCCAATTATGCCGCTGCTATTGTTGTGTTTACTTGTTTGTACAGATATAGGTAAAATAATATTTGTTTTAGTTTTATTCTTTTAGTTGACACCAATTACGTTTGGGTATGTTTAAATAAATTTCCATGGAAATTATTGAAACTATTTGTTTAATAGATTATTCTTAGTTTCTTCTCTACTTATAGTTAAGATCGTTTTAACGTTAAAGTTTTTAGATGTGCATTTTGGAGCCTTTTTGTTATCTTTATTTCTGTTTCTACATTGTTTGAGTGAATGATAACGATTGGTTTCATTTGGGTACCGAATGAATAGTTCTATTGTATTCAATTGTGGAAAGAAGAATCAACTTGACCGTTCGAGACACCTTGGGAAGGCGGTGCATTTGCAATTTGAATATTAAAGTTTGACAAAGTGGACTTAACTGTTTCTGAATTTAGATACCTTTCATTATCGCAATAAATGGTATGAATGTTGGGAAAGAGATTTACAAGTTGTAGAAGTCTTGTTTTTATATGAACGATAGCTCTTGAGCAAATTGGCTGGGTCACAGCGAAGTTGGAGAATTTATCGACACATGTCAGAAAGTATTTTTGGTCTGTGAAAAATACATCGACATGTAAACGCTCTCCTACAAAGGTGGGAATGGGTGTTTCGCCTAACATCTGTTTTTTTTTGGATGTCGTTTATATTTGGCTCTAGAGCATGTTTTACAATTTGCAACAACTTATGCTGCAAGTTTTGTCATGTTAGGAGAAAAAATAGTCGCACATTATTTGCTTAACATTATCCTGTGCCGCTCGGTGAGCTCTTTCGTCTTCACGTAACACAATTTCTTTTTGGTCACTTTTGTTGGTAATATCCGCCTCTAGATACTTAGAGTATCGATAAGCAGTTGACGGAAAAAGTTTAATCAGACTGTGTTGAATAAAGGCAAGGATTGACAACTCGCAGTGAATTCCATTGACAACTCCTGTGTTTACTACTACTGAGATTCCTATGACGTGTCTTGTTTTGTTCTGAAAGAATAAGAACGCTTTTAAGGAAGGGGAATCAGATTGTTCGATTATTATCTGATTCCTAAAGCAGTTTACTGGTTTGTCGGTGGTCTCGATAGTTAGGTAAGGGATTCTTCGCTATGGATCGTAGCGAGGTCCGAACACTGAGACTCCGAGTACAAAGCATTCACGTTTTGTCGTGACAATGCATCTGCTACGTAATTCTCCTTGCCAGGTTTGTACGTGAGTTTGGCGTTATGTTCATCGATAAACGCTTTCCAGCGCTTTATTTTGGCGTTTGTATTGCGATCAGATACCGCAAAGGTCAAAGGCTGATGATCAGTAAATATGTTTAGGTCTCTAACTCCGTACAGGTAATTCCGGAGATTCTTGAGTGCCCAAACTATTGCCAGTAGATCTCGCTCGTTTGTAGTGAAATCTGCCTCTTTATCCCGCAATGTTCTTGAAATCATTGTAATCGGGCAACCTTCTTGTGAAAGAACGGCGCCAAGGCCATGTGCCGAGGCGTCAGTTGTTAGATCAAAACTCTTTATGAAATCCGGGTATCTTAACATCACATCCTCAGACATGAGAATGTTTTTCAGTCTATCGAAAGTTTGCAGCTGTTTAGCTGTTAAGTCAATTTTGACCTTTCTTGACTGATTAGCGCTTACCTTACCGTTGTCTCCTTTCAAGAGTTCGGTTAACGGTTTTGCTATCGCGGCGTAATTCCTTATGAAACACCGGTAATAACTGGATAACCCTAGGAACGACCTAAGATCAAACAAAGTTAAAGGTGGCTTGAAGTTTGAAATTGCCTGTACTTTCTCGGGGGATGTTTTAACACATTTACGACAAAACCCAAATATTCCACGGTTTTCTTAAAAAACTTGGACTTTTCTTGGGATACTCTCATGCCAGCTTCGTAAAGGCTTTTTAAGACACAGTCAATATGTTTGACGTGATCCTCTTTATTTTCAGAGAAAATTATTACGTCGTCAACGTAGACGTAACAAGTTTTCCCTATTTGTTCTCTCAATACATCGTCTATGGCCCTTTGGAATATGCTTGGAGCGTTTTTCATGCCAAAGGGGAGTCGGCAGAATTCATATTTACCGTTATTCACAGAGAAAGCAGTTTTTTCTCTGTCCTTTTCTGCCAATTAAATTTGACGTTAGGTCTAATGTAATGAAGAATTGGGCCTTACCTTCGACAGTATTGTCGAGATTGCGGGTATAGGGTATTTGTCATTCACCGTTATTTGAATTAGTTTCCTGAAATCGTTGACCATTCTTTTTTCTTATTGCCCAGCTCATCAACACCCTTTTTATCCACAACCCAAATAGGGTGGTTGTAAGGTGATCGTGATGGCCGAATGATGCCGTTTTTGAGAAGTTGCTGAACTTCCGAATTTACGAAGTCGGCTACACCCATTGGGTAAGGGTATAATTTGGAGTAAACTGGCTCGTTATCCATTCGGATAGTGGCCACTCTGTTGATGTTGTAGGGGAGAGACTCGTTTGGGTCTGCAAACGCTTTTGACCTTTTATAGATCATTGCCTTGAAAGGTTGTCTCATGACTGTCGGAACGTCAGAATCGTTAACTTGGGTAAAGTTAACTTGCGGGCATGCTTTGAATATAATTGGCTGTGTGCCGCCATTGTACTTAATCGTATCGGTATTTAAGTCGATATGTTCTTTGATTTGTATGAGAAAATCTAGTCCCACTATACCATCGAAATCACTTAATGTTGGAAGCAAGAAAAAGTAAGTTGTTTTATTGAACAATTTAATCGGACATTTTTGTAAAATTTGTGTGCCCCCGTGAATAGATTTAACTTGGAAAGGTTTTTCTACACGGGTCACATTTCTTAAATCGGACAAGAGTTTTATATAGTTTTTTAACGCTCCGGTATCAATAAGTAGTTTGAGAACTAATCCGTTCCCTACATCCTTTTCAATGTACGGGAGAAAGGACCTATTCCTAAAAAATTACACAAGTCGTCGGCCACATCGTCGTCACCAGCTTGGTAATTCTCTTCAGCCAAGGACCGATAATCATTATCGTAAGTGTCTTGTTCTTGAGCAGAGCAGTTGACGTTTTGTCGATTCTGAGAGGAGTTTGTTTTTTTGTTGAAATTGGCTGGTTGTCGTAAACGCGACATTGATGGATCAACGTCCATTGGTTCTGGTGCCTGATATTTCTCTCGAGGCTTAGACCGTTGCCTAAAGGTTTTCTCCTGGGGCCTGTTTGAGATTGTGGTTGGCCACTTTCCTTGTTGTAAAGCTGTGGGTAAATCTTCAGGTTGGGCAGGAAAAACTACAGCTTTAAGAGACTTTTTCAAGCCAGCAACGAAGGAGTGAAGAGCAGCTTTCCTGAATTGTTTAATGTGAAAGCTGCCGCAGTGTCATGGGTCAAGTTCGTTTTATTGGTGAGAAGAGTCAACGTCTTCTCAACCTCATCGTAGTATTCTAACAGAGTAAGTCTAGCTATTATAATAGCTCTGAAATTTAAGACTGCATTGAAAGAAGACAGTGTTGCGCTAGCCGCGCCTCTGATCTTATTTCTGATAATACTGTCGATATAAGGTTCATAAATTTCATAAGCAGATGTTGCTGCTTCTCGCCAGGCAACGTATTCACTTTGTTTGCCGTCGAATTCCGGCAAGGATTTGACCAAATCTAAAGATTCGTCGCATTTAATTTTTGCGTTAACTTTCACCCTTTGATATTCTATATCCTTTTTTTTTATTTGAGATTGTATTGCATTTATCTTACTGTCAAAATCGCTTTGCATTTGCTTTGTTACTGTTTGGAACCTTTGTTCCTGCTCCTCAAGGGCTAACCTTATATTTGCCTCCATAATATTGATCACCTCTTGTGTCGTCATGTTTTTTTTTTAGTGAATTGGCTAGTTCTTCGTCACTATCACAGTGCTGTTCGTTACCTATACTTCTCGACATAAATTATGTAACTGTCTATTCTTAGTTTTTCACGACTTTTTTGACAAAATGATAAAATTTATTAACCATAGATTTATTAACCATAGATTTATTAACCATAGATTCGCCCTTGGATCATCGTCGCTGCGTCTTATATTCGACCTCTAAGGCCGTAAGCAGAACAAAAATGAAACTCATGTAGGTAAATTGCTTAAGTGTTTCTCTTGAAAAATAAAATAAGTAAGTTGTGCACTGACCACGTGAACAGGAGTTTTTTTTTTATTTGTCTTTGACACGCGGCGAAGGCGGGAGTGTTTTAATTTTTGACGAAACTATACTCGCGGTGTTAACGAGAGTTCTTACGGAGTTTTATTAAACCGTTGGGCGCCAATTATGAATAATATAAGTGTATTTCATTAACTTCGAAAACTTATCAGCGATTCGTGTGGATCGCGTAGACGTTCTTGAAAAACTAACTTAAACATAATTCTCTAATCATAACCTAAGTTATCGACTTCGGCAGCGATGCCGACGGCGTTCCCAATAGAATGCTGACCACCCGCCTCGTGACATTCCTTACTGGCTCGTCACGATGCATCAGCTTAAATTTACGTCATCGACTTCTGTTGAGTGCTGCGACTTTGGTGCACACGCATACGGTTAACCTGATTAGACTACTTTGTGTTAACTTATATATATATATATATATATATATATATATATAAAATTCAGCTATATACAGTATATTACCATATAGCGACTCGAGTATTTTAGAAGCAATCCGAATGGAAAGGGTCAGCCACCAAGGACAGTTACTTTAAGTATTTTCTGTCCAGAGATTACAGTGCTATAAAATGCTGAATCGAAATTATTGAGTTTTGCTATAATTGGGATCGGTGTACAAACATGTTTCTAGTCGAGAAACGTGCATCAACCAGGGTAGCCGCAGTCAGCTAGGGGTCAGAAGACTCTCAGTTATTGGTGATAGAACCTATCGGGGTCGAAAAAAATCAAAAGATATAAGACGATGGACATCAAACTGCGAAGGACCCCATGGAAGACTTAAGGACGATAAATTCATGGTACATGTATTGTACTTCAGGAAGGAACAGCAGCGCTCCTTAACTTATACTTCACAGATCCAGCAGAACTAGCAGTAATAAGAGAATTATACTGAAAACCCACGAAGATATCTTATGGATTCGGGATCAATATCTTAGGTTACCGTATTACTTCAATTTTAAAGTGTCAGGCCAAACTTCGTCCACATAAAGTTTAATTATATTTCCAGCTTTCATTACGAGTGCTTGTTTTTCCTATAGTGGCACCGCCACTCTACTCTACTATTCTGAGAAGTGTATGAGAATAGTCATGACCACTTCTAATAAAATAATGGAGTATATTCTAGTTGAAGAGATTTAAAGAGTTGAATTCGCATTGTGTCTTTAGTTCGATTTCTTCGTTAATCACATACTAGTAGTCCTTAGTTAGTCTATAGCATTCCCCAATCTATTGCCTTTGCGTTGAAATCGCCGGACACGATTGAGAGGTGGTGTCTTTCTACGAGCATATAATTGTTTGTGCCTAATTTTAGTTGGAACGTATTTGAATAGTCGCTGGATTTAGAGCAATAGACCAGTCTATTTAGACCTAGTCCAAACAGTTTCATTTCAATTGTAACTAAGTACTCTGAATCTGCCTGTAATCTTATTTGGATTACATTGATGAATGATAGTAAGAGGAAGTGTAATTTATATTAAATTAATATAATCCCTTAACTGAAAGCTTATATTATACAAAAATCAAACGAATTTTTTTGACATTTTATTATAAGACTGATAGTATACAAAATTGGTATTTTATCCACAAATAAAAGTAATTAATATATTAAGTTAATTTTTTCTTACATTTTAGCTTACGGCAGAAACTACATTTGACATGTTGTCTTCTGGACCATCATTAAAAAGAAGAAAAAAGTCTAAGCATGAGAGGAAACGACATGGGCGCCCAAAAGATTTACGAGAAGGTGTTGCAAATGCTTATTCAATCGTAAAAGAGGTAATACTATGTACATCATATAAAAATTAATATAATGTAATAATTGATATAGTATATTAATCATGTATATAATTAAAATAAGGCACTAAAAAATTAGATGTAAACATGATAATCAAATATATGTTATATGAATCAGTTATAAACTATTCTAATAGCGTTTTAAGTAGTTATCATGAGCTAATACCATTGACCACTGATACCATTGAAAATGAGGAATAAGTAGAAAGGTTTTGTTACAATGTATGTAACAGCAAGTAGAAGCCGGGTAAACTCCATAAAGTATATAGTTCCGTCTGTCCGTATCAAGTTTTTTTTTAATAATAGATAACTCTTCCCGTTTTATTGCAGTTATTAAATTATATCTCGTACAGCTTAAAAGCAGAGCCGCCTCCAAATTTTGTATTTAGTTTTATGAATAACTTATATTGATAGATCTTTGTTTAAATTTGCTTCCAAATTTCCCCAAATTCTTTAAATTTAAGTTTAGTTGTAAATAGGGTCAATATGTAATGCAGTTTGCACTTTAAACTGCGAAGTTCTCCAATAGAATATTTCATTAAAATGCGTTAAGTAAAACACGGGCACACTTACATTCAAATGCGTGCTTTCTTTTCTATTCGAAAAATTAAAATTGTGGTTGATTTGTTTTTAAATTGTCAACTGCTACTTTTGTTGAAATTTGCAACTTCTTGAAAAAGCAATCTACTGACGGTGTTAGCAGAGGCGGCACTTGTTGCCAAGAAGATGTTGGTTTAATGATGTGCGGCGACGGAACATTATATTGACTTTTTCTGTATTATGAATTGTCGGCGTTAGTAGAGTTGATGCGTGTTATTTCGAATCGTGGTATCCTAATGTCGGTATTAAATTATTTTTATTTTTAATGCTGATTTAAGCTATGAAAAATATTAAAAAACGCTGATAGGACTGGGCTTAAAGTATCTCCTAGTCGGGCACTCCGACTAGAGATTTCTTATTTGTTCATATTAGACGCTGCTGCTCTTCGTGGCTGAATATATGTATTTATTGTATGTGGTAATTGTTTCGTGAACAGCCTCAGCCTGAATATACGGTTTCATTTGGGTCCACCTCTTGTGTTCTTTTATCCCATCTTTACGTTAACTTCATAGTCACATAATTATATTTTTCTTCTACATGAACCATTGTCTCCATCGATCGGTCATATTCTGCTTATTTTATGCTGGGTCCTAGGAGCCTAACCTTGTAGATTCTTCTATTTTAAGCACTGAAGTGTGTTGCTTTAAAAAATTGTATAATCTTTTTCAATTTATTACTATACTATATTTTATATTACTATTATTATAAATATAGCTTTCGAGTAGCATATTATAGATTGCAAGAAGTAGCAAATTGGTCGCTAGAAAAAAAATACAAGTATGGTCCATCTGAAATATTATATTACAATTTTTGTTGTTCTTAAATAAATAATAAGCTTAATATTACCTTGTACAAACGGATTTTTCAAGTCTTCAAATCTGAGCTAGTCTAAACCTCATATGGACTGCGCATTCACGCGTTTTATATTACCTTTCTCGTACGTACGTTGCTAATATACAATGGTAAATTAGTCCTTTTAATTTCAGTATTTTGGTTTTGTACAATGCCAATCTTGGAAGTCCTGATGACCACGATTGAAGCTAGAGACTTATTTGTATACATCCAAAATTAGCTAAATACTACAGCTTGGTGACAAAATTTTATGTCGACGATTTGACTTTATGGTGATTTGAGAAAATTGTGATTCAGGGTTTCTCCTATTCAGGCATCATCGACTAGAGCTTTCTTGTTTTTATACCCTGACCCCATTGAAAATGGGAACCGTATGTGTGAACGCGTCGGTCTTAGCATATATCAGAGCTAGAGACTTGCAATTTTTGTAGGTACGCCTATAGCACGTATAGCATGTCAAGTATGTTTCAAATATTTCATAACTATTCCCGGTTTATTGTTATCGATTGAAAACACAATCGACTGCAGTTATTAAATTACAGCTCGTAGGGCTTAAGAACAAGAACCTAAAAATTTTGTATTTAGCTTCATGTATATTTTTTACAATTTTTACGTTTTATTTTGGATATCGGCTCCAAATTTCCACATATTTTTAAAATTTAACTTCAGTTGAAAATAGAGCGAATTTGTGTAGGAGCTTCCATTTTTACTAAGCTTCAGTATAATATGTAGATCATATGCTGAAAATTTCATTGTCACGCCCCAAATAATTGTATATATATTCACTATATCTTTATGATTTTAAATTCTCAATGCATGTATATGTTTGAAGTCTCTAGAACTTTAACTAATAGCATTTCCCGATTTTCCATTATAACACTTTATCAAGCGAGGGTACCAACAAGTATATATTCCAAATTTAAGGTCAATAGCAGCGAAATGTTTTGCGATCATACGGACGGAATCAAGACGAAAAAAATCAATATACTCTAAAAGTAGCATATATATCTGACATTTAAATTTAATGTTATGTTTGACAATTTTTAAAAAAAGTTCAAATAGCTTATACCATAAAAACATGAATTTAATAAAAACCGATTACCAAACGGGTAAAGTTTTTGTTAGCATTAAGAACAATTCAGTACGAATTGTATGGTAATCCTAAAAATCTTTAGATTATTATATCGAAGTGTGTTATTATTTATCTTTTATTATTTTTTACGCTTCAAAATGAAGGATATTGTGTAGAATTGTTAACCTTTTGTATTTGAATTTGCATAAAGTTAAAAGACTTAAGAGCATACATAGAAATTGATCTTGTCATTTTAGTTAGTCTTTGATTCACATAAGTACGAATTTGTATACAAAGTGAATCTGGAATCTTGATTGTTAATATAAAATAATATTTTTTATGAATTTTTATTACAGGGAATAAATGAATCTGCGAATACACTGTTGGAGGCAGCCATTGTGGAGCACGATCAAAAAGGTTACAGTGGAGCAGTTGGTGCAGTGGTTAGACAGTTACCTCAATTAGTTGTGTGCCCCGCGGTACTGGCAACTCAAGCCACAACAAACATTTTAGGAGGAGCTAAAAGTTCGCTTGTTCCGGAAGCTAAACGTGAAGCCACCGATAAATGGAAACAGCCAAAAAATTAAAAAAAAAATTAATAAAAATTTTTATATATAATGTAATAAACACACTTTAATCGCCATCTATAGAGTCCGGTTAAATTTTATTGTCATTAAAATACTTCTTATTTTGCAATCATGATCATAAACCGAATTCACTTCAAACTATAACGCAAAGAGACGGAAAACTCAAATGTTACTTCAAGTGTTAATCTTAATATCAAGTTTTACAAGGATACGGCGCAGCCAGATACTATTGTGATCCCTGCATTATAAGTATCTTGCGAAACTGCCCCATCTCGATTAAACTAAACTACACAACAATATTGACATCTGGAATTACATATCTTTTGATCCCTCAATATGATATTCACTCTCTGTTGACATGAACAATAATCAAAGCAATTCTGTTTCAAACGGCTACATTGCCTAAGTATCAAATCGATATATTCAAGGTCATGCTCTACTCCTTGAACATCATTGAACGATGAACATCATTGAATTGTGATCAAAGTCTGGCTCCAATTTTGAGTCAGGTGAAGCATATTCTCCAAGTGCTCCTAACATCAAAATATCTGATTAGCTAATGTTATCATGCAAATAAGCTAATAAGAATAATAAGAGTAATATACACTCAGCTAATAATTAAGCTTATAGAAACGGTAATTCTTGATCAATTACTAACTGAAGTGCTGATTTGTCTGAAATCTGCAGATATAAGTGCACTTTTAGGTTAAGAAACAACTGCTATATTCTGATATCAAACCAAAAGGTTCTAGTAATACTCATTCAAAATCTCAAATCTCTTCTTTCTGTACATTAACACCCAAAAAGAGTCTACCATGAATCTAAACACATAAAGAAACACCAGTATGATCTAAACAGTCATTTAGACAATCTCATCAATCTAACGTACAATGAGTACAATGATTCAAATGAAAGTTCGGATATTAAAGAAAAAGCCTCGGATGAGTACCTAGAACAGTAGTTATTAAAATATAAATTTCGAGTGCAATACATAATTGCTTAACCGATACAGAAAGTAGTATTCATAAATAGACCAGTATAAAACATGTAAGAAAGTTAAAATCGGGGTGCCCGACTAGGAAATACCCTGATCTCAGGTCTATCTGCGCTTTGAAATATTTTTAGTAGTTTGTAGCGAGTATTCAAAGAGAAACACATAAAAAGCGACATTACGGCACCGAGATTCGAACCAAAGTTGCCTACGCAACGCGCATCAACTGTACCACCACCGCCACTTCATAATTAATATATAAAAAAGAACAAAAAAGATTCGAACCAAAGTTGCCTACACAACGCACATCAACTGTACCACCACCTTCATAATTAATATATAAAAAAGAACAAAAAAGACGTCCCTTCGCCACTTGGTCTCGAACTTGCGTGTAACGAGCGCCGCCTCTAGCAACCCCGCACTGCTTTCACAAGTATATGCAAATTTGAACTTACGTAACACCTGATAATTCAAGCTCAATTTAATCGAATTTCGATTCTTCGAAATAAAAAGAATAAACGCATTCGAATGTATGTGGGCACACATAAAAAAATGCGTGCGCTCTTCGCTGCGTGGCATGTGATTTTGCAAATTGACCAAAAGTTTTGCTTAATACTTGTTTTACTTAATGAATATTAATAAAATTTTTAGCATACGATCTACATTTTCTGTTGGCTTGGTGAAGATAAAAACTCCTTCACATAATGGCCCTATTTCCAACTAAACTTTAATTTGAAGAATTTGAGAATATTTGGAGCAGGTACCCAAAATATAACAAAAATCAAAATGATAGAAAATATACATTTATTCAAAATATGGAGATCCTAGCTCTTAAGTCGTACAAGATATAAATTAAAAACTGCATTTCGATTGGACTTTTAATCGATAACAATGTCTGAGATCGACATACGGACAGACACATACCCATATGAATAGAGAGACAGACGAACAGGGCTCAATCGATTTGGTATGTCATCCTGATCATTAACATATATACTGCAAAACGTCTGCACGCCTCATTCTGCGTATTACATACATTTGCACAAAACCATTATACCCAGGTTTCAGGCTATAACCAGAGTTTCCATATGAGAAAACAATTTAATAAACAACACCCGACCCTTTGTAGAAAAACCCACAATCGTCTTCCTCATCGGAATACACTGTCTAAAAATGATACAAGTAAAAAAAATTATTTTCCTTAAAACAGAAGAAACAAAAGACTTCTTGGATTATAATATATATTAATTCTTTGTAAGCTATACTGAAATTCAAATAATCTTTAATAATTTAAAGAATTTAATCACCAAAAACTGAAAAATCAAATGAAGGGAATTCACCTTCACAACAGACGTCGTCTAATATATATAGTATGATCAATATATAAGTTTTTATTCGGAGCCCTAAATGAGAAAGGCATAGAAGTCTTAAAACACAAGTATGAAAGCTCTACTTGGGGTACCCGACTAGGAGATACCCTGATCCGTAGTTTATATCGAGTATTCAAAAATAAAAAAAAAATAAAAAGAATAAAAAACGACATTACGAGACCAGGATTCGAACTTGGATTGTTTGCGTTACGTGCACCAACTCTACCAACACCGCCACTTCATAATTAAAAAATTAAAAACAATAAAAAATGAACCTTGAATCGAGACCAACCGCTAACTGACGCCGTCTCTACCAACGCAGCCACTGCACTGCTTATGTGAGAAGTTGCAAGTTTGAAGTTAAGTAGCAGCTACTAATTCTTCGCAATTCAATCGCAATTTCGATTCCTCGAATAGAAAAGAATACTCGCATTTGAATGTATGTGTGCCCGTGTTTTACTTAACGGATTTTAATGATATTTTCAGCATATGATCTACATATTATATTGGCTTGGTAGGGATGCAAACGCCGTCACATAATGACCCTATTTCCAACTAAACTTTAATTTTAAGAATTTGGGGAAATTTGGAAGTATCCAAAATCCAAAAAAAAAAAACAAAATTGCATAGCTCTTAAGACGTGCGAGATATAATTTATTAACTGCATTTCAATCATGTGTTTATTCGATAACAATCAAAATGCGATTAGTTATCGAATATTTGAAACAAACTTGACATGCGCCTTTTATACACGGATATACAAAACAAATTTATAGTCTCTAGCTATTATAGATGGTGAGGTCGACGCGTTCACACATACGGACAGATGGATGGACAGACAGAAGGACAGGGCTCAATCGACTCGGCTTGTCGTCCTGATCAAGAATATATATACTTTATGGGGTCTGCCACGCCTCCTTGTGCCTGTTATATAAATTTGCACATACATTTTTAAAGGGATCAGGGTATAAAAACTAAACAAATTAAATTATGAAAAAACCCAAATGAAAATACCAAAATTATGCAACTTAAGGAAAATATTGAATATGGAATATTTCACTAATTATATCAAAACAATTAAATTTGCACTACAATTAAAAAGAATGGGTTAATTAAATCAAAGCTTTTCCTGTTACAATTAAACCTGTTATCAATTCAGAATTATTAGACACACCGAAGATTTAACAGATGAATTCTATTTAATACGAAATACGATTATAATATCAATAAAAACTTTATCAAAGACCCTTGTGTCGCAGTGACAGGAAAATTTACCAAATGTATGTCTCCTAAAACTAAAATACAATAAATTGAATATTAGATACTACTTAATTTTGAAATAACCTATAATTTAATTATTCCCAAGATCGATGACGATTGAGAACGCAAAATGAAAACGAGGACGTATTTCCGAATAAGATAAAAAACTTGTCGACTTTCCAATATCTCCGCCTTTAACTAATATATTTACACTCGTTCTCCAAAATAATGCAAAAAAAAAGATACATTGACATTGATACATTATGAATTTTTTATGTAAATTTGTCTAGCATGTGTATTCTTCAGCTGGGTCCCTTATGTATTATGTATTATGTATTTTTCTTATATATTTCATTTATGTACCCAGCATCGCGTTCTTAGACAGTTCTCCCCAAACTGACGTTTTTACATCATAATAAAAGCTTAACTGTATGCTTGTCTTTTCTGACCGACATAGCTATTTTCCATTTCGTATACTTTCATTGCAGCCACGACGAAAATAAAAAAGATTAAGATTATTGATTAAAATTATGCGAAGCGGGTAAGCAATAGCTTACCCAAGCTTCGCGCTTCCACTTAATTGCTGCTGCCTTCTGCCAGTGGTTACCCCTCCTATTTGACATTATTGCTGCCGCAAACTTTACCGATCCTTCTCCAGCTTAACGATTAGGGGAATACGACTGGTGGGCGGCAGCTGCAGTCAAGTGGATGTGCACTTCGAGTCGATGATAAAACTGGTCACTAGAAGCTTCGTGCCAAGGTGCGGCGACTTAAGACTAAAAAATTAAGCCAAGAAATCCGCAGCGAAACGCACAGTTGAAAGAGGGGCTGTCAGTAAAAGCAATCTCGGAGAGCTAGCATCTACTGCATGAAAATACGGAGGTGGATGCATTTCTGGGATAGCTGTAAGCTAAGCTTCAGAGCTTAAAGAGCATCGAGGCCTCAAATAATCCTCATAGAGCGACGATATGGAACGAGTTATTTAATATGCCTAAACTCAAATGTACGGAGCTGAACTATTCCAATAAAAAGGAGTGCCAAGCCGTCATCTGGGATATCTGGAAAAAGAATCCATATATCGAGGGTGGTGATCACAAATGTAGCACTGAAGTGGCTCAACTCCATCGATGGGATTCGCCCTAAAGTAGAATTATCAAATGAGTGATGAACTATATAAATTGATGTCATGTATACTAATGTCAAGCAAAGCGTTGAGGAAGGTGGTGAAAACAGGGATTCACCCGTAAAAGAGTGTCTTGGGATACAAAAGTTAAGTCAGGAATTGCACAGAAATCCACTAAATTTTTAGGATTATAAGGAGGAGTAAGGAATCATATATCAAGCCGACCATAATGCTGTTAGTCCATGGAAGCTTTATGCTACAAACACAGCGGCTCACCAAATACTCCCGCAAATCCCAGAGGCACCATCTCTACGATCTGATTTGATTCCTCAGTACCGCTTCCGAGATCAAAGCACGGCAATACCATACTACTGGAGTTCATCGACCGGTTCCTCAAATGGACAGAAATTGTGCTGCTGAGGAGCACCAATATGGCTGTGCTCTAGACCGTATTTCGAGAGCGGATATTTGCACAATTCGGGGCACCAAAAGTTATCATTATAGATTACTAAGCTCTTGAGCCTAGCGTCTAAATTCTTGTGGACGAGCTTGGCGTGGGATATCAATAACACAGAGAGGGCGAACAGAACAATAAAGATGATTGGCTAACAGAGACTAGAGATGCTGGGATTACGTCCATAAGAAATCCAAAATGACACTACAATATTGGAAAATAAACAAAAATTAAAAAGGAACGGGCAGCTCCATGGAAACGATTCAAAAAGATAATCGAAGCACTTTGAAATTATTAGACAATAATTTTAATTTTTTTTTAATTTTTTTTTTTTAATTGCTGTTTTTATTTGCAATCTGTCTTATACTAGACAATAAACAAATTTGTTAACAATAATATTACGTAACCGGTTGGCTTGGGCTCCAATGAGATCAATCCATATATTTATCTACTTTATTTATTTATCTATTTCTGTGGGGTAGGTCTAGGACATGTAATTTTTTGATTCGCCTGTGATTGCTTGAGTCATCCAGTAGTCTTAGTGCTAGAGCATTGTCGTGGTTATGTAGTTTATTCATGTATCTGTTTGCATATAGTAGTATTTCTTCTTTAACAAGGGGCAGTTTAACATCTTTGTGAATATTATAATTAGTCACATACCAGGGTGCACATGTAATCATTCTGAGAGTCTTGTTCTGGTATCGCTTTATTATTTCGATATTTGAATTACTAGCAGTACCCCATAACTGCAATGCGTAGGTCCATACTGGCTTCAGTACGGACTTATATAGCCTTAATTTGTTTTCAAGATTAAGTTCAGAACGTGGTCCTAACAGCCAATACATTTTCCTGGTTTTCACCTTGAGCTGCTTTCGTTTTGATTTGATGTGCTGCTTCCAAGTTAGCCGCCGATCAAGATGAACACCTAGATATTTTACCGATTCACTAACAGGTATAGCATGACCGTTTAGCGTGATTGCAGGACAACTTCCAGATCTCAGAGAAAATGTAACTTGCACTGACTTTTGCGTGTTCATTATTATTCTCCACTTTTGAAGCCAGACTTGTGGGTCAGTGTTCGTAGCAATGATTGCGGTATCATAAGCATATGTTGCTATCTCAACAGCGTTTGTTATAGGTATGTCAGCTGTGTAAATTGTATACAAAACTGGACCCAAAACACTCCCTTGCGGAACACCAGCTTCAGAAGTGTATATATTGAATGAGTCGTCATGTTCTTGTACATAAAAGGATCGGTTTGCCAGGTACGATTTTATAATATTAAATAATTGATTAATGAATTTTTTTTAATGACAAACACTTTTTATCATGTATAATCTTATAATAAATTTAAAGTCGTGATTTGCTCGAAAAAAAAGCAAATCTCCAAAATCTTAATGATGTCAAAGCAGACAAAGGCTCAAAATTGGTTGGAATCTGAAAACGTAATTATACTTTGAAGATTCTTGTTATCGATTATTTGAATGAAACTAAATCGGACCTTCAAGTCTCCAGCTCTTATATTTTCTGAGACAGTCCCTTTCATACATACGGAAACACAGAAATCGTGAAATCGCCTTATCTGGATCGAGAATATATATATATTTTATACATTTAAACAAAACCATTATCATCTTTATAGGTATAAAAACTATAAAAACAAACTACTATGAAGTATGTAGATACAAAATAAAAACAAGGCCCTTCAATTAAAACCCAAACAACAGTCGCCCTATGAAGACATAGACAAGTCGAGGGAGATAAAGCATTACAAATCAAAATTCAAAAAGCAAAGGAAAACTCAAAAATAAATATATTAATCAAAGTATAGAATTAATCCTATAAAAGCACCTAATGGATAGATTTACCATCGATACATAGACAGATAGATAAAATAGACTTATCGTTGCTAAACTTTAAGCCTAACGAAAATACAAGCCTATTAACGTATTTAAACATTCTGACTCATAAAAATATAATTCTATCTAATTGAAAACCAAGTCGCAAATTATATATTATATATATTAACAAAAAAAAAAAAAACAAATTATAATATAATTAGTACATCGAATAAATATTTATTTGGGTTTTTGATCAGTAAGACATCTAAGAGCTAGAACAAAAAATTAACATTTATCCATAATTTTAATATTATTTTCTTCTTGTTGCCGTATGGACGATTGTTAATGTTCTCGGTAGCCTATGTAGTTCTCTTACCGCTTTGGCATATTAGTATGGGAGCATGCTTTTTTCCATACTTGCTTCTGCTTCCTTATTTCCTATTTTCCGCAGACGGCGTAACGAAGTCTTGTCGGCATAGTTACAATCCATCTAGGCTAAATTGCATCAAAATTGAGCTGAACCCCTGATTTTATTCCTAATTATGGTTACAGCTTGGTACTGCAACAAGCCATTCAACAAACATAAAGGGCATCTAGATAAAACTTTATTAACACATAAAATAGCTAGTACGCGACTTTCCGCACAGCAAAGTCCGCCACATGAGCCATCATCAGCAGTTAAACGGGGAGATAAAACTTACCCCCGTGTATGGTCCATCATATCTAAAGGCTGAATATATCCACTCATGTCGCAATTCATTCCGGGGCAGTAAGATCTGGCTGTCAGTTTTCGGTTTCAAAGGCTTCCAACGGTGGCTGTATCAAAGGCTTCCAACAGTGGCTTTGCTTCCACTTCGCTTTGCTTGCACTTTTTCCATTCTTCCGGATTCTTCCATATGGTCCGGAAACTTAAATAAATTTTTGCAATATGCCAAGGCTACCTGAGAAGATGATATTCTTCGAGGTCGAGGTCTTACCAGGCCAGACACGCCTGTTTCGTTGCCGAATAATTCCGATCCATACTTATCAGTGTCCTACTGACATAGGAAGTTACGCATTTCGCAAAAGCCATTGTTGGTTGTATCTGTCTGTAAACAAAATGGCTTCGAAAAACTAAGCATGCCAGAACCAGAACTTCGTAAGCTTAACGTTGAATTAACGTTTGACGATTCTTTGTCCAGTCTTATCGCATACCATTTGGAAGTACGTTTTAGTGCGGCGTTACCATGACGCTGCTTCTACATATTGACGCAAAACTTTCATATTTAATGGCTTGAGTTCTACGATTTTGCGTTTTTTTGCGTTAATGATCTTAATGATTATTAGATTATTAAAAATACTGTTGTAGCAATAAGTACAGTAAGTAGTAATGACTTATTAATATAAGTAGACAGTTATGAATTGAGATTAACAATAATAACATGTAAGAATGTTACAGCAGGCTACTGACAGCTGCCAACTCCAAATATTTGCAAAATAAAAATTTGAGTTTCCAACTGTAGAATATTCAGTTTTACTATTTGCCACACCCCAGAGTGTGTGATAATATTTTAGCCAATCCTTACAAAAGGCCAACAGTAACGAAACTATGAAATTTTGGGTCGAAGGCCTCGAAACTGTCGAAACTACAATGGACAAAATCTCTCTAATGGACAAAATCTTACATGATTTAGACCAGGCACTATATATTCATTCCTCGTCTCTTATCATAAAAGTGTTTCGATAATAAAAAGCTTTTAACTAACCTAAAACATCGTGTCTTAAGCTTAAATAGCAACGGAATAGTTTACTTACATAGAGCAGCAAGGCGTAAACAATTATGAAAAATGTCAATTTCCATAAAATGACATATAAGTTTATTGCGTTATTAGTTACTGCGTTCCATTCCATTTCATGTCGCGAGTGTTAAGGATTATTTTTCTCGTCATGTTGACATGTAACTCCATGTGAAGCAATCAAAATTAGAGTTTACAGTTACAGTTAAAAATATTTAATAGTTTAAAAAATCGTGGATGTTGTGTTTAATTAAATATTTTTCTGCCATGTACCCTAAAGACAATATAAAGGATTACCTTACCGTCGATATCGAATGTCATAAGCCGAGTTGTATGTACATGCAATATCATTCTGAGCATATGTACATATATACATACTTACACTTCGCATATTTATACGAATAAATAATATATACATTGACATACATGTATTTATTTTACATTGTATTCATGTGTTTACAGTAAAATGCTTCTTATCGGTCATGTGTCATAACAAACGGATTATTTATTTATGTTATTGTTTCTAAAAGTATAAAATATTAAATACCGCCAGAATTTATTTACAAGACATGAGGAAGTAAATCATATGTACATTACGATATCCATTCCTCTTTTTGTTCACTTGTAAATCCATACTCAATTTGAACTGTATAGTGTATATGTATACATGTATATATTTAATGTAATTGTAATTGAAAAAAATAATCAATGAGTGCTATAACTGATTGTGATTATAATATGTATATATTATTTTATATTAGCTCGTGTGTAAATGCGTCGAAATAATGTGAAGTTCCGCTGATTTTTCAACATTCAAGGAGGAAACACAGGAAAGGTATTAAAATTGATCCATTGATCTTAAATATGTATGTATTTGCTATTTGTAAACATTTGAATTCAGTATAGTACAGTACAGGTTCCCAAAGCTTCAATGAATAAATCAACATTTAAATTCGAAAAAAAAAATAAAGTTGAAGTTGAAGTAATTGTTTTTTTTTACCCTAAACCCATTTGTGAAAATTCAAGTATTTTATATATATCTTGTAAAGCACAAAAGCTAGACTTTCAATTTTAAGTATACATACGTATATATAATTATAATTATGTGTATATTCTAGTAGACCATACGTATTATTATAATTTTTTTCCTTCACATTTCCTAATCTGTTTACTGTCGGGTTTCAATGCTGCGGATTTACTGTGGGAGTCTTATTGGTGAAAAATATTTTTTTTTTATGTAGTTATGTTTTGAAATAGATATCCAAACTCCAACACATAAAAAACACGTTTATTCATTGTATTATTATACGTGTTTTTTTTGTTTTTTTTCCAGATAGCTTAAAATATAAATAAGAATTTCAATTTCCATGTTAAAATCTCTAGCTTTTGTAGTGTACATCATTGCTGTTCTACGCATACATAGGATGATTTCCTAGATCAACTCATTATACAAATGTGCATATGTATACTTTTTTATCTGTGACTCACTGCATTTGTGGTAAAATAAAAAGAAAATTCAAGAGTATAAATAACACTGCACTAATTGTCAAATTATTATTTATTATCGAATAGATGACAATATATATCTCGCACAGACACTCACGATTCTTGGAGATTTTTACATCACTGTTTTGGTTTCAGCAATTTTCGTCCAAAGTAGTTAGTAGTTCAACTCTTATTATATACTTTTTTTGTTATTTATTATTTTTGTTGCGTGTGTTTTACTATATAAAGTTTTAGTATCTTATGATCTCAGCCATTTATAATTTGAACTTTTCTTATAAGCTTACAATTTACGTAAAAGTATTCATAATATTGTTTACAGTAGTTGATTCAAAAATATAAAGTCCAAATCTTATTATTTGGCGTTAACCTTTAAAAATATAAAAAAAATATATATATTTTTTTAAAACAAGTTTTTTATAAGTATTATCATTCATGTGTCTTAGTACACATGTCTTGCTGTTACGATGATATATTCGCATTGTCTTCTATGGTTATATACCTTTAAATTTTCTCTGAAAATTCAATCTAAAAGCTTAAAAGTAACTTAAGCTTTAAAGGTAATCATTCATCAATTTAATTAAAAAAAAAAACAAACAAGTTAAATAAATTTTTTTATACTTTTTTTTAAAATAATAATTTTAATATTATGTTCAATTAAGGAAATTATTACATTATTATTAAAACAGCAATTATGTAATTATAAAAACTAGAAATTTCAAGAATTTGGGGGAAATACGAGCAGATAGACAAACAGACGAACAGAGCTCAATCGACTTGGCTTGTTTTGATCAAGAATATATACTTTATGGAAAATGCACAATATCGCTATGTGTTGCACAATATCGGTGCTCCAAGTACTCCATTACGTCAGTCAGTAACTGTTTGTCCTTTGTCTTATTTCTTTTTGGCTTGGCTAATGGTTCCCAACCGACAGTATAATTTTCTGCGACCTCTGTCAACAAATGAGCAACCATGTTATTTATTTCTCCTCTTAATGAGGATTTTAAAAAACTGAATTTGATAGAGGAACTTAGATCTTCTCTATTATCAATAAGTTCACTAAATAATACAGATAATAAGTCCCAATCCTTGGCTTCTCCAAAAAATATTGTGACTTGAATTAGCGGAAGATTATCCACCTCTTCTTGGGTTATTAGTTGCATTGGAGTCATTATTTTTATTTCGAAAGCGCTGATGTATTCTGAACATCAAATTCTAGTTCATTTATTTTTTTATCAAATATTTGGCTTTTTAGCTCCTGAATTATTTTAAAGCCCTGTCGTTTTCACGGCAGTTTCTGCCGTCTTTGTTTTTTTTTCTGCTGTCACCTTGCTTCTTGTTTTAAACCTCTGTCTCTTACCTCTTTTTTAAGAGAGAACAAAGTATCATTGTGGTTTGTTTTTATTCGCGAACCGAGTCTTTGTGAGGTGAGGTTTTCATAAAAACACAGCCTAAAGACGCTGGTTCCTTCTCTGTGTCTCTTAATACGGGTGGGGAACAATTGGAAACACCGAAGGACCAAAATGTAAGAGTTAAAAAATCACCTCCACATTTACTGAAATCAAAATGTGAACCTTTTAATTCCCTTAAAACACTGGTCTTATATAAACAAAATGAGAGTCTTAAAATTACTTGTAGTCAATGGAAGGGTAATTTTTATCACGCACACAAGTGCACACATCGTAACGCGCTGGTTATCTTATATTGTTTATGACATATTCATATGGCATGCTCATACTTGAACAAGTAATGTCTGACATGTTACTCTATGTCAGACCATCAAAAAGCATATCACTTGACAACATTGCTTTATCTTTTGTCCTAGGAATAGGCAAAATGACAAATCAAATGCTATGATTTGTGGAACCTTAAAAGAAAAGGAACAATATTTAGCTACAAACACATAGCTCATAGTGCGGTCCTTAAATCCCCATTTGTACGCTCAATATTTACATTGACTATTTACCACCTACTCTAGAAGCCTCAGAGAAGAGTTGTAAAGTAAATATAAAAATATAAAATGGATTTATTAATGAGCAAAACGGTAAACTGAATAAAAGAGAATGTAACATCCGATTTGACCATTATACATTGCGATTTGTTGCTAACAGTTTCCAAATCAATACATTGTTTTCGAAGCAGTGAACGCAGCTGGGCAAATTACAAATTACAAATTAATGGTTAAATAAAGCAATTAGTGGAATCCACTCAGGAACAAACAGAAATACTTTACTGAACACCAAAAATGACCTGTCTTGTAAATGAAATATATGCCAACTGCTTAGTTTGTAAACGAGCCAAATGTAACGGACATAAGACTTAATTTTTTGACAAAGAAACCTTAGTAAGAAATGGTCGCTCCAAAGACTAAAGACTATTTCCATGAAGAGTTATATTTTAAAACAATTATTCACGAAATAAAAGAGTTAAATTTTAAAATATATAATTGTATCGACATATATAATTGTATAGACGATTGCATAAATCATATATAAAAAGAACTAGCTTCAAAAATAAACTATTACAATTTTTTAGCTAGTGCTTTTTATTAGATGTGGAGAAATATCAATAGTGGACACCGTCGATATTCAACGATTGTTTTATTTTTGATCATTCTTGATCAGGACGACAAGCCGATTCGGTTGAGCCGTCTGTCCGTATGTGTGAACGCGTCAATCTCAGCATCTATAACAGCTACAGAATTTTTTTTGTGGGTGCGTGTATAGCACGCGCATATCGAGTTTGTTTTAAATATTCGATAACTATACGCATTTAATTGTTATCGAATAAACACATGATTGAAATGCAGTTAATAAATTATATCTCGTACGTCTTAAGAGCTAGAGCCTGCAAATTTATTTAGTTTTATGTATATTTTATGCCATTTGGATTTTTGTTGGATTTTGGATAGCGGTTCCAAATTTCCCAAAATTCTTAAAATTTAAGTTCTGTAGGAAATAGTGCCATTATGTGAGGGCGTTTACATCTCTAACAAGCCAATAGAATTCATTAAGTAAAACAGAAGTTATTAAACAAAACGTTTGGCCAATTTGCAAAAGCACATGTCAGCAGCGCCACGCGCAAGCATTTTTCCTATGCGTGTGCACATACATTCAAATGCGTGTATTCTTTTCTATTCGAAGAATCGAAATTGCGATTGAATACTACTTGAATTATTAGCTGCTACTCAACTTCAATTTTGTAACTCTTCTTGCAAGTGGTGCTGTGGCTGCGTTGGTAGATGCGGTGCTCGTAAGCAGCTAGCCCCAGGGTTTGAGACCGGAGGAGATGGAATATTTTTTACTGTTTTATTTTTTTAATTATGAAGTGGCGGTGTTGGTAGAGTTGGTGCACGTTGCGCAAAAAAATTTTTTTTTGATTACTCGATACAAACTACGGAAAATATTAAAAAAAAAGCAGATAGGACTGGGATCAGGGTATCTCTTAGTCGGGCACCCCGACTAGAGCTTTCATACTTGTTTTGTATATAATTTACGCAAACAATATGTTACATATTCTAAATTTTAATTTTGTGTCGAATCCTCTTGCAATTGGAAATAGTAAACAAATAATTTAATGTTCTGTTAATTTTTTTTTTTAAATGTGTAACATCGCATAAATAAGAAATACAAGTAAATTAATAATAATAAAAAGAATTGTTTAACAAATTTTAATATTCATGTGATTCCAAACTAATGATATTTCTTGACATTTTTAATTATCCGGAATCGACTGTATAACAGAATTTATATAGCACTATATAGTCAGATCTGATTTGCCAACCCCTAGTGGCCGTGGACATATTTTTTTATCAAGTTATATTTTATTTGTTATTGATAAAATAATGCTGAAGCTAAATTTAAACTAGTAGACACTTTCGTAATATATTTAACAATTGTAAACTCTTTAAGTATAGTCTTGTATAATAAAATTTTTTCTAAAAAAAAATTAATTTAATTAAAAATTTCTATGTGTGCCAATATTTAAAGGAAAAATGCGTACGCTAGAACCTGCTTGGCTTTACAAATCTATGTTAATACCTGTCAGCTTAGTAAAAATGCAAACTTTTACATATTAAACCTATTTCCAACTGAACTTAAAAAAAAACGACATTCTTTAGAGCGACGAATAGTTCAAGACAAGATATTAGAGCTCAAAGATTACACCATGCATAGACCAGTGAAATTTTTACTTTGTACCTTGAATCACCGATCAATATAGAACATAATTATATGATAGAATATAATTAGTTTTGTAAATTGAGACAGTAATTTTTTTTATAGTTTTAGTGGTTATACTGATATATAACATATATTTGTGACGTAATAATGACTAAGATTATCTGACGTGTTCAATACAATTTTTATATTTAGTAAGCATTTGAAACATATTAACAATAAATCTATATATTTTTGCTTTTTAGAAAAAATGGCGGATACTTCAAATAATAGCATTGCGGACATGACATCAATAACCGAAATAGACGAAAATGGAATAAACTGTAATCTAAGGCTTCGTTACTCTAATGATATAATATATGTATCCTTTTAAAAATTAATTGTATGCAAACCATATTAATTTTTTACTTATATATTTGCATCGACAATTTATATGTATATTATACCAATAGTAATTCAAAATGAGGAAAGTTTATAATAAAATTGTTAAAATGCAATGAAAAATATCATTTCACGCCCCTTTATGTTTACCATACACAGTAAAATCATTAAAAATGTATATCATATGTCGGCAATTTCATTGAAATTCGACAAGTTACACGGAAGTTATTAAGCTAAACTTTTTGCCAATTGGCCAAAAAATGTAGTAAGCAGCGCATTCAAGCTGAGTTTATCTGGCTATATACTTCTGTCCATCCGAATGAACGCAGTGATTATATATATTTGAATATCGTACTTATATCAATCTGCGTTTGCTATAAGGAGACCTATAAAGTAAATCTTATATAAAGTGTCAATTCTGTCTTACATATATTTGAAGAATACCCTGAATTGCTATGCACTTCTGTAAAAAAACAAAATCCAAGTTTAAAATAATTTATTTACAAAACCACATTTTCGAATTTTCCATACACGTGAATTCTCAATGTGGAAACGATTAACTGTGTTTGTAATTCAGCTTTAATTTTATTGATTATTGGGATGATGATATTTTATTATATATTATTATTATTATTATTATTTATGTTATATTATATTATATTATACTTAATAGTTACCGAAAATAAAAAAGTGTATGGAAATATACAATTATGAATTCAAAACAATTACTTTTCAATGGTAACTTGTAACATAATTTTTTAATTTTGGTAACATTTAACATAAATTAGACATACTCTGGAACAATATTGATTGCAGTAAATCCATACAAATGTATTAATATCTTTAACAAGGTAAGTTTTTCTAAATATTGAACTGAATTAATAAATAAAAATTAATATGTGGGTACAATGTGGGTAATTCTTTTTAAAAGAATACAATACATTGATCAATCAAGCTGCATCTTATACTTTTGTATAAAGACTTTATAAAAAAAATGTTGTAAAAAAAGGTTTGCAAATTTACGGTTAGAAGAGTATTATTTGTATTATTTGTAATAATAATAATAAGCACCCGAATTATTAGCATATTTACTTATCGACTTTAAGTACAGTTAAAGCTGGGATGAAACGGGAAAGTCCTGCAATAACCTTCTTAGTGCAAGAAAATTGTTTTGATCAACAAATTAAGAAAATTTGAAATGCGTTTTTACCCGTGTGATTTTTTATCACAATGAATTATACAATAAATAATTGATCATTATTAGGCTTATATTAGCCTATTTATACAATTTGTTAGATGTAACATTTCAATGTATAAAGATATTATTTCATTGGATGTGACTTTTACTTTAAATGTGACAATTACTTTAAATGTCAACAAGATTTTTGGTTTCCTATATTATATAATTTCTAATTTAATAATCTTAAATATATTCTTAATCGAAGTTTAGGTGAATTTTATATAATTGCTTCAACGACGTATAACATAGGAACAAAAATGGCTTAAACGTGATTGAAAAAAATATGTTATAGAAAAAAGAAACAATTTCTTCAAACTAGACTCAGACCGAAATAATATTTGTAATTAATATGAATTTAGAATAAAAATCATAGTCAGAATCTACGCGAAACAAATTTAAGAAACTTTAAACTATATATATACATACATACAATAGAACTAAAATATAACAGCCATTCCTAATTGAGGAATTACGTTTAATTTTTTTTGTGTTCTCAATCAAACTAGTTTACAATTCAAAAATTAAATAAAAATAAAAATCAACAGGTAAGAATTTGCTAGTCGACAGTCCGACCGCGACATACATAAATATTCACAACTACAAACAAGTAAGTCGGGGTGCCCGACTAGAAGAGATACCCTGATTCCAGTCCTATCAGCGTTTTTTAATATTTTGCATAATTTGTATCGAGTATTAAAAAACATAGTAAAAACTAACAATAGGATACCTAGATTCGAACGCCGTCCCTTCGTGATTAAAAAAAAAAAAAAAACAAAAAAATGTATTCGCGGCCTGTCATTGAACACAAAACTACCAACACCGCCACTACACTGTTCAGGAAGTTAAAAATCTCTACTGAAGTAGCTGTTGACAATTCAAACACCATTCAATCACAATTTGGATTCTTCAAATAGAAAAGAATACACACATTTGAATGTATGTGTACGCATTTTTAGTAAAAATGGACAATCGTTTTGTTAATAAGTTATGTTTTGCTTAACGGATTTGTATGAAATCAGCATATTATCCACATATTCTAAACTAGTTTCTGTCGGCTTAGTAAAAATGCAAATTTAAAGAATTTGGGGAAATTTTGGAGCCGGTATGTAAAAAATATACATACAACTAAGTAAAAAATTTGGACGCTCTAGCTCTTAAGCCGTTCGAGATATAATTTAATAACTGCATTTCCATCATGGATTTAATCGATAGCAATAACACGGCAAAAGTTATCGGTTATTTGAAGATAGCCTAATATTCGCGCGCAATACACGGACTACCAAGAGAACTTCATCAAAAATTTATATGCTTTATGGAGCCTGCCACGCCATGTCTAAGCCACGTCTTAGCCACAACTAATGGGTGGGTCTCTCTAAGACTATTGACTTTATTTGTACATTTATTTATCCGCCCATTGGGAAACTCAAAATTTTTTCCGCAGGTGTGAACATATAATTTTCGATGAATTTATGTTGATATTGAATTGAAGAGGGCTTTGATTATTGCTATAGTGGGCTTATCGGAAATTTTGAACAATTTTTAAAATAAGGGTATAGTGGTATAGTGCTATAGTGGGCTTATCGGAAATTTTGAACAATTTTTAAAATAAGGGTACATATGGGTATATATCTGATAGTATTCTTACTTGTTAACCATAATATTTTGACTATAAAAGGTAGAAACAGAACTGTAAGTTTCCATAAATAATACACAAAAAATTTACTTATACTCACTGTTTAATTCCCGGGCATGAAAATTTTAAGTATTTATTTGGGAAAAGTTGACTTAATTTTATTAACCACCCTAAAAATGTATAATTTTTTATGTACAATTTACCGTCACTGAACATCAAAATGTATTTAAAGCGTTCAGTATCGTTTGTACCCGTACGAGCCCAATTAAAAGCACAATATTCCCCCTTTTAACCCTTGTTTTTTTACGGAGGCAGTATATGAACATATGTATATATATATAACAACAACATATCACAACAGCTTAATTATATATTAACAGCTATATATAATATTATTCGTAATGCTTGAATTTTGTATTTTCCCCAGTTTTGGATCTTTCGAACTCAAATCATAAATTACTATTGACTTCCACTATTGAGTTCCCAAAAAATTGTCATAATGTTTTTGAGGTGTGGCAAATCGAAAAAAAACATATCTCCGAAAAAAAAGCGTCCGACTGAAAAATTTTTTTTGATTATACATATAAGTGCTATGCGCCACAAAATTGAATATATCAGTTTAGTGGTCAACGTAATGGACGTCAATGTCCCACTAGAAGAAAACCTGAAGAGCTGACATTCCAATCATTCTACGCTCTTGTATTTGTTCGTATTGTATTCCACAATCAAAAATATTCGCGTGTTAAACCGATATAGTCTCTGCCCTCTCAAATACAAGTCCATTGTCATGTCTGTTTGCCTGTGCAGCTTAAACTATATATTAAAATTTACAGTCTCTTAATTTGTGATTTACGATTTTAGCCTTAGATGATTTACTCATCAGCAAGTTTTGTTATGCATATATAGATAATATTATATTTTTAAGAAACTTGAAAGTACGCTAAGCATCTGAAATTGTTTTGTAAGGTCACAACGTATAGCGTATTTAATAATATAAATCAACAAAATCTAGATATAATATATAAATAATGATATTTATGTGTGCCAAAGCTCAGGTCTCTAGCATTTAAAATTTAATTAGTCCATATGTCTTCAAAAACGATTATGGTCATGTTTGTGATGATTGTGATAATTGTGACAATTTATGTTCCAGATATTATAAACAAATTCCTTTGGTTTGTTATGATTTAAACTAGTAGAACTATGAAAAAATCCTTTATTAGATATATTTTCATCAAAATTTGAAAACGGTACTCTAAATATACGCAGTGTGTTTAATAAATAATGGGACTATTAATTAAATCGTGGAACACGTAACGCCATCTATTGAACATTGATAACATTAAAAAAGTATAGGTCTCACCTTTCAAACTTCATGTAAATCGGTTGACAGGTTAAAAAGTAACGCTATTTTTAATAACATGTTCTGTGCTTTTGTCGTTTAAATACAATTTAACAAAGAGCAAATAATAAACTTTGTTTTAAACTTGGATAAACATTTGGTGAGTCGTACGAATTGCTGTAAAAAGTGTATGGTTATGATTGTTTAGGTCATTGAAAAGTTTATAAGTGGTATAAACGATTTAAAAACGTGAAGATTTTAATGATGATGAAAGACCTGGTTGTCGAGAAGGATGTAATCGTGCTGAATTAGTGAAAAATTTCCGAGTAATCATTGCTGTTGACGGAAATTGCACTGTTAGAATGTTGACTGAAGAATTAAATTCTTCTATCGGTACTATTTGGACAATTTTAACGCTTTGTTCCACATCAATTAAAAAAAGACCAAAAATCGCTTGTGGAGAGCATTGTAGACATAATTTAACAGCTGAAAACATTCCAAATTTTCCTTGTTCGATCATAACTGGTGATGAAACATGGTGCATTAAATATGACCCTGAAACTAAGCGTCAACCAGCAGAATGGTAGTCGAAAGCCGAACCTAAACCAAAAAAATTCGTTTTCAGAAATTGAGAATCAAGAAAATGTTGATCACGTTCTACGATTCCATGGTTATTATACACAAGCAATTTGTCTTAGCAGGTCAAACTGTAAATGGAGAATACTATTTATAAGTTTAACATCGTTCGTGGTCAATTGTTCGTGTTAGACCAAAAATTATGAAAAATTATTAAAAATTATCTCTGTCATTCACCGTATTCTCCTGATACATCACCAAGTGACTATTTTATGTTCCCTAAACTGAAAACTACAATGAAAGGAGAGTTTTACTATGATATTCGCGAGCCATTCAAGCAGCCGTAACACAGGTGCTAAAGAACATTCCTTTAGATGACATGAAAGTCTATATTTTAAATATGCCCTTATTTATTGAAAATACTATGTATATAGAATTTTAATTTGTATAAATATACCTAAACAAAAAGTATTTTTGTAAGTAATACGTATTCACCAGATTTTGTGCGGTACCAATAAAATATTAAGATATTGAAGACTTGAAAGATAATTTTGTCATTTTATGACGATAAAATAACAAAATATAATGATAGAATAAATATATAATTAAGATGATGATAATAAAGATGATGATTATGAAAAAGTAGGCAGAACATCGTAAAGTAGAATAGTCGGATTGTGGATATTAGCGCTCCAGAGACTTTAAAGCGTGGAGGTACATTAATCCTAAGTAGATAATGTTTAATTGTCTATTTAATATCAGACAGAGTTATAAAAAAGACACTTATAATATTATTGATGGTCTAAGCTATTTGCTGTTATCCAAATATATATGAAAACCTCAATACATGTTGTTAATACAGTTGTTAATTTCGTATGGACTATACTACAGGCCAAGTGCAGTTGTTGCCAAAACTGCACAGAACGTAAGGATTGTGCTTATTCTTGCCTGTATATATGTGTGCATGCATGCTATGCTCTTTGCAACGTTCAGAGTATTTTTTAGTCGGAATTTTTCTGACTTGAGATCTAACCAAATTAATTTTTCCGATGTATTTAATTCAGTAAATCTATACAATAGTTGAGTTTTTACGAACATTTCTACATAACGTGTTGATCTATATAAGACTCATCCATTAAGAAGGGTAATGAAGTTAGCAAAGCAAATTTATTAAATGCTCCATTAAAGGTTGATACTCCATTAAATGTGCTGGGCTTTTATATACAAAAGATGAAGTGTATGGTTTGATATAAATATTCTTGATCAGGACGATATGTAAATCTGTCCATTCAAGTATTTGTCTACAAAAGCTACTGACTTAAAAATTTAAATAGATACTCTTGTATCCTATACTCAGTATAAGCTTATTTTTTTCCTAATAACACAACCTATTGTCACTTTTGTCAATAAAAATCGACTTCGTTTTTTAAGCGTAACTGGAGGCTTCAGAATTGCCGTGCAGGTTCCTATAAAGAATACTTATTATAAATACTATATGAAAAACATACACATTAATGTAGTTACACACAATTATCACGCTCTGAAAAATTGATTAATAAAGGTAATTTGATACATAAATGGTGTGATAAAGAGAATTTAATTACATATAAGAACATTTATTAAACTATTAAGTTTCCATAGTAAAGTTACCCTACAGCGCAAACATAAACGGCTCTGAAAATTAAAATGAAAGTCAATTGTACCCCTCTAATATTAACTTTAACTACACCATAACTAAAAACCAACATCAGATGGGGTTATACGACTTTGTTCAAAAAAACTTAGTTTTTTGTGTTAAAACCAATTTCTTTAAAATAAAATTTCACGTATTCAACCCCAAAATTTTCATTTAATAATATATTTTTTTAATTTTAAAAGGATTATGTCCAGCAATATCACATGTCCAAAATGGGATCATTAGACCCTCATGTTTTCGCTCTTGCTGAAGCCGCCTATAGAAGCATCGTCGAAGAAAACATTAATCAGGTAAGCAGGGTTTATGTCATCAACTAATTTATACTTTTACTAAAAAAATTACTCTTAATACTTGCTGGTAGTCAATATTAATTGGAACATTGGATATATTTTATAATTATATATTTAGAGGTTTCTATATAAAGCAAGTTCCAAGCTTGTTAATCGTATTTTGGCATGCTAGCCTTAAAACTATTGAAGAGTCAGGTTTTCCGATTTGAAACTCTACAATCGTAAGTTACTATTAATTTCATACTATTTATATGAATGTGTTTTGGCAAGTATAACACATTATTTTAGGCTGTATTGACAATACTTGACAATACAATACTTACGATAATTTTGCTTATATTAAATTGATCATAGGTGATATAATAACTTTATATAAATAGAAATTGTTAAGGGGCAAACATTTTTTGAGACTAACCTCGGATATTCTAGTTGTGAATATAAATCATTCGTTTGTTTCAGAATATGGTAATATTTATTAACGTACCGTCTGACATAAGTAGCAGATATATATTACCATTGGAATAACTTGCGTCTGTGGTTCACTGAACTAGTTACACCACACATATTTAGCTTATTTATTTTAAACAAAAATTAAAATTTTGAAGATTTTTTGATACTTAGAGAATTTTAATGGTAATTGTATAAGAAATATTTATTACATAATATTTTTAGTCCTGTCTTATTTCTGGAGAATCTGGAGCTGGGAAAACAGAGTCAACAAAATTTGTTTTACAATATTTATGTGCTATAACATCTAATGTTTCAACTTGGATTCAGCAACAAATTTTAGAAGCGAATACCATATTGGAAGCCTTCGGTAAGCTAAATAAATTCTTTTAAACCTAATGAATAAAATTGGGACGACGCAAGCTTCTGTGTTTTACTCCTCAATTATTGTTAAGATTTGCTACATATTAACAAGTATTATATTAGTTGCCCACACCCGCTATTGGTGTTACTAACTGTAAAAACTCTGATATATTTTCAACAATTAAAGCTAGAGATAGCAGTTTTGAATATATACTCGTCATTGAAATCAGCATCAAAAATATATAGATTATATATATGTCTATAAAGGGCGAATCAATATATTCTAAAGTTGGAGAGTTGTAGACTTAAAATTTCGTTTATTGAATTACTTTTATACCTTTATCAATTCAAACCAAAATAAACTGACGTGGCATATCGAAAATATACTGTAATAAACACTAAAATTACACAGTTTCGTTACAATAGACCCCTTTTAAGAATTGTAAGAATTGTATAGCTAAGCTTAAAAAATGAAGTTAAATGATCGACTTTTATGGATAATAATGAAATGGAATTGTATCGAAAAAAATTAAAAATAGCACTGCGCGGCAACAAGGTTACTCTCTGCTAATACTGCTACTCCACTGTTAAAACGCTGCGTATCAAACTTAAACTAAATTGGCCAAACTGAATGGACTTTCAGCTGATGTACATATTCTTTTGAATAATTGTCAAAGTAGTTTAAATGCAAGTTTTCAGATATTGACTATATCTGGAACTGAACTGAGCTAAATATTTTGGTAAAATTAAGAGCCGGTATCCTAAATATAACATAAATCTAAATTGTAAACAAAAAACATGAAAAGCCCAATTTGGAGACTTTAGTTACAAGCTAATAACTAAAGTTTAATCGATATGGATTATTTGAAACAAATTTAATCTGTATGTGCTATCCTAATAAAGGATATTTATATATATATGTATTTTTATGGCGCTCGCCACGCATTCTTTTCCCTGTTACATAGATTTTAATAAAAACGTGCCTGTGTATGACGAGCGCTATATGTAAGCATATGAATATTTGCTTAAAAACACGTATTTGCGGTGGTCGCGGCGTTTAAGGTATCTCCTATTCGGGGCTGGCCGAAACTCTTTCTTTTTTATCTTACGACACCCGCACTGTATTTCAACGGATCGGACCTTCGGTTTCGACACTAAATATTCTTTATACATTTAAACTAATTATATATCAATATCTCCTATATATTTTAGACAAGAAACTTTTAATATACTTTTCTTATATAGTATTACAAAGTGATTATGCCTGGGATACTCCTACTATTCGCAAGGACTCGCAACCTACAACCACACCTGTATACAGGATTTTACAGGTACAAGTCTGCCTGCACCTCGGCTATACGACTCAGCTATGTTTCTCTTGTCTAGACTTAATTTTATAACACAATACAGTGCTCTCCTATGACTGGATGTCTGGATGACTAGACATTTGATTAGTCAGAAGACTGTACGTGCTCATACGTAAGAGTCCCTGGCCCAGCACTCTTAAGTGAACGTCGCCTGTCCCTGATTCGCAAAGCTACCAACGCTTACCAGCTGCGCCTCTCCAGCATCCATGTTGAAGTGCATCTGTCGTTGTACCTCGTCTTCGTATCCTTATGTCTTCGTCAATATCCTTTGCATCCTGATGACATTTCATCCCATTTTGTTCATCACTATTACTTGCGTTGATTTGTCACTTTCTATGCTAAGCTGCGCGCTCTTTTATAGCAAATATGCAGGTCTTGCTTCGCGCTGTAACGGGCCTGCGTGATGTGTTTGGTTGTATAGCTGGACCTATGCCGAAGTTACTGCAAATATCTTCTGGAAATACCGCCTGATCGCGGGACAGCCTTCAATTGGCCGAAGCATCGCCTGCTATTCGAGCAATAGCATCAGTACTTCGGCAAACTGTACATGTTGACCGTCGTATGCGCGACGTGAGGCATTTACTGAATCTGTTTGGATTCTGACTCTTTCCATACAAACGTTCATCAAAATAATGCTAATCCGAGTGTATGGACACAAAACTTTTTAAAATGTATAGACGGATATTTCCCAAAATTTATATTTTAAGTTAGAATAAATCAAAAAACTTCGTTAATTCGTAAAAATCCAATACATTTTGGTCCCCTCGTTAATTCGGAGTTTTTTTGCTTGCTCGGCGTTGATCTTGCCTCTCATAATTCGTAAGTAGAAAAGTCTTTACTTGTATGGCTTACAGAATATCGACAAAGGAATATCCCCATTTTAGGAGAGATTTTGAAAGAAAAAGCTTTGTTTTTTGCAAAAGCACTGAATATTAATGATTTTAAGGCCAGAAGTGGTTGGTTGGATCGTTTTAAAAACCGACACAACATTGCATTTAAAAAATTGTGCGGCGAATGCTCTGATTAAATAAAGAAATAAATATTGTTGGATCTGATAAAAGATTACGAAGCGAAGGACATTTTTAATGCAGATGAAACAGGGTTATTTTACAAATGTTTGCCAGAACTTATATATTGCTTTAGAAACGAAAAATGTCAGGTGGTAAGCACAGTAAGGAACGAATAACATTATTATTTGCTGTAAATATGGATGTCACCGAAAAACTTAAGCCGCTACTAATTGGAAAGTCTGCAAAACCAAGGTGCTTTAAAAACATTTGCACTTTTCCAATGGTTTATCGACCCAGTAAGAAGGCTTGGATGACAATAAATATATTTAACAAATGGCTTCAGATGTTAAATGACAGCATAGCAACTAAAAACCGATATATTATATATTATATTAAAAACCGATATATATATATAGATATTCTTATTTATGAATAATTGTACGACCCATAATGGATCGCCTACTCTTAGCCATTTACAAATTGAGTTTTTGTCAGCCAACACCACTTCCAAGCTACAGCCCCTGGACTTTATAAAAGGATATTATAAAAGATTTTAAATCATTTTACCGCAAGAAAATGGTTATTAATTTGCTAAACAGCATTGAAGGAAAAAAACCGTTTAAATGAACGCTATTGACAGCAATGCAAATTGCTTACAAAGCCTGGAAAAACGATAGAATAACTTGTATCCAGAACTCTCTTTTGACGACTATGTAAATTTTGACAACAACGTTGCTGTGTGTTACAGTACGTTAACTGACGACGATATTTTAGAGGAAATTGATGAAAGTGACAACGAAGCTTGTGGTGCAGATATTGATCCAATCTTAACTAACTTACTAGCCAAAACCGAAATTCAGCGACTAACACTTTTTTTTACCCTGATCCCATTGAAAATATATAATTCTTGATCAGGACGACAAGCCGAGTCGGTTGAACCCTGTCCGTCTTTTTGTCTGTCCGTTTGTCGGTCCGTATGTGTGAACGCGTCGATCTCAGCTTCTATAAGAGCTAGTGAATTGAATTATTCTTATAGAATAAAAACATGATTGAAATTCAGTTAATAAATTATGTCTCAGACGACTTAAGAGCTATGCTATTTTTATGTCTGTTGGGTTTTGGATATATGCTAGGCGTTTGCATCTCAACCAAGCCAATAGAATATGTAGATCAAATGCTGAAAATTTAATTAAAATCTATTAAGTAAAACAGAAGTTATTAAACAAAACGTTTGGCCAATTTGCAAAAGCACATGTCATCAGCGCCACGAGCACGCATTTTTCCTATGCATGTGCACACATTCTTTTCGATTCGAAGAATCGAAATTGCGATTGAATACGGCTTGAATTATTAGCTGCCACTCAACTTAAAATTTGCAACGCTTCTTGCAAGCGGTGCGGTGGCTGCGTTGGTAGAGGCGGCACTCGTAAGCAGTTAGTCCCTGTGTTCGAGTCCGATGGAGATTAAATATTTTTTATTGTTTTATTTTTTAATTTTGAAGTGGCGGTGTTGGAAGAGTTGGTGCGCGTTGCGTAAAAATAGTGGGTTCGAATCCTGGTGTCGTACTGTCGATTTTTATTTGTTTTTTTTTTTTTTTAAATTCTCGATACAAACTACGGAAAATATTAAAAAACTCAGATAGTTCTGGGATCAGGGTATCTCCTAGTTGGGCACCCCGACTAGAGCTTTCTTACTTGTTCTTAAGTCATAATTTTCCGAATAATGTATTTGATAATTTCATAAACTTGGAAAACGCAATAGACAAAATAAGTATGTAGAACATGTAATAAAAAAAAATTACAAGCTTTTTCGTTAATATGATTTTGTTTATTTTTAATTTGGTTTTTAAATACATAATATTGAAATGAATGTATATTTTATTTATTTTTAATAGGTTGAAATTGTTGAAATGACGTGAAATATAAAAACTCCTTCAATTCGTATTTTGATTTTTTAAACCCCATAAAAGGACCATGAAATATGTCCCTGGGTTTTTGCTTGTTTAAATTGTCAGCTGTTACTTTAATTTAGATTTTTAACTTAGGGTCCAAGCAGTGAACTGCTTGTGCTCGTAAAGGCGATTTGCCTAATGCTTGATGCCTAATGGCTTAATTAGATTAGATAATCATATAACTACTTAACTAGAATTAGATTGTCTTATTTTCATAATATTTTCCTGTTATTCAATGATATTTCATATTCCAAATTGTTACAAATAATTCAGCACTAACGGTTTCTATATGCGACATACACGATTTATATATATGTGTAATGTTGTGGTCGAGTGATATATGTGTGAAGATGGCCTTTAGCTTATTCAACACAATTTCGAAATCGCATTCATCAAACCATTAAAATCAATTAATCAGGCAGCAGTAGCAGGAACAATGCACAGACGCTGTGAGAGATATAATACAAAGCGCGCGTGGTGCGAGGATGAGCCGAGTATGTTCCTACCATTATGAGAAGATGATACTGTGGGCAGCTCTAGGTGGCATAAGACGTTTACAACGAGCAGCTCAACGAACCAAAAAACGCAAACAAAAATGTTTAGAATTTACAGTGCAGAAATTACAGTTAAAATGAAGAGCAAAGCCGAGCAGAACACAGATCGAAATTAAACTCTGGGATAATGGAAAGTAATGAAAACTTAGATTACGAGCTATATATTCACAATTTTTATTATTTCCAGAGAGACTCATATAGATGAAATTCAAGAAATACGAATTTAGCGAAAGGAATTCTGAATCGACCCTTTGTGTGATTCTTAATGAGTGCAGTATTAGGAATTATGATTAAATTTATAGCTATGATTCCAACATATAATTGCATTAAAATCAGATTACAAAAAGTTACACCTCAACATTGCCTTGTCCTTATGCCCATAGCTAGAGGTTAGTAGTATTTGAACTCCTCACATTGTCGAAGAAGAAGTTATTGAATAAAACTGTTGGCCAATTGACCAAAGCACGTGGCAAGCAGCGCCTTCTAAACATGTATATACACACTGAAATGCGTATATTCTTTTATATTTTTTTCGAAGAATGAAATGAATTGTCATTGAAAACTAAATTTTTTTCTAAAAATATTTAATGAAAATTTTTTTTTTTAGGTAATGCCAAAACTATTCGCAATGATAATAGCTCTCGGTTTGGAAAATTCATGCAGGTGTGCTTCAACGAAAAACACACCATTGGAGGTTGTGTAATACAAGATTATTTACTTGAACAATCACGGATAACATTTCAAGGTCCAGGAGAACGCAACTACCATGTTATGTATCAATTAGTAGCGCAAGGACAAACAAATAAGGATATGGGAGAAATGTTGTACTTAAGACCTCCAGAATTTTATAGATATTTAAATACTTCTGAGGACATTTTGATGGACCTTAGCTTAGAATCAAGGAAATTTAATGAACTGACGATGGCACTTACAGTATTGCAAATTCCACAGTCAGATATAGATTGTATTTTTAGAGTTTTAAGCTCTATATTATGGTTAGGTAATATCGAATTTGTGGATATAGACGGAGAGCGATGTGACTTTTCGGAATCTGATAAAGATATTATAGTCATATTATCCAAAATGCTGGGTCTCACCGAAGATGAGCTTAATATGGTTCTTTTACTACGCCAAATAAACGTACGAGGGAACATAACTGAAATACCACTAAAACTACATGAGGTAAGTGAAAATAAAATATAAATAATAATTAGATCATTTACTCTTATATTATCGATGCAACCTTTAAAATAGGCGATCACATAAAGGACTGCATGGACAAATATTTTGTTTTTATCGAGAGCTCGAATGATATTCTTAAAATTTAAAGCCCGTATTAAATTTGCAATACTGTTTAAAATTCTTAGATTTGAATAGTTTTATGTAACGATTGGCAATACTGTAATGATAAATGTAGAAATCTATGAAGAAATATTTTTTTCGAAGGGATGTTTAAAAAGTTTTCGAAGAGAGGTGAAATGCAAATCCCACATTCCCAAAGTAAGCAACTAGGCACAAAACGTTTGGCATATTTGTAAAAGAACGTGTTACGCAGCTCCAAGCGTACATATTTTTCCTATACATATGTGCATAGATTCTATATGTGTATCATCTGAGTAATAAATTCGGATAGAGAGTCCTAGGAGAGATTTCTGGGTTCGATACCAGTTAAAGCAAAAAAATTTAAAACGTGTTTATTTATAGTTAATTAAGATCAAAAACAAATCCATTTAGCCCTATACCTCTGTGTAGCTGGAGAATTTCATTTTCAATAATGCTTCAATAAAATATATAGATCATATGCTGAAAAATTCATCGAAGCACATAAAGTAAGCAGCATCAAGCTAACGAATTTTTCTTATATTCTATATTCTTTTCTATTCGAAGAACCGAAATCGCATTTTAATTGTATATATTTTTGCTGTTCACTCGCAAAACTTGCGAGTTCAACTTCTGTAGTGAGTTATGCGCCGCACTTTTTATATATAAAACTGGTTTTGTTCAAATCTATGTGGCAGAAGTATATATATTCTTGATCAGGACGACAAGCCGAGTCGGTTGAGCCCGGTCCGTACGTCTGTCCGTTCGTCTGTCCGTATGTGTGAACTCGTCGTTCTCGGAGTTTGTTTCATATATTCGATAACTATTTCCGTTTATCTGAAGCTTCCGGACTGCTCCCTCGAAGATGAATCATGAAGATTTTGTGCCCAATAGAATTCGTTATGAATTGCTTACTTTTTATTTAAGAAATTTTTATTTAGAGTAGTTACTGGAAGGTCACAGAATGGAAAATTTGAAGTGACGGTTGAAAGTCTAAATCTTTTAAGAACGCTACCGCTACTTCTCATGCTATATTCGGTAAAATTATTGTAGATTGAAATTACAATTGACCATCTCAGTTTAACGTTCGACCCGTGAAGTAAGAAACCCGAGTGAAGTGTTAGAAAAACTGCACAAACTTGAGCTGTTAAAATAATTAGTTATAAATCTTCCATAAAATTATTGAAATGTAAGTGGTTGAACGAATCTTTTTCCAATTATAAAACCGATTTTTGTTTTAAATATATTTAATTTATAATTACAATGACAATTACAATTAAAACTACAATTACTAATAAATAATTATTGAATCGAAAACTATGCACAAAAAGAATTTTGTGAAGCATGAGAAAATTACTTAAGTTCTGTGCAGTAATCTATAAGATTTGAAGAATTAATATGATATGCTTTATACTCTCATTGGCGTCATTTTAAGAGCTACAACTCAAATATCGGCATACATGAATATATACTCGTCTGGGGTGAAGTGTTATGAATTTTCTGATGCGCTTAATAGGCGCTGTGCAAATAGGGGAATACTAAATTGGTTATGTTAGCTATTAGTTTAAGTGTTAGAGAGTTTTTAACATATACTCGGGGGCGTGGTATGAAATAAAAGTACCCTATAACTTCCACATTTCTGGAATCTAATCCTCAAAATTTCACAAGTGAATGGCTGTTTTGATCTACCAAAATTAATATTTATATATGCTTAAAACATATCTTTCTGGCAGCGCTTAGACTGTGAAAGACTAGTATTCAGTCGGTAGTGCCCGATTGCAATGTTCTTGTAATCTTACTTGTTTATCTTTTGTTTCACTAAAAAACTCATGAATAAGAAATATAATTGACTAAAAAATTATTTTTTAACTTTCAAACTAAATATAACTTAAATAAATAAACTTAAAATAACTTTTCTTTTTATTTAAGGCAAAAGAAAATAGACATGCTATGGCTAGAGCCCTATATTCCAAGACTTTTACTTGGCTTGTAAATAAAATAAACATCTGCACAAGTCCTGGAAAAGATTTCAAGCAATTTTTAGGTGTTCTTGATATTTTCGGGTTTGAAAATTTTACGAAGAACTCGTTTGAACAACTTTGTATTAACTATACTAATGAGAAATTGCATAAATTCTTTAATCATTACGTCTTTGCATTGGAACTAGAAATTGTAAGTATACAACGGAATTACTATTTTTTATATTATTTAAAAAATTGTTGAAGTCCTCTAAGTGGCAAATTGACAATAAACTATATCTTCCAGAGTTTTGGAGTTCAAGTTCCAAATCTATTTGACAGTAAATTTAATACGGAATCCCTATTAAGACTTACGCAAAAGATTTTAATTGGCTTAGGACCGTGAACGAGTATTATGCAGTCGGTGGCATCCGACTATAAGCTTTTTACTCCAAAATATCGGTAATCGATCATTCAGCAAAAACATTATTAATGTCAAAAATATTTCTTAAGTTATTGCACTATACACATACACAAACAAATAAAAAATTTTGTTGTGTGTTTTACTTAGAGTTTTATTTCGTAATTCTTTCAAAATTAATTTGCTTTAAAACAAAAATGGTGTTTGCAACCCAAAAGCGTTTTATAAATTAATACCAAATAATTGAATTAGATTGCAGGACAAAGCCATATCATTTGGTCTTAAGATTTAAACAAAATTTTTAACGAATTTTCATCAATGTGATGTGTATATAGTTCATAATGATATCTCCGTAGTGATGTCTTACTTTTCTTTAGGATGGTGAATCGAATAAATTCAATTAAAGGAGAGGTATTGGAGAATTATTATTAGATTATTACTTTCTGATTTATTGATAGACAAAGTTTAATAAAAAAGGTATTTGCAACCCTAAGCCATTTATAAATGAATACCCAATAATTGAACTAGCTTGCAGTACAAAGCCACTTCTTTTGGTCTTAAGATTAAAAAAAAAAATTTTGCAAACTTTCATCAATGTGATGTCTCCGTAATGATGTCTTATTTTTCTTTAGGACGTCGAAACGAATGCAAATTTAATTAAAGGAGAGGTATTGAAAAGTTATTATTATAATATTATTTTTTGATTTATTGATAGAAAAGGTTAAGTCTAAAATGGATTACATATTTGCGACATGCTTGGCGAAAATTTTTGGACAGACATAATTTAACTTATAAGTAGGGAGCACAGCAGAATATTGCATTTGTTTGCTTACGTGTATGAGTGCTTACGCAATATGTTCAATCAATAAGGGGAATTTTAAGATATAGAATATAACACGTATCGTACTATGTTTAAAAGTTAATTTTTATTCGAAATAGTCTCCGTTTAACTCAATACATCATTTAGAACAATCAACTAATTTATGTACAGACTCTTTCATGGCATCTAAAAGAATATTCTTTAACAACTGTGTCACGGCTGCTTGAATGGCTCGAACATTATCATCACACCTTTTATTGCAGTTTTCAGTTTAGGGAATAGAAAATAGTCACATTGCGATAGATCTGAAGAATTGTAGAATCTGTTTTTTATCAAAAATTCCACAAATCGTTCGGTTTTGTAAAGTGGTACATCATTATCAGGCACCAAAAACAGCTGTTTCCCCTCTGGATAATATCCAGGTCTAACACGAACAATTCTTATCACAAACGATGTAAAACTTGTAAATAATATTCTCCATTAACAGTTTGCCCTTCTACAACAAATTCCTTGCGTACAATACCCTTAGAATCGTAAAACGTAATGAACATTGTTATGATTTTAGACTTCTAAAAACGAAATTTTTTGTGGTTTCTTCTCACGACCACTTCCACGATTTAAATAAAAACGTCCCCTTATTTATTGAACACACTGTGTCAAATAGACTATCAAAAGATAAGTAGCTTAGGAGAAAAGATAAATAGCTAAGACTTTTTCTATAGAGTTTGTTAAATAGATATAGATAAGATCGGCAAATGCTATATCTGGTATCTTAGATATTAGTTAGTGTGCTAAAGAATTAGCAACATATACTTGCGTTGGTAACTCAAAATTAAAAATATGTGGTGGTTGTATCTATGCCTTTTGGGGATGAGTTAAACCGGGTAAAACTATGGCTTCTATAGTTTTAGAGCTAAAACCCTAATTGTCATTTCCAACGTTTTGGAGCCTTAGCCTCATCGACAGTTACATTGTTACCTCCTAATTATTCGCCAAAAATTATATATCCACGTCCACTAGGAGATCAGAAAATCAAAATATCAGAAAATAAAAACTGTATTTTCCAAAGTTGTAGTGCTGACTGCGTGCACTAGTATTATTTAGTCGGTAGCACTGTAACATTCTTACTTGTTATGTCTATAATTCTTTAAATATTTGCATAATAAATATTTAATAATATCCAGCTAAAATCTTCATCTCATTTCTAGTATAAGCAAGAAGATATAAATTATACTCACGTCGAGTTTACAGACAATTCATTATGCTTGGAGCTTATAGAAAAACCTCCACGATGTATATTTAAACTTCTGACTGAACAATGTCATATGCCAAAGGGATCTGATTCAGCCTATTTAAATAATCTGCATACGGAATTCGAATACAATCCTATGTACATAAAGGGTTTAGATCGTCGGCATTGGGAAACAGAGTTTGGTATTAGACACTACGCCGGAAAAGTAATTTATTCAGTGGAAGGATTTGTTGATAAAAATCGAGATATGCAACAAGATGTGCTGTTTGATTATATGAGCCGCACTGACCATAAATTTCTTTGCGAACTTTCTAAAAACCAGGTAAGTTAAATATATTCAAAAAATTAATCACATAAATCATGTTAAAAGCTTTAGTGGGAATGTCTCACTACATAGCTTTTATTTATTCATACACAAAACACATTCTGTTATACATGTAAACACAATGTAATGTACGAACTTTCGATTTATTCCAAGTTTAAAACAGACTGAATTAAAACCGGAAGCACCTGCGATAGTCAAGAATTTCTTAGTGTTTCGATATTTGAGCTGGTTATATTTTATATTTTGTTGTTGGTTGCAGCTATTGATTTACTGAGCACATGCTGGTTACTTAGCTCTCGTTGACTTTCGGTATTTTCAAGTTACTTTCATGTTTCATTACATTTGACTCCCGTGTTGAGTTGACGGTGCATTTTACAGACCCTGCTTCGCGCTAAACGGGAACTGTTTGATTTGATGAACTCCTGTTCGGATTCTTTTCAGTTGGGAGTTCGTTTTAAATAACCCATAACTATTAGTGTTATTGTAACATATTAAAATCGTTAGTCAAATCCAGGTTTTAAATTTTATTTTGAACAATACGGATCTAAATGTGCTAAAAAAGATCAACACGTACATTATAAGTCTATTGATCAAAAATATATAAACTTTGGCAATTATACGTATACCAATGTCATGATATCACGCTTTTCCTTGAATACCTGTCACAAGTTGAAGTGCTTTCGCCCTCCGTGCTTCGGGGCTAGACATCCTCGATTGGGCACTCTGCATCGTACATGGCTATGAACCGCGTTCTATTTGGAATTTGTTGCTGCCGAAACTAATCAGGTTAATCGTTTTCCAGATTCTCGAGCACGTCTGCCAGCAGCATCACCATCGTTAAGCTGCAAAATTGATATAGGCGGACATATGCGTGAAGATCGGTGAAGCTTTTGTTGTAGATGTACTTCAGTTCACACTCTGCAGTGCTCACATGATGAGTGACTTCGGCCTTTAAGTTTTCAAAGTAATATTTTGACAGAAAATACTCTACCCTCACAAACGTTGACCACTGTGCCGCAACGTCTTAAAGCATCTCCGACATCGCTTTCAGTTTCAAGCCATACGTCTCTGCTGACCACTCCACATGCTCCTCATGCTGCTCTGTCGTGCCATCTAAGGGAAACCTCCATTTTCCCAATGTTTAGCAATTTCGGAGTACTCTGGAGTCGAACAGCATGGTTGTGCTTTTATTTTCTGGTTTCCGGGTGGCTCCTCATTATCTTCTTCGTGTGCCTGCAGGCAACACAGGTGGGAGGTATACTGAACCCCGCAAAGTTCATAATGCTTTTTTCGTCCTCCGTGTCTTCTTCCAACAGTATAGATATTGGCGATTTCAGCTACCGTTGCAAACAATATATATGTATAGCACTCGGAACCTGTTTGTATTTATACAGGCATATGTGTACATCTCAATTGATCGCCTAGATTCTAACCTGTGTTTAAAAGTTATGTAATATATATTAGCTTTGGTATTTATGTAATAAACTCGACTAGAGAATTTTTTTCCATTTGCAAATCTAATGCCATGATTCATAAAAAATCAGTAATACTTGAACTGGCATGCACATCTCAATTTTGATTAATTTTGATGATGATTTCAAATTAATATTGATGATTAATCTAATGTATTTCAAAATGATTTTGAGTGCTTCAATAATAATTCTAATGTTATTATTGAGCTTAAATTTATACATTATATATGAAAGTAGAAATACAAAATGTAAATTTTTTTTTTGATTCTCAATATAAGCTTATTAGTGTTGAGCTTCTCTTTAAGTAGCATGAGATTTCACAAAGCTTTTTATATATTAAGCTTATCAACTAATTTATTAATATTGATATTGATTATCTTCATACTTTACAACAATAATTATATTTTTTTATATAAAGGATCAAGCGTGCTCTAATTTAATACAAAATGTATCAGCCAGTCAACGTGGTACAAGTAAATCAAAATCAACAGTCAGTGATCAATTTCGTCAACAATTGCAATCTTTAATTGATGTACTCCAGAATACAAAACTTTGGTAAGTTTATGGCAGGCCCCCTAAAGTATATATATTATTGATCAGGACGACAAGCCGAGTCGATTGAGCCCTGTCCGTCCGTCTGTCTGTCCGTATATATGAACGCGTCGATCTCAGCATCTATAAGAGCTAGAGACTTGAAATTTCTTTTGTAGTTGCTTGTATAGCACATGCATCAAGTTTTTAAATATTCGATAACTATTCCCGTTTTATTGTTATCGAATAAAAACATGATCGAAATGCAGTTAATAAATTATTTCGCGTACGTCTTAAGAGCTAGAGCCTCCAAATTTTGTATTTAGTTTTATGTATATTTTATGCAATTTTGATTTTTGTTGGATATCCAAATTTTCCCAAATTCTGTAAATTGAAGTTCAGTTGGAAATAGAGCAATTCAGGGTCAAGCTATTGAAAATATTAAACGCAGATAGGACTGGTATCTGGACATCTACTAGACTAGAGCTCTCTTATTTGGTAAATATGCATTTAATTTTTAAAATATGAAGTGGTTTACTTGTTAACAATAATATCATATTGTTATTGTGCAATGTGCGCGCACTGCCTCTACCAACACCGCCAACTTTAAGAGCAGGGTATGGGGACACACAAACATGGCTAGATCGCTACAGTTTGTCGTTATGTTCAAGAATATATACTCTATATATGGCCTGCCTTGATTCGATTATCACAAAAACATTGAACCCTGAATTATCATTTCCAACGTTTTATAGGATTTGGGCAGATGGAATGACTGTGCTAAATCGAATAATTTTATGTCCTTATTAGAAAAATATATTTATATAAATTTTAACATATCCTTTATGCGCTGATTTACCACTTTCAAAGGGTTCAGGGTATAAAGACTATGTAAAAATTGTCGAAGAATTATGTAGTGTTACAAATAAACCATTATTATTAAAGCGTTAAATACTTGAACCGTATCTTTGCAGGTATATTCGATGTATAAAACCAAATTCTCTTAAGCAAGCCAATATTTACAATGAATCCTTAGTACTTGATCAATTGCGGTATCTTGGAATTTTAGATATAATTCGAATAAGACGGGAAGGCTTTCCTATTCATCTGACTTTCTCCGAATTTATTACAAAATATAAATGTTTAATAAGAAATAAAACATATTCTAATAGCCGTAATGACATACTTCTTGTATTAAGGGAACTTCAAGTCCCTGAAACTGAATGGCAAATTGGTAAAACGAAAATATTTTTAAGAAGTTCTGCAAATGACCCATTAGAGAATGAAAGAAAAAGTATAAGATGTGCCAACTCAATAATTATACAGAAAAACTGGAGACGTCATTGGAACAACAAGTACTATAAGAATGTAAAGAAATCCATACTTATTATACAGCACGCATATAGGGGTTGGAAATTGCGTATTAAATTTTTAAGAATACGGCGAAGTGTAATAATAATACAAAGTCGGCTACGTGGTGTATTTGCAAGAGAGGTAAGTAACATTTTTGAGGGATTCACTAAATGTATAAATATAGAATATATACGTAAAAGGGTAACAATCGAATATATAAATTAAATTATCTGTAATTTTATTGTGTTTCTGGGACATCACTTCGATTTTTTTGTTATCATCATCATTTATTCGTGTTTGCTATTTAAATTGTCACCATCGTCTGATAACATTTTAACTTTTTTATATATGTAAATTTTTTCACAAATGGCATATTTATATATTTTACTTGCGAAAAAATCTAACAATTAAAAACTACTAGTTAAATGGAAATATATGTATAATATGTAAATATAATTTTTGTTGTAGGTGGCAACTGCATTACGTGAAATGCGCCGTGTTGACGAAGAAATGAAAAAGCGCGAAAGAATCACATATGAAAGTCCAACAAATGATTTTAAAGCTATTGAAGATTGTGAGAGGTAATTAAATCTATAAATAACAATTTCCGTCTTAAAACTATTCATGTACCAATTTTGTTATTGTTTAATACTAGCACATTATATTTTCATGCCATAATATAACTATTTTCGCACGAAATACTTATACTTATTTAGATAGAGATATTTTAGTATTCTAAAAGTTTCAATTTCCATTTCATTACAGATTAGTGCAAACGGAAATTAAAGTGCTAGCTAATATGGCAGAGCACATAAGTAACAGTATAAGCAAATCAATAATTGAAAATACTGTTTCTGTAAATAACTCCACTGATAATCCACATGTCCAAAACTTAGATACGGTTGATTTGGATAATTTGTTCGCATTTTTGACTGAATCAACTACTTCACCATCTAATCCACTAATTGAAGAAATAAATGATACTATGAATAGCTTAGTACAGGATCTTGATGGCGAAGTAAGTAATTGTAATGAACACAATAACTTAATATTGTATTGTTTTAGTATTAAGGGAATAATTATTTTCACCTTGTACATCCAAGCCCTTTACCGCAATAACAAATATATTTTTTGATCGGCTAACGTAAGTAATGTTAAGCCATTAAATTCTATCGTTACTTAACCGCTTTTTAAGTTGTTTGTGAATGTTTAAACGAAAAATTTGTTTGTGACTTATAATAGTCTTAGAGAAACAGAAAATTATTATCAATTTTCGTTCGCCTGATCAAGGACTTAGTTTTGATTGAAACAAAATCATTGACGCCTATTTTTGTTATTAAAAAATACTATTAAAATATTATATATTATATATATATATATATATATATATATATATATACACAAGTCTTTAGTATTCAATATAGGTTTTTTATATCCTGATCACATTGAAAATGGGAAATTAGGAAGGAAGTGTGGCAGACCCCATAGGTATATATATTCTTCATCAGGAAGACAAGCCGAGTCGATTGAGCCCTGTCCGTCCGTCTGTCTGCATATGTGAACGCGTCGATCTCAGCATCTATTAGAGCTAGCGATTATGTCCGTATATAGCACGCGTATATGAAGTTTGTTTCAAATATTCGATAACTAAATAAAACATGATCGGAATTCATGTAATAAATTATATAATATATATATTAAGGGAAGGGCTTTTCATTTCTACCAAACCAATAAAATATGTAGATCATATACTGTAATTATTAAAATCCATCAAGTACAACAGAAGTTATTAAACAAAATGTTTGCCCAATTTGCAAAAGCATGTGTCAAGCTGCGCCAAAACGCACGTATTTTTCTTATACATGTGCACACAAACATTCAAATGCGTGTAATTTTTTCTATTTAAAGAATAGAAATTTCAACTGAATTGTGCTTGATTTAGCAGCTGCTACTTAAGTGCAAATTTTCAACTTCTTGTGTAAGCAGTGTAGTGACGGTATTGATAAATGCGACGCTCGTAAGCAATAATCTTTGGGTTCGAACCTCGCGCCGAAGGGACATCTTTTAATGTTTCTTATTTCATAATTATGAAGTGGCGGTGATGCTAGTATTGATGCACATTTCGTAAATAATGTGGGCTCGAATCTTTGTGTCGTAATGTCGACTTTTATTTGTATTCTTCTTTAATACTTCATGCAAATTACGGAAAATATTAAAAAACGCAGATAGGACTGGGATCAGGGTATTTCCTAGTCGGGCATCCCGACTAGAGCTTTCTTACTTGCTTAGTAAGGGGAGAGATATGACAAATTCAAAATATATATAATATATTCCTGTTACCTGCCCATTTGACAATTCTCAGTAATCCTAATGAGAACTGAAGAAATTTAATTATGTTATTAATTCAGTAAAAGTGGGTTGGGTACCCTTCGGCTGTTATTGCCGACAATCAATTTCCTATTTTTTTCCTTCTATTACTTATTAATTAAAATATGTACTTTTAGATTGAAACTTGTGTACAAAAGGATCCACTAAATTGCATAGATGATCAAAAGAGGAATAATGCATTACCGATTTCAACACTTCCCGAACCTCTGATGGCTCCACCTCCGCTTCCAGTAAACAATACCCTCGGAATAGAAACTAACCATGTGAAACCGGAACCTATATATGAATCATTAACACATTCAAATGAATCAAAAAATACTGCAGATATAAATACTCAATTACCCTTATGCATACGAGGAAAAGAAAACGGAACAACAATGATAACATCAATAACATCAATAGACAACGAACGTGAACAAAGAAGAAAGTTTAGAGTTGAAAAAAAATTACAAGAAATGCATCAAAATGAAATTCAAAATGAAGTCTGCAACAATGACTCACGCTATAATATTTTGAATTTTGCTGAACATTTTTTTAATGCACATGAGCGGTTGATAGATGGAACATTAATATCAACAATAACAAGAAAAGGCAAGAAGGCTGTGGACGTAACGCCCAAACATGAAATGATTACATTTACTAGAACTGATAAAATTCCAACGTCACATATACACATGTATGATCCAGAAAATATTTCACTGTCTTGTAATATATTTCGGGTAAGTACACACAAAGGTAAATACTTTGCAGTAGACCGCGATGGACCCAAAACTGTTACATGTATCTAAAATGCAACAATACATTTCAGATACACCATAAAGAAAATTTTTTAATTTTAAATGCCACATTTGCGAAGATTGAATCAAGAGCTTTTTATACACTGATCCCATTGAAAATGGGAAATCAGGAGTTGGTGCGCGTTGCGTAAAAATAGTGGGTTCGAATCCTGGTGTCGTACTTACGATTTTTATATGTTTTTTTTTTTTTTGAATACTCGATACAAACTACGGAAAATATTAAAAAACTCAAAGAGGACTGGGATCAGGGTATCTCCTAGACGGGTATTCAGACTAGAGCTTTCTTACTTGTTTTTTAACTGGTATAATTACAAATTTAAAATTTGAATTTAATATGGTAGTTCAGCGGTCGCCACTGCTGGCTCTTCGTTGTTGACGTAGAAGGTATGAGCGGCAGCGAAGGTTAGTGAATTCTCCTTTTGATAGACAAGTATTTCACACGTCCAGAAACGCAGAGATCAATAAATGGCGATAGAGAGAGAATTGTGCTTGACGAACGTATTGTCCTTATTCCAAGCAAATCGTTTGAAGTTTAGTTGGATTATCTCTGGCAATGTTAAAAACATTAGTAAAAATTAACAACAACAACAACACCGATGACCACAATATTTTTGAGGGCAAGCGGTGCGAATAACTCGTTGAATACACTCCAACTTAAGACAGCAATGGACGATTTATTGTAAAAATCCTTTTCAGTGATCAACAAACTTTGAAAATCTTGAAACCTGGAAGGAGTCAAGTAAAAGTGTACTAGATCGAAGCTTAGTTCATCAGTTCTATGGATAATTTACCATCTTGTAAGGCAAAATATATATATTCAACTTACACATATTCTTAACTTGACGACACTTAACTTATTGTGTCGTCGCCGAGAAAAATTTAATACGGGAAATCTTCGCAGAACTTGGGAAATGGCTGTACAATTCTTCTAAACATAATTTGAATCGAATAATAGGTGTCAGCCATTTTAGCCACTTTAGAATGTGAATTTAGGCATCATGAGATGAGACTGAGTAGTCAGAAGTTTTAAATCCAGTTTATTTTCTGATCGGAAAGCCATTACTGTTTATCGATAGAGAGAAAACCATGCCTACAATGACATCAATAACTTTTAAGGGAAGTTAATGCTTAATGTACAAAATTCAGATTTCAAGAGGTAGTGAAAGCTCAAGCGTGCATTCAACCCGAGCTCTATTCAGGAGATAGCGCCGAAAGCAGCATCAGTTTTTCACAAAATTGGAAAAATGGAATTAGTAGTTTCCACATGGCAGTTGTTGTTCTCATTGGATAATTGGCTTATTTTGATGTACTAAAACTGGTCAGGAAAAACAAGACCTATTTGCTTTGACCCGTATGAACTTTATTAACTTTTCAAAGGAATCTTAACACTCAATGAAAAATGTTCTGAAAGAATCAGAACCTTAGAGTAGCCGAGTTATTTTTGAAACTAAAGTACACACTTCATTCATGAAGACAATCACATTGGCTATCGTTAATTCACTTTATTTTAGTCTTTGATAGTAAATCACGCAAAGGAACTGGTATACTGCCCTGAATACGCATAATTAATTGCGTGCTCATACTTGTGTTAATTCTCAGAGATGCTGCCATCTGCCTAATCCGGCTATTTTATACTAGTTTATGCTAGTAAGCAAATATAGTGAACACTTTTATAAGAAAGGAAGGAAAATGTTCAAATATAAATCGTTCTCTTTATTTACAATGACGCCGTCAAGGGAACTGCCGTTGAGTATTGGGAAATAAAAAATACTTTTGTCCTGTGCTCAAACTATACGGTGTTGGAAATCATGGCAGTCGAGATAAATTTTATTAAGGAACATGTGTGCCGTTATACACATTCCCGAAGTGAAAGAGTATATATATTAAGAGTATATTGGTCTAGTGCAATGCTAAACTATATCGACTTTAGCTAGACTCATGATAAAATATTAAAATGATCCAAATTGAAAATATGAAATCAGATATTAATTTAATAGCTAAAGATTTGAAATTTGGAACATATCCTCGCTTTGAAATATATTGTGTATATATCTACGCAAATTGTGCTCGTAAGTACATCCCTCATCTATAAGAATATCGATATTTCTACGCTCATAGGAGACGTAGCAAACTTCAATTTTGAAGCTAATGTTAATCACGATCAGAGTACGTAGCAGATGTGCAAATTGGGAGACTGCGACAGATGTATGCATGTGATCTGAGATTACCAGATTTCTAGTTATCTACTTACCAAATTTCAATTAAAACGACGGAAGTTGACATATCTTCACACATTGAATTTTAAAGTTATTTCCAACATTGCTGATTGCTTCATCTTGCAAACAGTGATTCAGAAATTGGAAGTGGGCGTGGGTGTATTAGAATCAGCTATCAATAAACACATCATTCCTTTTCAATTGGCCTCCAGAACTTGAAATACCATGAGAGAGAAAGATAAGAAAGTTTCAAAATTTAATTTGGTATTAGACTGTAAGTAGTAGATGGGGCAATAGTAAATGACGACAATAGTTCAGAAATTATTGCCAAAAAGCGATCTTTTCTCCAATTACGACTTTTAAAATTTACATTGAATAGCTGCATGTAGTGTGATAATTAATAAACATACTTAATAACGTAATCGAAAAATTCCATAGGAGTTAAAATGCACTGTATGAATGAGAAGGCTTAGTCTGCGGCCACCTACAAAGCAGTAATTATAAGTTATTCTCCTTTGCAAACAAACAGCGTACAAATCGTCTTCGAAGAAGTTACGCGTTAAAGATAAAGCAAATTCCTAAGAAATTCCAAGCAGAATAAACTACAGGAAGTTGCTGTAGAAACTCAAAACAAAGAATATCAGGAAGGAATTACCGGCTCCACATATAAATTTCGGAGGACACTATCAAATCTCAATGCGTAATTTCATATTCTGTTAGTCATCCTGGACTAGGCCACTGGATTCAGTAGGCAGGCCGAATTCACAACTCTTACCTTTGAGTTCTTTAAGAAACTAAGAAATTGTGAAACTAAAATTAAACTAATTAAAATTAGTTTCTCATTTTTGGATAAGCTCAAAATCATTGTGTGGAATGCCAAGCGTTTTCACAAATTGACATGCGAATGGTCTTTGAAAAATATCACTTATATTAAACTGTGCAACTTTATTTGGAGTAGTAACGATGACAGATAAAAAAGATTAAGATTTTATTAATTATTAATTTTAAGATTTTTTAAGATAACTTAATCTCCATTCGATGAAAGAATTGAAAGAATTAGACAGATTTTGACAGATGGCACAAGGAGATCTATTTTCTTATGCTATTTTCAAAAGCCTCTTTTTCAAATCTTATTATAAACAAACTTTTTCAGATAGATGTCGACATACTAATGGAACTTACAGAACTTACAAAGGTGGCTTCAGTTGCTTTAGAGCTTAACTGTTTTTACTTAATGTATCCCCCTCTTCTACTATTCTTTCTAGTAACTTCAGACAACCATCAATCGATGATATATTTTTCATAAATCGCCCGCAATAACTAAAAAACACTTAGTACTAGAGTAGATTCAGATTTAAGTTAGAGTCTTCCCTCTACTGAACATTTTTTCTGCAGTCACCCATTTCTTTAATGAATCGCTTCCCTATATATAACTCAATTCCGTTCGCCAGATGATATTGATATAATTAATATATTCTGTGTGGTGTTTGTGGTGAAGCCGAATTTTTAGTATTATTAAAAAGCAAATGAAGTAATATATACACGTGGGAAAATAAGCTAAGGTTCTCTTCCAATTTGGAAATTTCCAAAATTATCTGAAAGAAACATAGGTATATTGCTACATTTGGAAACAACAATATTATTTAACAGACGAAGAAAAGGCTGAGTCACTAGCTCAATCATATTTCCACTAGAGCTATAACTAAGCAAGACTCGGTGATCCAACAACTAAAACTTAAATAAGACGTATCAAATGGGCATTAAAATAACTGCTAAAAATGCAAAAAATTAATAAGTTTTCTGGGATAGGCGAAATTGACTATCTTTGCTTAAAAGATGTCCCTCTGAAAGGAGTATCATTTTTGACTTGTTTAGTTACTGCCTGCAATTGGAAATTTACTAAAGTTGATCCGATTGCGAAACGAAATAATCCTGTTCAGTTATCCGTATATACGCCTATTACCCCACTACTTACATACTACAGACTACAGACAGCAAAATCTGGGGGAAAGTAATTAAAGGAAAACTAACGCAATTTATTGACGAAAACAATTTCTTTCCATGCCAACACTTTGGTTTTTCTAGAGAACAGAATACATTGTCAACCCGTGGATTCTAATCAACTGAACAGGTACTGTTAAGGATGTCAATGATATAATCAAAATTTCTAAAAAGAATTCAATATTTCTTAGGGCTCATATAAATATCACATAGAAAAAGTTTAATATGCGACAATTAATATCCCGGCAAGGTGCCGCAAGGCCTATATTGTATAATATATACATATACATATATATAATATATACTTCCGACAATTTGTGAATATCACAACAATCACTTGCTCTGCTATATTGAGAAACTTACAAGAAGAATATGATTGTGTAGACTCATATTCAAAACGGAAATTTTTAATATGCACAGAAAAGGCATATGTACGTTTTTTTATTCACCAGCCGGCATCATTTTAGACAAGAGACTTACATTTAAGGACCATATAAATTACACAAATAGATAAGTAAAATATATGGCTTGCTTTTTACCCATTTGTATAATAATATAAATAAGAAAAATAAGGCTAACTTTAAGGGTATATTTGAAGCATCGGAATGGCCGGATATTGTCATAATTAGTAACAGGTCATTCAAAACAAAGTCATCGGCATTACTGTACGATTGAGTTACATTGTAGAGCCGAGATTGAAATGGTAGATGCAAGACTATCGCGTCTACCATGAAATTACGTATTAAAATGGATAGAATCAATATATCTAAATATAAGTTTCATCCTCATCTGGCCCATCCTATTCCCTGTCGATCTCAGCACTCTTTAGAGCTAGACTTGAAATATAGTATAGTACGCCCATATCAAGTTTCTTTTAAATAATCCTGTTTTATTGTAATCAATTAAAAACATAATCGAGAGCTCGAGTCTCCAATTTGTGTATTTAATTTCTTTCCTATTTAATACAATTTGATTTTTGATATATTTTCGAAGAGTACGAATTTTTAGTAAACTGACAAATATTCTTAGAGAATATGTAGTTGTTTTGAAAATTGCATTAAAATCCGTTAAGTAAGGCATAAGCTATTAATTATTATTATTATTGACCAATTTGTAAAAGCACGTGACAAGCAGCGTGAAGCGTACGAATTTTTCCACATAGAGTTAATGTGTTTTTTTTTGTAATACTCGATAAAAACTAATGAAATTATTTAAAAAACCCAGATAGGGCTTTGATCAGGGTATTTTCCAGATTACAGATTTCTTACTTGCTCTGCTTTTGTTTTTTTTTTTGAGAAACTAAGTTTATAATAAAGTAATCTATATGTATTACTTAAAAATTATTACTTATTAAATTGTTTCCTTTATCTATAGGAACTGTCTAAATATATGCGCGGTGAGCAAAATGCGGAGCGTGAACTACAAAGCATTCAGTATATTATTGGATTGGGTATTGAAAGAGAAGAATTGCGAGATGAAATTTTTGTGCAATGTATGCGACAAACAACAAATAACCCTAATTTGGAGTGGACTGACCGTTTGTGGCTTTTAATGTGTCTTATAATAGTCGCTTTCCAACCAAGTAAATTATTATTCAGGTAATTATATGACTCATTTTTTAAAATGTTTTTTAAAACTATTTTCAATTGTGCGCGTTTACATATAAATTGGGCGAGCTTAATTTAAGTACGGATAGATACATGCGCAATAACAGAAACAATTTGGCTATGTTATTTGTTTGTCTTTTACAGGAAAAACAAAAAAAAAAATGTTTTCAAATTAGTTTCAAATTATGCCAAATAATGCCAAAACGCTATTTGCATTCTTCCAAATATTATCAAAAATATAAAATTGGAAACTTAAGATAAAATGATAATCTACAATATAAATTTTGTTCTTACAGATATTATTTTTCATTTTTAAAAGAAAAGCTAGCTATTTTTGACGGAAAATTAAGACAATATGCGCAATGGTGCTTCGATAATTGTAAATGTACAAAAGTCTCGACGCGATTACAACCACCTTCAAGTGTAGAAGTTGCAGTAAGTATTGGTGTAATTTTTTCCATACATATTAAAAATTAAGAAAGAACTTGATATACGTTTTAAATATGTATTATTCATTATTAAAACTTAATTTAACTGACTTGTTTTGTCTTCGTACATTTGTTTCTAGATAAGGGCAACATTAAAATACACTAGAAGTCGTGTTAACACGATGCTTTTCGATTACACGTTTTTACGTTCACAGTTCAACCAAAACAATTTAAAGAAAAAGAATTTATTACTAAATTTCTGGTTATACGGCAGTATAAGTTTTAACATAAAAAAGTTTACTTCAATAATTCAATTGATTGATTCTAATTTTCATATTGTTACAAGTAATAAAACTTAATTTCTTATTGATTCACTATAACCATCTTATTATTAATATATTTCTGTTTGTATTTTTAGGCTATGAGACGTCTAGGCACAATTGTCTGCAGATTTTTCTTTTTAGATTCCCGTACAAAAGCTATTGACGTTCATCCTACTGATACAGCCATTGATGCAGTACAGAAACTTGCAGATAAACTTAATTTGTCTTCAATTGAAGGTTGGGCAATATTTCAATCACGTCCTGATGGCGAAGAACATATAAAAAGTTTTGAATATTTATATGATGTAATCTCTGAATGGGAGTCTAAGCAGAACTCGTCTAATAGCTACAAACGCCTTTCTAATGGATCTACATATGGAGAAAATAGATTTGTATTTAAAAAAAGATTGTTTAAGCCAACTCGAGAATTATCGCAGGATCCTGTTGAAGTTGGAATGTTATACGCCCAAGCAGTATACAGTATTGTAAAAGTAAGATACCTTTCAAATCATTTGTTTGAATTTATAATATTGTGCAAGTATTAACAAAAACCATTATACCATGATATTCCATTTGGAATAGTATGAAGGTTTAAAAAAGATCTGTGGATGCCATAAATCATTCTTAATTGATGGGAACTTTTGAATCTAATTGAAGATTAATCAATTGAAGATTAATAAAATATAATATTTCCAAAGTGAAATTATACATAGAATGAAAGCTCAAAGATTTAATATTTGATTGCCAAATTAGTACGCTTTCAGATTCTTAAGTTTTTAAAAGTTTCTTTATTAAATATGAACTTATTGGCTATTATGGCCTTTAAATAATGCGTTTAAATATAGAGAAAACTATTAATTTCAAGCCGAAATTGGGGAAATAAGCAGAGTTACCAAAGAAAATGATAAGCTGATAAAGGGATGAGGAATAAAATCAATATTTTTGATTTTAATATTTTACGAATAACAATAATTTTGTTTTATTTTTAGTGTGATGAATTTCCTGTCAGTGAGAAAGTTGCTCTACAATTAGCTGGCTTGCAAGCACAAGTAGCACTTGGTGATCCTTCCAATCAGCCAAAACCTGAATATTATTGTGATATCAATAGTTTCTTACCAAGCCGTATATCTAAAACAAGAGAACAACAGTTTTGGATACCTATTCTTGCTCAAGCACATCGACAATATGGATCATCAAGAAATGAATTAACTGCTAAAGTGTTGTACTTAAGTTGTGTTATGCAATACCCACTTTACGGAACAACCATGTTTAACGTTATATATAAAGGATATTGGAGCTTTGTCAATAATATAATTTTAGGAATCAATTGTGAAGGAGTTTTATTCATTCAACCTGAAGATAAACTTATTATATATCAGTTTAAATATACAGATATAGAATCCATTTTAATAGACCCAAGTGATAGTTTTTTTACGATATCTCTGAATCGCATTCCTCACCAATCTCCCAGACTTAACAAAGATGATAGCATTTTATTGGATTTACAAAAATGTTTTGTTTTTGAAACAGTACAAAAGAATGAGATTGGTGCTCTAATTATTTCATATTACCCATCACTATCAAATTGGATATTAAGTAATTTTGATTGCACCAAAAAAGGAAAAGGAATTACTAATGAAGATAGAACTAGATTGTATCAAAATATAATTATATGCCGAAGACAATTAATTGATTTAAATGTAGTACGAAAACCTCATGAATCTGGTGGTTTCTTACGAAACACTCTAAGACGCCTATCTAAACATCGCATTGAAAAACTGCGAACAGAACAAAGGACAAGTTCTCAAGAGCACGGAGAAACATATAAAGGATTTTCTCATTCATTTTGGGCCTTCAGTAAGCAGCAAATCACGTTTTGTTTAAGCTCACTTACGGATCAAGATGAAACAATAATGATTCAGATATTTGAGTCAATTTTACAATTTTCCGGTCTCGGAATACTAGGTGAGCTTTCACCGCTTAGCTTTTAATATTATAATTAGTTATGGTTAAGTTATAGTTTTTAGATAAATCATTAAAGAATTACTAAATGATTTATGTTAACTATATCTTAAAAATTCTATTAAGTTGCTAGTCAAACCTTACTATAATTTTTTACTTTTATGCCGGGTGCTTAAAGATAATAATTGAAAGCCCAAATTTAAAATGTCCAATATTTGAATACTGAAAATAATACAAAATTGTCGGAATTTAAAATCGCTATTAAAAATTACAATTGATATAAATTATTTAATTATTCACAGGCGAGACAATAAACCGAGCGGAGGATGAGCATACCCGCATAGTACAATCTATTATGGATAAATGCATGAGAAAGGATTCTCTACTAAATGAACTTTATCTTCAACTTATTAAACAAACTACGGACCACCCTGATGCCAACTCAAGGGTAAACCTGAGAAATTGGTCTTTATTATCAGTTGCATGCAGTGTCATATTGCCATCCACAAAGGCTATACGAAAATATTTAATGGCACATTTAAAAAGGTGTTCCAGTGATTTTTTGTCTGAAGAAGGGAAATATGCCAGATTTGCAGAAAAAGTAAGTCATTGTAAATTATGTATGAACGCTTTTCTATACAACGCGCAAATCAAGTTTGTTGAAAACGGTTTAAAACTTCACTTTAAATTCAATATCGTACACCTTAAAAATTTATTTGTATCCAAATTTGGTTTTAGTTTTTAGAAAGAACACTTTTTAAATTCAGCGTTAATATATACATCTGACCAGATTCATTTAAAATCTTTAATTATTTTCTATTATATTATCTACATATATATATATATATATATATATATATATATATATATATATATATATATATATATATATATATATAATCCACAAGTTTTTTTTTCGAAACACCATTACACCCTATGTGATCAATAACGATGATCATAGTTCTGAAAATTTGTGTTTCAGATTGCGCCGTGCCTGCACAATCCATAGCTGAAATCATATTTAAGCATTTTAAAACTTTTTATACAATAAATCTTGTTTTATTAATATTATTATATATATATATATATATTTAATATTAATAAAACAAGATTTATTGTTTATTTATTTATTTATTTATTATATATATATATATATTTAATATTAATAAAACAAGATTTTTTGTATAAAAAGTTTTAAAATGCTTAAACTTGTGGATTATACGCATTTCATGATCTGCTTATTTATGAGCTTAAATCATTTTTTTTTTTTGAGTTCTTTTTCATGGTGTCCCCGTGATGGTGCTCAAAATCATCGACTTTGCTCGCTTTTCGATGCAGTTATTGCAAATGTTCCCGCATAGTTGGGATAGATAGTTTTTAGAAAAGTGTTATAGAGCAGAGTCTTTTAAGTTAAGGGAGAGCGAACGTTGATATGAAAATGGAATCTATTGGCTTTCAGTTTGAGATGTATTGTTTTCGCTTGTGTCGACGGCATATAATTATTTTATCTAGCTGTAGTCCCAGATATCTACTTCGAAAAGTGCAATGTTGTTTAATCTGATCATTGTAGTGTGAAAGTTGCATGTTTGCATTTTTTCGCAACAGGCATCTGAAGCAGCCGAGAATAGATGTATCTATAATGATCGTTTTATATTATCCCAGTTCCAAAATTCTTAAAATGTTTTTAATTGAAGGTCATGTGCAATATGTGGAAAAGTTTGGATTGTTACTAAAGTGAATATTGGAGAACACAGAATATGTAGACCTTTTCTGAAAATAGTTTTAAAATCCGTTAAGTAAAACGTGCATACATACATTGCCTACATACAATCCAGGCTTTCTTTTCTATTCGAAGAATCGGTTCGCTTGAATTGATTGAATTGTTTTTAAATTGTCAGCTGCTACTTTAGTTGATATTTACAACTTCTTACGTGAACAGTACAGTGGCGGTATTGGTAGATGTGGTGCTCTTTGCCGACAAGTTCGCGGTTTTTTCTGTTTTTATACCCTGATCCCATTGAAAATGGGAAATCCGGGTATAATGGTTTTGTGAAAATGTATGTAACAGGCAGAATGAGGCGTGGCAGATCCCAAAAAGTATATATATTCTTGATCAGGACGATAAGCCGAGTCGATTGAGCCCTGTCCGTCACCTGTCCACGCAGGTCAAGTTTGTTTCAATTATTCGATAACTATTCGCATTTAATTGATATCGAATAAAAACATGATTGAAATGAAGTTAATAAATTATATCTCGGACGTCTTTAGAGCTAGAGGCTCCAAATTTTGTATTTAGTTTTATGTATTATGTAAGCAACGCCAAGCTCTCGCATTTTTCTTGTACATGTGCACACATACATTCAAATGCGTGTATTCTTTTCTATTCGAGGAATCGAAATTGCGATTGAATACTGCTTGAATTATCAGCTGCTACTCAACTTAAAATTTGCAGCTCTTCTTGCAAGAGGTGCAGTGGCTGCGTTGGTAGAGGTGGCGCTCGTTAGCGGTTAGTCTCGAGGTCAATCCTCGCGGCGACGAGACATTTTTTATTGTTTAATTTTTTTTTTAAATATGAAGTGACATTGTTGGTAGAGTTGGTGCACGTTGCGCAAACAGTCCAGGTTCGAAACCTGGTCTCGCAATGTCGTTTTTAATTTGTTTTATTTTTTTTTTGAATACTCGATACAAACTACGGAAAATATTAAAAAGCTCAGAGGACTGGGATCAGGGTATCTCCTAGTCCGGCACCCCGACTAGAGCTTTCTTACTTGTTTTTTTGTTGTTAAAGTATGAAGTAGCTGTGTTGGTAAAGTAAGCGTAGCGTAGGCAATGTTGGTTCTAATCTAGGTTTCGGATTGTCAGTTTTTATTTGCCCCTGCACAGCAAACAGTGCATTGCTAGCTGTCTCTCTGTAGGCAGTAGTGTTCAAAGCATATTAATAAAGCTAATGTGAACCATGTTCCGCTGTTTAACAACTCTACTTATAGCTGTTCGCAACAGTTTTTTATGTATTTCATTTCTATGTGCTAGCGTACCGTGTACCCATTGAAAATGGGAAATAAGGGTATAATGGTGTTGTGCAAATGTATGTAACAGGTAGAAGGAGACGTGGTAGACCTCATAAAGTATACATATTCTTGATAAGGGCGACAGGCCGAGTGGATTGAGCTTCGTTCATCTGTCCGTATGTGTGAACGCGTCGATCACAGCATTTATAATTGCTAAATACATAAAAAATTTTGGAAAGCCGCGTGTATTCACGCGCTTATTGAGTTTTTAAGTTTTTTTTTTTCAAATAATCAATAACTCTTCTTGTTTTATTATTATTGATTAAGACCATGATGGAAATGCAGTTATGAAATTGTGTCTCGTACAGCTTAAGAGCTAGAGCCTCCAAATTTTGTATTTATTTTTATGTATATATTATAAATTTTTTTTATTTTGGATACCGATTTTCCCAAATTCTTTAAATTTAAGTGCAGTTGAAAATATAACCAATATGTGAAAAGTTTGCATTTTTACTAAACTGTCAAGCAGATCGTATGTTGAAAACTTGAAATCCGTTAAAGAAGTCAGAAGTTACTGAACAAGACGTTTGGTCAATTAGAAAAAGCACGTGAAAAACATATGTACACACACGCGCAAGGTATAGATCATTGCTTTGCTGCTGTTAAGGCCGGTGTATTAGAGGCAGGTGACATCATTCCTGATCTTAGAACGCTTGCGTATGTTGTTTTTTTGAAGAGTTCATTAAAACATTATTATTTATTACATATCATATTAAGTTGTCTAACTCATGTTTATTTCGGTATTTTTGATAAGTGTTTTTTAAGAACTCAAGGAACAAGGCGTCGACAATGGAGTCCGAGCTGTGAAGAGATATTATGTACGACCAATCGAAGGCCATGCTACTCAAAAATTTACTTTATGGATGGCCAATATTATTCTTTTGAGTTTCATCCCAGCTCAACGGCCACTGATGTTATTCAAATAATAAAGAAAACAATCGGACTTCACGAAAATTCTCTAGGATATGCATTGTATGAAATGTTGGGAAATACTGAAAGAAGCTTATCAAGCGAAGAGAAAGTTTGTGATGTAATGGCAAAATGGGAGCGGTATCGCAGTGTATCTAAAAAGGATTGTCATAATCAGGTTAGTATTTTTAATTTAAATTTAATTCTATACTGAAAAATTTAATTTGACCAAATCGGAGTGATGTTATATTTATTGGTATATAGTTAATAGATATTATAGTGCATAAGAAAATACGAACAAAAAATTTAATATAAATTCGTAATAGACTTTTTTATATTATATTTTTCTTGAGGGCCTAGTACATTAATTTTTACATGTGCTTTTGGTGTAACGCAATTATTATATTATTATAACTATGGCAATATATACATACTGACAATAATATGTTTATAGTTACAACAAGCCACGGCAATTGTCTTTACATTTCGGTATTTGAGCAGTTATATATTTTGTTGATTTTTGATACACTTTTCTTATATCGTGTTACAAAACGATTGTAGAGTATATCCTGCTCGATGTGTTCGGCTATGGTGCGGGGCTTTTCAGCCGCACGTGCGTTCAACATCACTTGATCTGCTTAATGTCAATATTGCCTGATTCAGTGATAACCTACCACGACATCGACAGCCTCCACTACTATAGTTGTCACGAGATGATAACCTAAGTCGATGGCGACACAAGACCATCTCATCGATATACGAATATGAGCATATGCTTATATGTTTAAGCAAATAGCAAATATCTTTATTATTATATCGTTTCTCTTCTTTCAAGGAAATGCGGAAGCATCGTGCTTACCTTTTCCGTTTGAATTTGGAGGTCAATTATTGGCTCTGCTTGACTTTCAATCTGCTAGTCAGAGACTAGACAGTTGTCGTAGTTGTGCCTCCGCTCATGGCGTCGGTGCTTCCGCTTCTGGCCATGGCGCCACCCGCTGCATCATAAGTCACATCTTTTTGTGTTCCTTTTCCGGCTACTATGACTCCAGCTATTTTGTCTGCTGCTGAATCGTTGGTGCTCATGCGCATAGCTTTTTGATTCTGGTGATTAGGCTGTATCTGCTACTTTGGCTGCTGCTGGCGATATGGCTTTGGTGGTTATAAGTGCTCACTTGGTTGCTGTTGACGATTTTTTCCGTACAGATGCCAGTTGTAGCTGGATGCGGCACTATTATTTTTCGACGCCGATTAGACTCTTCGGCTCACTCCACGCTTTGCAGCCTCTGTGGCAGCGATTGATCTTGTCAATGCTGGTCCTTTCGCCATGTATAGGTAAAACTCTGTCCTCACCTTAGTGGCGTTGAATCTGTGGAATTGTTTTTGTATATTAATTGTTATTACATATCTAATATACATATATGTCTTGTTAGCCATTTTGCAGGATGACTTATGTTTGTAGTTGCCTGTTTTACCTTACTGCCCGACATTTCTCGTCGGCTGTTTTGATTATTAAGCTACAAATAATTTTCCGTATATATTATTTATATTAGTTCTGAGTAATTTTTAATACTCTTTTTCATAGATCAACAATTCCATGCACTCTCAACAACATCATGCGTTTTTATTTAAAAAGCATTTGTTTTGTGATGCTTATATTAATTTGGACGACGCAATCGAAAAAGAATTACTTTATCATCAGATACTACATTCCTTAAGAAGTGAAAGATATCCTATTACTGAAATGGAAGCAATTATGATTACTGCCCTTCAAGGACAATTGGAATTAGGAGATTTTTCTGACAAAGTCAATGACTACGGGTCTGTTGCCAGCCATTGTTTACCACCGCGGTTCGTACCTAATATTCCTCATGGAGCAGTTGCAATGCATCATCAAAGCTTAAAAGGAATGTTACCGGTAGAAGCCAAAAAATCATTTTTAAACTTAATACAAAGTTGGCCTCTTCATCGTGCAACAATATTTGACGTAATGGTAAGTATAGTCTAAAGAAAATTTGGATTTTCCGAAGTCAATAAAAAAGAGAAATTCAGAGTATAGGGGTGTTTTAAAATGTTTGTTATATTGCAGCAATCTTTTACTTCCAATTGGCCAAGGATGTTGTGGTTGGCAGTTGACCAAAACGGTATTCATTTACTTGAGCACAGATCACGAAATATTTTATGTTCTCATGAGTATGAATCATTGATATCGTTCTCGCCTAATATGAACTCACTGATGATATTTACTGGAACGGAAAAAAAACAATCCAAAGTTATCCTAAGCACATCTCAGGTAATAATATTATATGCGATATTCAAATTATGTTTAGGAACTGATTATAGATAGAGTAAAAAGCAATTCAATCTTAAATATTTATAATATGAAAAACGCAAATCAGGATTATCAGGATAAATTATTCTATTAATTTCTGTATAACACTGCGAAAAAGAGAAAAGTTTCAGATTCGGACAGCTCTGTTTAATTGCATGGGAAGAGAAAAGATAGATATTATGATTTAAGTTAAATACATTCATTTTAAAATGTATGAGAAGGACATTGGTTAACTCCATTTGAAAAACGACAGATCTGTTAGAATCAAACTAAGCGTTACTCGTTTGTGATTTTATACCCTGATACTATTGATAATCGGAAATCTGGTTATAATTTTTTTGTGCAAATGTATGTAAAATGCAGAAGGAGGCGGGGCAGAATAGGAATACAAATTTTTTATTTGTTTTTATGTATGTATTATGAAATTCTGGTTTTTGTTGGTTTTTTGATACCTACTCCAAAATTCCCCAAATTCTTTAAATTTAAGTTCAGTTGGAAATTGGGCCATTATGAAGGCGTTGCATCCCATGTTAGCAGGGCCAAGCATTTTTCTTATACATGTGCACACAAACATTCAAATGCATGTATTCTTTTCTATTTGAAGGGTCGAAATTGCGATTGAATTCTGCTGAATTATTAGCTCCTACTTAACTTCAAATTTGCAACTCTTTTTGTCCCCCTGGGTTCTAGCCTGGCGGCGATGGGACATTTCTTATTGTTTTATTTGTTTATTATGAAGTGGAGGTGTTGGTAGAGTTGATGCGCTTTGCGTAGAAATTGTGAGTTCGAATCTTGGTGTCATAATGTCGATCTTGATTTGTTTTAAATAAAATATTAAAAATTGCAGATAGGACTGGGATCAGGGTATCTCCTAGTCGGGCACCCTGACTAGATCTTTCTTACTTATTTTTCATTGTAGTTTTTAAATTCACAAAAATGTATTACTCGAACTAATTAATAGAAATAATACTGTAAATGTTACTTAGTGAAATTCTCTTTGCTATTTGTGCTTATTATTATTATGCGATTGAAGAAGAGGGCTCTACACTTAATAATAAGAATGTCTATTAAGACATTTATTGAATTCGTAAATGACGAATTTATTATAACCCGGAAAAATATCTTAACTAGTTAGCTTATAACCATTAGTTTGCAAAAAATAATAATTAACAGAATCAAACAAAAAAAAAATATATATATATATATATATATCTTTGAATTTTATCAATCAGTTGACTAACCATAATACTATACTACTTTTTGGATTAAACTAATTCCTATTTATATTTTCAGGCTTTTCAGATAGCAACGCTCATTAATGAATACTCCGAAATAGTAAAAAAAACGATGAACTCACATTTAAATAATTAATTAATAAAAATATTTACACCAATGTGTTCCCTATATAAATAAACGGTTAAAACTTTACATTTAAACATTTATAAAATTTAAAATAAAATCTGCATATAACAATATACTTTGCATTTGGTATAGTGAATTTATTTATTTAAACATATTGTGTCAATAACAGTCAGTTTAATTAGGTCTTTTATGTCGGTCATTTTCTGAAGTAGCTCTTTGAAAAATTACATGAATCTTTTAAAGCCTAAATGTAGGTAAGTATTATGAACAAGAAAATGTAGTTGGTCTAAAAAGGAAAAAGATTAATGAGAAAGATGGAATCAGATTTTCAGACTTTGAAGGTACTCAGTGTACTTCCTTCGTTCTCTCCCACAAATCCATCAAGCCATTTGGAGGGGCCGCATATTTCGCAAGCTACGATTTCACATGGCTCCATAGATTTTCTTTGGGATTTATATCTGGGGATTGCGGTGGGCACTTTATAGTTTGAAACTTTTGATTCAATAACCAATTTTTCACTAAATGGGATGTGTGCGTTGGGTCATTGTCTTGCAGGAAAAATGAAATTTTCAACAGCCAGACCTATGTTGCCAATGACTCCTCCCAAATTTTCTTGAAGAATTTTTAGGTATTGCTCCTTACGCATTATCCCATCGATTAACACTAAGGGCCTAACTCCATTTGTACAAATACAGCCCCAAACCATTACGGACCCGCCACCGTGCACCGCACTGTATTTGCCGATTGGACTGTGGGATTTCTAGTCCAATATCACGATCGTTCGTCTGACTCAAAACGATTTATTTTAGTTTCGTCTGACCAAATAACCTTGAAAAAATTGTTTAGCATTGTTTAAGCTTTTTATTTGTAACTTACGGCATCCCAATCAGCTAGAGCCTAATTTTCATGCATTGTAGCAAAGTTTCTACGGAAACTACTGTGCCTTTTAGCTGGAAATGGTTTTTTTTTTCTTTCATTGGCCTTAAGGCCCAATCTGCCGAGACTGCGATGGACTGTCCACTCACTGGCATTTAAATTTAACACATTAGCCGCTTTTATTGGCGTAAGGTCGCGGTTGCTTGTAACTAAGTTAGCCAAGTGGCGCTTGTACGTTCGCTTAAAAGTCGCGGTCAGCCTCCTTTGATTTTAATGCTTTCTGAACTGTTTTTTTTTTAACGCTGGACAGTCATGTGGCTAACACCAAATTTATTAGCCACTTTTCTAGCGGATTCGCCCCCTATCAATAATTTGATTATTTCCTTTTTCTTTTCATCAGCCATCACAATTATTTTGCAAATTGACTTAAAATGATCAAGGCTTAGCGATTTAAACGAAAACAAATAAGCTTTAATGTTAAAAAAAGCTTTGAAACAAAAGTAAATAGGTTTTGCTCTGCGAGTGCAAAACTGTAACATTTGACTTTTTTTACTCTTTGCTATTGTATTTCTCTTATCGCTTAGCAAATGTCTTCAAATTTGTAAATAAAATAAATAAATTTGTAAATAAAATAAAATAAATATTTCACTAACAAAACAAGACTATGTTCATAATCATGCATAAAGTAGAAAAGATAATACAGACCGTTGAAGTGAGAACATTGAACATATGTTACAGTTTTGCTCGTCAGTGTATAAAGATAGTATATCTACGCACAAAGGGAACTTGGCAAACCGCCAAAAACTACATTATCTAAAGTGCTAAATAGACACATAAAAATGTTCTTGTATCGGTATATCCACTTTTTTTTGTCCCTAAACTTCACAGTTCTGGTTTTGTAGAATACTTCTAAGATTATAATATATAAGCGACTGACTGATAATATGCCGAAAGTTATATATAAAGTAACTATATGAACAAACGTGTACTGAGTGACAAATCAGAAAAAATGTATAATAGATAGTCATATTCCAAATGTAACGACTAAGTTATAGTAAAAATCCTCAATTGACTTACAAAAAAATTATATATACAGATCTTGACGTATAGCAAATCGCGAAAAAAAATTATCATTTATATATATGAAGCTGCCAGTCTAGTAGTAAGGAACTGTCTGTTTTGGAGCGGAAGTCTGTTTTGGAGCGGAAGTGACGTCACATCCGGTTTAGATAAGGTTTTTTTTTTTTTTGGAACGGAAGTGACGTCATATCCGCTTTAGATAAGGTTTTTTTTTTTTGGAGTGGAAGTCTGTTTTGGAGCGGAAGTCTGTTTTGAAGTGGAAGTGACGTCATATCCTGTTTGTATATTTTTTTCAAGGTCACGTGATGACTTAACAACAATAACAACAAACATAACTCCTACATCTCATGCCAATTTTGTTCAAGATCACGTGGTGGCTCAACAACAATAGCTTGAGATAAGAACGTGATGACTCAGCAACAATAGCTTGAGATATGGGTGGAGGCGACGCGTGGAGCCAAGATCAAGGTCAGCAGCCAAGATCAAGGCCAGCAAAGCCAAGTTTGAGATAAGGGGGCGTGAGAGTTTTTTTTTGTGAGTGATATGCATGCGTAAAAACAAAAAACAAAAAAACAAAAAAAAAGTTGTGATAAGGGGTAGTGATGGCGCGTGGGACCAAGATCAAGGCCAGCAAAGCCAAGCTTGAGATAAGGTATGCATACGTAAAAACAAAAAAAAATGTTGTGATAAGGAGGGTGATGGCGCGTGGAGTGTGAGAAAAAATAAGAAGAAATGCTTACTAAAATAACCAAAAGAGGTTTTAGAATAGCTTTACATTTTCGGGAAATCACTTCATTGACAAGCGCAAGTGAGTGTAGTGTTTCTGAAAAAATGGTGCGATATTGTGTAACGTGTAATCTGCGTGTAAATAAAACTCGATGGAGCAATCATCTTCGAACAAACGAGCACAAGAATAACGCGTTTAAGTCGTTGGATGGACGTGTAAAGCTGTCTTCGAGCGGCTTTCAAAACCGCATCTGTACATATCGTTTTGAGGCATAGTCTGTGGTACTTGGTCCCTAATACTTCGTACCTAGCAGCTGGTACAGGGGTACCCAAGTCACAATGTACCACACTTCCAAGTACCATTTGTTAAGGTATTACTAATCACGAATCTGGCAAGTGCAGCAAGCTTGCATTTTGATTCATTGGACTGTGGTAATCTATATATATAGATATAGATATACATATATAGCTATATATATATATATATATATGTATATATTTATATATATAGATAAGTAAGAGAGTTGTATGCAGCACTTCTTTATATGGAAGTCTTATATGCAACGTCTTTTGTTTATGTTTTTTTGTTGTTGTTTATGTTTATGTATGTGCAGTCAAACTTTGGATCTACTCGTAGCATTATCATAGATTATAGTATTAGTTAACTGTGCTTGCAGAACCAAAATCAACTTCATTTTACATTTTGTTTGAAATGCGAAACTTAAATAGTCAGAACTCGGGCTACAAAACAATTTCAAGTTACGTGTAAATGTGTCTTCTGTGTGTGTGTGTGTGTGTGTGTGTTGGGCATGATATATGTCTCTAGTTAACTGTTATTGGTGTTTGTGTATTGTTCTTTTAAACGCTTCTGGGAAAACTAACTAACTGATCTGATCTGATCTAATCTGGTCGAACCGGATCGAATCGGATCTGATCTGATCTGATCTGGTTTGCTGATCTAGCTGTGCACAAACTGTTGGAGCAGTATTAGATGATTATTGTGATGATTGGTATGATTTGTTGATAACCGTTAGCGAATGAGTATAAACTTTTACTAGAATTGCACATATCTTCCTTACAAAAGCACATATGTCCATTGCCTGAACTTTCCATCATGCACACGTGATCGACCATGAATAAATTGATTTGTAATTGTGACGTACACATGCGTCGCACCACCTCGTAGGCTGCAAGAACAAGGACAAGCATAAAATCACATATCGGGACGTGTGTGACTCGTGACTCGTGGCTCGTGACCAATGACGCGTTACTTACGTGATCGCTGATGTCGCACCATCTTCACACAGCAGCCATTGCAGGTCATCAAAGGCGGCTGATCATGCGGCAGCGCCGTATAGTTGAACGGATCCTTGCAACGTGCATCCGTCCACGAATCGCACTCGTAACAGTAAATCGAACGCGCTGCAGTATAAAGCACAACATATATATTAACGAACAGCATTAATCACGCCTGAAAATACAGCAAGCGTATCACTATATATATACATATATCAACTCTAACTATGTCATTCCTACAAAATTGCATGCAATTACAGTGTTAAATTGGAACAAGTATGCGACAACGTGAAACAGAAAAAAGTGAATTTGTTGGCAAAATTTATAGCAACTTTTATAGCAATGTTTATAGCAACTTTATATCAAATTTTATAGCGATATTTATAGCAACTTTTATGACAACTTTTATAGCAATGTCTATAGTATGTCAATTTTTATAGCAACTTCTACATCAACTTTTCTAGCAACTTTTATAAAAAATTTTTTAGCATCCTTTTTACAATTATAGATAATTTTATAGCAGATTTTGTATAGCATTATTGTAGCATTGCGTTAGGTGCATTATCGAAAACCTTTTCATTGTGTTTTGCCTTGGCTGTAAGCGTAAATAATGTTCTAAATATATACAAGATGTTCGACTAACAAATACCCTGCCTTCTTCAATTTATGTACATAAAGTTTTTTCAAGTATTTGCCTATATTGATACTCGTTCAAGGAGTAAGAAGAGTATATTAGCTTTGGAGCAATTTATGTTTATCTTTGTTTAAATGTTGCATGTCATGTCTCAAAAAGTGTAAAGAGAATTGGAAAATTACTTATATAAATTGGATTTTACTTTATCATGCTTAGCATAAAAATTATAATTTTATTGACGAACATCAAATCTGAAATATATCCTTGTGTATAGAGCTTCCCTTTAGAAATTCTTGAAGACCAATTCTTCTTCTTCAACAATTTTGCTCGACAGGAGCTGCTGAGCTTAATTGTTAAGTCACTCTTTATATTTATTTAAAATAATATATACAACACTATTGGAGGGCGTGGCAAATATATAAGAAATATTTTAAATAAATTTGTATTTATACATTTTGTTTAATG